TGGCTCCACCTTTTCCCCTTAGAGCTCCACCTCTTCTGCTCTGCACAATAAAAGTAGATAACGAGTGTTATCAGAAATTTTGGGGCCACTAAAACAGCTCAGGGTCTGGGGCCATGGGGGCCCATCTACAAGCCCGCCCACAGGAATACACACACCGGCACAAACACATGCTCTGATACAAAAGGACACAGATACACACACACACATATTAACAGACACACATACTGAAACAGACATACAAACATTTACGAAGACATCCACACATATACAGACACATACTAACATACATACAGACACACACACACACATACATTCATACATACTGACATACAGACAGACCTACATACTGACATACAGACAGACATACATACTGACATACTGACACACACATCTCATTTTTCTGCCACCCTCCTATTTCTTACCTTTTTGTTGCAGGAGGGTGGCTGGGGCTGATGGGAGTTGGTGTGGGCGCTCCATCCTCATGTCTCTCTTCAACCTCTCTTCAACCAGCCGTCACTTCCTCACAGCAGTCCTTGCGCTTTTTTTAACCCCTTAAGGACACATGACATGTGACATGTCATGATTCCCTTTTATTCCAGAAGTTTGGTCCTTAAGGGGTTAAAGGGGCACGGGCGCGCTATTATACGGCTGCAGCGCTGACTGGGCGCCTAAAGATATAGGGCCTATCGTGGGGCCTTAAATACTTGGGTCACCCGATGGGTTGTCACCCCCTGATGGCGGCCCTGCTTACAAGCCATGAAGTGCTAACTCTTTCTCCTGCAGTATCCAGAGAAGGTTACTGAAAGCCTGAGAGGTTACTAAAGTACCACCGCTACACGTGGGGCCCAGACGGCCATGCTCCCACTGATGGCGGCCCTGCATAAAATAATTAAATCTGTACATTCAACCGTTTTTTCAAAGATTAAGTCATCCATGTCAGCTATACTATATGGATCACAGGCACTCAAATTGGTGGAATTAGCACGTGGTAAGTCCACTTGAGCAGTAACGACACACCAAGGCCACAACCACTGTTACTGGACATTAATACACTATATGCATCATTCATACAATAATATGCCACTATACATTTCAACACATCAATACAATCACACACCATTCACTCCATACTTACATCAATCCATCCATCATGAAACTGACATGATGAGGTTTTTAATAAATTAGATTACTTAACAAATATATAAATATTGTAAACTGACATACGAACCAGTGTTGTTTCATGTACAAAGCCACTTGCTTGTATGTGATGAATTTTAACTGAGCAGAATAAATAAAATAGTTCACCTATTGCTAACAGATACATCCATTAGTTGGCTATATGTTTACTAGAGGGCACTTTTGTACATGGTGCAGATCTACGTTATAATCAGTGTTGCCTTGCAACATGTCTATATCAAAATCGTCACTAATATATGACATTGTGTACTTCATTATGTGGTTTTACAAAGCTAGAACCAGATGGTCATATAGTACATGTGTGTAGAAGATATTTCATTGTAGCCTATAAAGAGATACAATTCAAACATGTACAAGTTGTACAACATGACTTCTACCTTTGCCATGCCTGCCTTACAGACTAAGGATAGAAAAAAATGGCTCACCAGATGTCTCTGAACTACATGTCCCTTGATGCACACTCATTCCTATATATGTATACAGCGTTATGCTAAATCTGAGTATTATCAACTACGTCACCCATAATGATGTCCTTACGTTACAGCCACTCTCACCTTCTTCTGATTCCCCCCTGCTCCTCCGGGTTTAGGAATCGGGGCTGTAGGTCTTCAACCAGCTGTTGGCTTGCTAGGACATCACTAAAATGCAACATTGCTTCCGGATACTAATCCCAGCCGAACCAAATGAGTAATAATCGCCCACAAAAAAAAAGGTGCAGGTTCCATGTGCTGCTAGAGTTGCGGCCGTGAAGGCAGGCTAAATAGACTGTTAAAGTTGGGGGTGTATCTGAGTGGGCATTTGGGGGTGGCATTTTTTGCAGTCCCCCATGGAAAGTGCCACCCAAGGCAAATGCCTTGTTAGCCTCAAGATAGAAACAGTGCTGTCCGTGGTTTGTATAGAAGGACAGTAAAATACCCTTTCCCAGCACTGTGCAGGACCCTGGATGAACACGTTGAGAGCTTACAAATAACATTTAATTTGGAGGAGAAGGTATATAGAGCCCTAGGTATACTTTAGTACATATGTGCAGATATCTCTGAAATAAAGATATCGATTTTAGCCAGGCAACTGTTTTAACTGTTTGGGACCATTATGTCACGTACTGCTAAAATGTTTGCATTCTACTGACACTTTGATAAACTGTATATCCATAGATGCCATCTATCAAACCTACTATGTTTCAAAACCTTTGTGCAACTGTGCTATTCTTTCTAAAACTGTGCTAAGTATTGCGAGATAAGTGATACCGTAGAATATTTAACATTTTATTCACATTACAACCATGTTTCTTAAATTAAACAAAATTGCTGTTTTGTCCTAACTTTAACGTTCTAGCAACATATCCTATGAGTCAAATAAGTTAAACTCGAAACTACCAAAATAACTCATTTGTGATAAAGATAGTATTTAAATCTACCGTATAAACTTGTGGTACCGCATGATGACACCAGGGGGTACCTCAATACCTGATGGTGTATGTTAGGAAACAGCCAATGATAGAAATACTTGGAGCAGAAAAAACAGAAACTATTCAGTATTATATTTTTAAAGGGAAACGCTAACGTTAGAAATACAAACATGTACTTCTAACATTAGAGTTATTTCTTGCCTATCGAGACTTGGCCCTCTTCCCATAACACTAATCTAAACCAGTTTTACTTCCTTTTCAGCCTTTTGTCCCACCAGTCTCCCCAAAGCTGAGATCGTCATTGCGGACAGGTTCTTTGCACATAACCACTACTCTAAGATATACCTGGTTCTGGTGATTAGTCTGTCCCTTTACTCACTAAAAAGTGTAACTAGTTCCCAATTCACTGGGTTATTTGCTAAAGTGAGAATTCAAAGTGAATTTTAAAATCGAGGCCGACGCAGCTTAACGGAAGGCGTAGGTAACGTACAAAATTGTCCACTCAGGCCTCTTAATTGAAATGCACTTGGAATTCCTGATCATTTTCACTTTAGTGAATAACCCTGTTGGGTTTACACAACTGCTTGTCTTCATGATTAAACCTCATATAATCTCATCAGTGAATAAAACTGTACATTTGGGGGCTGCTAAATTTGAGACCCCTGCTCAAGTTCAACCAACTTAGACATGCTGGTGCACCCCAGATGGAACCTAAGTAATTTTGCTAGTTTGGGTATTTTTACTTTAAATGAGCTGGCTGAAGTGCTTTATGTGCATGGAGTATCCCATTTAAAAGGCAGTTTATAAAAGTAGCCATTTCTATGAGAAATCTGCACGTTTTAAGTTAAATAAACACACCTGTTTGACTGACAGCCAGGAAATTTCATTCGGCCTTCTGTTAGCCCCACTGAGCTAACTACTCCACTAGAGCGCACCTGCCTTCTCCCCAGATCCTCCTCACAGACCTCACCTCAGTCCAGCGTTCTTCCTGAACACCGATACAGTGCATGCGCACATGAGTGACAGATTCAGAGGCTTCTCAATTACAAACCTCTGATTGTTCATTTTCACGTCCAGAAACTGATAGTCTCTTCCGTGGAAGAAGGGGAAGGCTTACAACGGCTGCAGCTATACGAACCGCAGGTTTTGAAAGCCTTTTTAGATATACTCCCAACAACTACATGCATAATTAAATGCATACATGTATTCATTAGGGATATATACTAAATAGCAATTTAAAAACAAACGTGAATTGCACTGTAGAGTGGTCCTTTAAACCTCCCAGAGAAGAGGGTACGGTATGAGGTAGGGAGCCATGGCACCAACTTAATAGGGTGAATCCTCAATGATATTTGATAAAAGTGGCCATTTCTATGAGAAATCTGAACGATTTAAACTAATTAAATACCTGTTTGACTGACAGCCGGGAGATTTACTACCTTTTCAACCCTTGTCATCACTGATTTTATACCCCTTAATCCCAATTAATCAATTAAGCACACGCATTGTGGTGATGACATGAACAGTCATCATTTTAAGCTTATCCTATGATTATGACAGTGACTTCAGTTTACTCCAATGGCCTGCACTTGTCCCAGGATTAAATTCAGTAGAGCAACACTTTAGGGTGTGAGGAAAAGAATTTTAAAAGCATGTACGTGACACCGTATGCTGAAAATGTATAGCTCTGGAGGAATATTTATACTATTATTACTCATAAAGCGCCAACATGTTCAGTAACTCTGTACAATAGCTGGAATAACGAATAGTTACTTCAGGAGAAGTTGAATGTACAGGAACAGAAGGTGCCGAGGGCCTTGCTCGAATTAGCTTACTGCTATATTTTATTCTGAATGTATTACACTATTGGAGCTTTTCTTTTTTCTTATATGTCCCTGGATTCCAAACATCTGGATGGTACACATACCTGAGGATACAAGCAAACCCTAACAGGCTCACACGTATTATTGTCAATAAGACAATTATGCTTTTGAATACATGTTATACTGTCACCATAGGACTTTGTATATTTCACTTCATTTTTACTTTCTAATTTATCCTTATTTTATCCTTTACACCTTGGCGCAACCTATTGTTTTGTATTTCAACAATGTAAATACTGAGTTTTCTCTGAAAAGACAAGGTTTACGTTGAAAAGTGTGGAGGGACAGGATATAGACACAAGTACAACTACATTAAGCTGTAGTGGTTCTATTGACTATAGTGTCTCTTTAAGAATTTAAGAACACACACACACACACACACACACACAAGCTCACTCACTAACAGACACACACACACACACACACACACAAGCTCACTAACTAGAAGGCACACACACACACACACACACAAGCTTACTCACTAGCAGGCACACACACACACAATCATTGTTATGGCTGAGGCTTACCTGTCACTGGTAGGTGAAGTTGCCATCCATCGAGGTGTGTGTGGGGGCGGAGCTTACACTTGGGAGGCGGAGCTTCCATTCATGGGGCGGGATTTCTACGTGGAGGCAGGGCATGCAACCAAAATTGCTGTAAATAGTGAAAGGAGACTGACAAGTCTCCCTCTGGCCGCCAGCAGCTTAATTGCGGCCGCACCAATCCCCAGCTCCTTCCTCTTTACTTTATTTAAATTACATTAGCCAGGATGGTAAGGGCTGTCTGCCTGGCCCCAAGTGCCGTGGCCAACCAGGAAATTTCCTGCTATCCCGGTGGGCCAGTCCGGCCCTGCCTCCCAATTGATTACACTGCCCCCCCTCCTACCAATTTAATACACTCCCCCCTTCTACCAATTTAATACACTCCCCCCTCCTCCCAATTTAATACACTGCCCCCCTCCACCCAATTTAATACACTGCCCCCCTCCCCACTGCCCTCCACCAATTTAACTACCTCCCCTAATTTAATACACTGCCCCTCCCTCCTCCCATTTGAATACACTGCCCTCCCTCCCTCCCCACATTTAATACACTGCCCCTCCCCACAATTGAATACACTGCCCTCCCCACAATTTAATACTGCTTTCCCCACAATTTAATACTGCTCCCTCCCCATAATTTAATACTGTCCCCCCTCCCCACAATTTAATACACTGCCCCCCTCCTCCCAAATGAATACACTGCCCTCCTCCCCACACTTTAATACACTGCCCTCCCTCCGCACAATTTAATACCCTGCCTCTCTCCCCACAATGTAATACACTGCCCCCCTCCCCACAATTTAATGCACTGCCCCCTCCCCACAATTTAATATACTGTACTACAGCTCATCTTTCCTTCAAGATGAGCTGTCCACCAGTTCCAGCCCAGCCTGCACAATCTCTTCTCTGCTCAAGCAGGTACAGCGAGCAGGAGGGAAGGAGGAGTGAGAGGCTGGCCTGGTCTGCAGATAGCCAGATACTCTGCGCACTAAAGCGCCGCCGCTGCACAGTCGCCGGGTATGAAATCATATGTTGTTCATATCTGGCGGCCAGCGTGGACAAATACTTCATACTCTTGCGGGTTGTTGCTGGTCGCAAAGCCACGCGATTGGCCGCGGCCCGCAGAAGCGCAGGCTGATCGCAGCACACAGCGTTCCCCTGGGCAGGCGGCCTACCGGAATATCTCCTGTTCCAGGCCCTGTAGATGGATTATCTCGGCAAAGGAGAAGTGCTCACTAACACAGATTTTGACAGATTTGTGAACAATATTTGAGAGAAATAGGCCTTTTGTGTACATAGAAAGTCTTAGATCTTTGAGTTCAGCTCATGAAAAATGGGGGCAAAAACAAAAGTGTTGCAGTTTTTTTTTTATTGTATCTTTTCCCTGACATTTGATTGAATTCCCATTTCTCAGCCAGCTAATACAAGTTAGTGGCCATTCTTGTGTCCCCGATCCCTCTCTGTGTTACTCTCTCCTGGGTCTGTGCCCTGCTCCCAGTCTGTTTACCCCATCCCTCCCTGTGTTACTCTCCTGGGTCTGTGCCCTGCTCCCAGTCCGTTTCCCCCCCATCCCTCCCTGTGTTACTCTCACCTGGGTCTGTGCCCTGCTCCCAGTCTGTTTGCCCCCATCCCTCCCTGTGTTACTCTCTGGGTCTCTGCCCTGCTCCCAGTCTGTTTGCCCCATCCCTCCCTGTGTTACTCTCTACTGGGTCTGTGCCCTGCTCCCAGTCTGTTTGCCCCATCCCTCCCTGTGTTACTCTCTCCTGGGTCTGTGCCCTGCTACAAGTATGTTTCCCCCCATCCCTCCCTGTGTTACTCTCTGGGTCTCTGCCCTGCTCCCAGTCTGTTTGCCCCATCCCTCCCTGTGTTACTCTCACCTGGTTCTGTGCTCTGCTACCAGTCTGTTTGCCCCATCCCTCCCTGTGTTACTCTCTCCTGGGTCTGTGCCCTACTACCAGTCTGTTTGCCCCATTCCTCCCAGTGTTACTCTCTACTGGGTCTGTGCCCTGCTCCCAGTCTGTTTTCCCCCAATTCCTCCCTGTGTTACTCTCACCTGGGTCTGTGCCCTGCTCCCAGTCTGTTTGCCCCATCCCTCCCTGTGTTACTCTCTCCTGGGTCTCTGCCCTGCTCCCAGCCTGTTTGCCCCATCCCTCCCTGTGTTACTCTCCTGGGTCTGTGCCCTGCTCCCAGTCTGTTTGCCCCCATCCCTCCCTGTGTTACTCTCCTGGGTCTGTGCCCTGCTCCCAGTCTGTTTGCCCCCATCCCTCCCTGTGTAAGTCTCCCACTCTCTCCTGGGTCTGTGCCCTGCTCCCAGTCTGTTTGCCCCCATCCCTCCCTGTGTAAGTCTCCCACTCTCTCCTGGGTCTGTGCCCTGCTCCCAGTCCCCCCCTCCTCTCTGTGAGTGCAGGGAGCCAGCTTGCTACCATGTAGAGAGGGAGGGAGGGACCTTCTTCAATGCTACGTGCAGTATTAGGGGACCAGACAAACGATCATCTTTTCCCTTTAAATCCCAGCAGCGGGGTCTCCTGCAGCCAGTAGCCATCTAGATTGAGGACCAGCCCCATCCCTCCTCCTCCCCTTCCTCCTCCCCAAACACACACTCACACTCAGACATGCCTGGACACTATATTTAGCTCCCCTGCTCTATGGTTTAATTTGCTTCACTCAGAGTGCCACCTCCTCTTCCCTGGCAGTGCTGAGCCTGGCACCCTCTGTCTCCTGCTACCCAGACCATCGGTATCACTGGAGGGATTTACACCCATCATTGGAAATCTGTCAAATAAAAACACAAAACGGGGTTCCTGCAACATCTGGACTCCACATCTGGACACCCACCCCCTGTCCACTCTACCAGGGGTGAAGGGTAAGTGCAGTTCCTGTGATTGGGGTCATTGATACATTATTGCAATTCTGGGTGTTCCATTCTAATCTAATACCAAGCATATGTTGTGATTCAGAGCATGCCATGCTCTGAATGGTTAACATGCTGGGGTATTAGGGCACTTGCCCCACATACAGCAAGGGACACGGGGTATCAGGCGGCCTTGGCATAATCTGGGGTAGCACACCTAGCCAGCCAGACTGTAAACAATACTGCCTGAGGATGATGGGTGTGTCTTTCTTATCTATGCTCTGGCTTGGCTGAGGGTGATCTGATAACCCACTCTATAGAATTTGGAGGGCAGCTTGGCACGGTATATAATCCGTGAGGTTGTCTTGACTGGCTGGGGTTGATATGATTTGCACGCTGTCGCAGCTGCCGTATCCCCCTAGATGTAGATATGATATATATATATGGTTTCCCAGTCTGCAGGATGGCTGTGCAGGTACATAGCAGAGAGCTGCTAAAATACACAATTAATCTGCTATTTTAATATGGCTTTATCAGGTTCTGACAGCAGACCAGGTATGGGTCTGTGCCAATGCAGGCCAGTCAGGCATTGCAGGGTATCTCTATATGGGCATGCATTGTGTTCTTCTAGCTGTCTATAAAACAATTCTAGCCCTGCAGATCATTCTTCCTATCTGTCTATTTTGATGCTCAGTAGTAAATGATGTGGTGCCATGTTTAGCTGGTATACTGTCACTGTGTACACCAGGCCCCGGCCAGTCCCTGCATTGTTGACATGTCTATGTGCTGTGTGTATATATCAGCAGTATTGCCATGTGCAGCCTGTGAAGGTGAATGCAGGTTGGCAGATTCACACAGCTCCAGGGGGGGTGTGCTCTGTGCAGATAACAGGGATTGGAAGGCTGAGCTTGAATGGTAACCAGAAAAAGGGGGGGGGGGGGCATGAACTATGTGTGTGGGGCACCCATGCAGGGCTGTGCTAATTCACTTACAAGGGGTGGTGTCAGGAAGGGAGATGGTGTCTGCAAAAGCTGGGCCCACCCCTGTTTTCTAGTTGGTTTGGCTCTATTTGTATTTGTGGCACTCAGTCCTACTCTGTTACTGCTGTCACACAGGGGAGGCCCTGCATTCTCCTCTGTCACTACTTTATGGATACATTGTTACATGCTGTGTGATGTATACAATGAGCGTTTGTATGATCACTACAGATCTGAGCCACTGCACACTTATTTACAATTTGTATTACTAAATTATGATACAAACCATCAGTTTTTCCCCTTGTCTTTTGTACACTGTTATTTTGATTTGTTTAAAATGTTTGTTAATTTTTCCAGATTTGCTTTTTTTTTATCTGGACACATTTCATCTAATGCTGTTGGTCAGCAGATTAAACATGCTGCCCTGCAGTATGTGGAATTCATATGTGTTGGGAAATAAATCATTGTATAGATGGGCTAAGTAACATAACTAATACAGCTTGCTAACTTTTAGCCAATCACCGCTGTCCAAGTTGGGCAAGATTGATAATGATGTTGATAATGTGGAAGTGTAAATTATACTCTTAAAGGGGAACTATAGGCTAGGGATACAAACTTGTATTCCTAGCACTAAAGCTCCCTATAGTGCTCACTCACACGATTCCTCCCCCACAGCGCAGAACACTTTTGTCACTTACCTGAATCCAGCACTGATGTTAGGCTCTGCTTTGCTCCTCCTTTGCAAGGACCATGCACGGTGAGCGCATTTAGACAGCCTTGTAGGAAAGCATTTTATAATGCTTTCTTATGGGGTTTTGGGTAAGTCTGAAAGTCCTAATGCAGAGAGAACGAGGACATCCGCCGCCTAACGACCCAGAAGTCCCTCTAGTGGCTGTCTGGTAGACAGGCAGTAGAGATGGAGTTAACACTGGATAGTAATTATTGCACCCAGACCATTTCAATGCACTGAAGTGATCTGGGTGCCTATAGTGTCCCTTTAAAACTTTAAAGGACCACTCTAGGCACCCAGACCACTTCAGCTTAATGAAGTGGTCTGGGTGCCAGGTCCAGCTAGGATTAACCCATTTTTTTTATAAACATAGCAGTTTCAGAGAAACAGCTATGTTTACAAGTGGGTTAATCCTTCCTCCAATTCCTCTAGCTGCTGTCTCATTGACAGCCGCTAGAGGCGCTTGCGTGATTCTCACTGTGAAAATCACAGTGAGAGCACGCAAGCGTCCATAGGAAAGCATTGTAAATGCTTTCCTATGAGACCGGCTGAATGCGCGCGCAGCTCTTGCTGCGCGTGCGCATTCAGCCGAATGGGAGGAACGGAGGAGGAGAGCTCCCCGCCCGGCACTGGAAAAAGGTAAGTTTTTAACCCTTTCCTCTCCCCAGAGCCGGGTGTGTTTTCCTGGCACTATAGTGGTCCTTTAAACCAACGTATATGTCCAGGACACTATAGGCAAGAGAGCTGCAGTTTTGTTTCTCAGTGTTCTTATAAACAGAGAGGGCATACCAGAGGGAGCTGCCTTGATAAACAAATGGTCTTCCAACCTGCAGCATGTGAATGCGCTGCCTATCAACACAAAGATAACTAGGTAAGAAAGTGGGTCTTGCAATCCTAATGCTGTTTGTCCAGTTTGGTTTGTTAGATGGCTCTTTAAAACAGAACCACAATATACTGTCTGTCTGTCTGTCTATCCTAGTTTGCAGCTTATCATTATGTCATGCATGCACACAAAAGCCTGCTTCCAAAACTAATTTTGTTGATTGTTCTATAGCAGTGCTAATCATTTAAATAGCCAAATCTTCACCTGGGAGCTTAGAATACAGGCATTCTGTTTGATCAGATCAGTAAAGTAAGATTAGACCTTGATTTCTTTTGTCCAGTATGATATTGCGGCATGATGATATATGGTGAATGCCTTTGGGTCTTTTTAGTCTTCTAAATGTTACGTTATTAGCTAATAAACCTATAATTTGATTTTTTAAAGAAAAGTAACTATCTACAGTAATATGTTTAAGAAGGTGCCACTCATTATGAAAATAGTGATTATGGAACCAGGAGTGTCCTGCCCCTGTCCCAAAATGTGAAACCATTTCAGCATAGTTTTACAATTTACCTGTGCCTATTGCTACATCTGCTGCATCCACTCTTCTCTTTGCTAAAACGGTTTGACATCTTACTGTAAGATGGCTTTGGGCCCTACTGGGACCATACCCACTCCAACTTGCTAATGTGCTTTCAAAAGAATTTTGGGATAAACAAGCTTCTAGAGGCACTTTCTCATAAAGACCTTCAAAAATTGAAGGTCTTCATATTCGGCATCATCATGGTGCTGACCGCTGTGAATACTTCTCATAGAGAAGCATTGGATTGCATACTTCTTTGTGAGAAATGTCTGACTTGCAGAAGGCAGCATATGTCTGTGGTTTCTATGAGAAGCATTGGATTGGACCAAGATCATCTGTTAGGATGTTCTCAGAAGAGGTGGTGTGGCTACCTTGTAGAGTCTATCCTAGAACTGAATTACAGAGGAACCTGAATCGTAACAAGGAAAAAGGAATATAATAAGGTTAAAAAGAAGTATATTGTTTTAGACAAAGTTGGATTACAAAGAACAATAAGAGATACACCTTGACAAGAATAGAACCAAGAAAATGTTTAGGGGAAAAAAACAATTGTGTAACTTACTAAACCGTTAACGAATGTAAAGATTTATATAATGTGTAGGCCATGCAATTTCAAGCCTGCAATTTTGGAGTACTCTGTTTTAGTGGATAGTCTCATCAGCGTGTATAATTGTCTTGTACCATCCTTAATCCATACCTTCAACTGCTCTTTCTCCTGGTGTTGTCCCTACTCCCCTTAAACATGCTACTGTCATACCTATCCTAAAAAAGCATCTCTTGACCCATCTTCCTCTTCCAACTATCCCCCTCATATCCCTGCTCCCCTTTTTCCTCAAAGATTCTAGAAAGCCTTGTCTTTCCCCTATTGTCTTGCTTCCTCAATTCCAAATCTCTTCTCGAGCCTCTTCAATCTGTCTTCCGCACTCAACTGAGACGTCTCTGACTAAAGTTACTAGTGCCCTAATAACAGCTAAATCCAAAGTCCCTTGATTCAATCCCTTGATCTCCGTGGCACTGTCCTCGTGTGGTTCTCCTCCTATCTCTCCCAACATTTATTCAGTGTCTACTTTTCCAATAACCCCTCCTCCCCTTGTCCTGTCTCAGTTGAAGTCCTCCAAAGCTCTGTTTTTGGTACTCTTCTGTTTCGTCTTTATACCGCTTCTCTTGGCAAACTCATTAATTCCATTGGGATTTGCAGCCACCTGTACACCAATGACACCTAGATGTATCACGCCCCCGCTGCCCTACAGCGGGTCACTGCTTGCCTTTCTTCCATTTCTGACTGGATGTTCTCCTGCTTCTTTTGGTTTCCCTGTAAGTCGATGGTACTTACATTATCCTGTCCTTGCAAGATTGCTGTCTTGGTGTTAGCTTTGATCCTGGCTTCACCTCTGCACCTCATATTCACACTGGTGGTAAAACCTGTCGATTTCATACCTTAACAACATTGCCCGCATCCGCCACTTTCTCACGCAAACTACTGCCAAAGAGCTGGCTCATGGTCTGGTACTTTCTCGCATGGATTACTGTAAATTTCTCCTACTTGTTTTCCCCAGAAACGATACTGCCCTGCTACAATCCGTAATGAATGCTGCTGCCAGGTTGACTTTAATCTCCTGTCGCTGCTCTCACATCTCGCCCCTCTGTTGATCTTTACACTAGCTTCCTGTATTCTATAGGTGTCGTTTCAAAGTTCTAACCCTTACCTATAAAGCTCTAACTAACTCTAGTCCTTGTTACATTTCTTCACTGATTCATAGATCTGTCTCTTCTCCGTCTCTCCGCTCTGCCGGTGACCTTCTCCTGTCTGCTTCTCCCGGGCGACTACTTTCCTTTGGAACAGCTTGCATACCCCCGTCAGTCTCCCCTGGTCTTCAATAGTTTGAGAAGTCCCTCAAAATCCATCTTTTCAGAAATGCTTCTAGCGTCCCAGACTAACTTCTATGTCACAAATCTGTCTCAGACTCTCTCCTAAAGAGCCATACTCCACTCTCACGTCCAATTCTGCTACTTTTCCACCTTGTTGTTTGCTGTCCCCTTTGATGCCCTTCCTATTGTGTCTTTATACTCCACTCCTCTAGACTGTAAGCTCTTTAAAACAGGGCCCTCATCTACCTATTGTTCTGTAACATTTTGTAATTGTTAAAGTTCTCTCTTTCTAATAATGTAAAGTGATGCGGAATAAGTTGGCGCTATATATATAATAATTAAAACAAACCCTTGAACTCTAAATAGAAGGTAAATTGTCAAGTCAAATAGCATACAGTCTAATGGACGTTTTGATTGTGGTCAGTTGCTGGGGTGAAACCAACCAAAATTAACAGATCTATTTTATCTTATCATTTTTCAGTTTCCAAGGCTCTATTCCTACTTACATTCTAACTGAAACTGTTTAAGAAGATATAGAGGCTGATGGATAGGGTCTCATTCTTTATGTCACATATATTTTTGTCACATTTAGTTTTTACCATTTAGAATGGCAATCTGAATACTTCCATATTTTCTCGACCCTTTACAAGCTTACTTGTCCAGGTTTCTGACTCTCTTAATTTTACATCAGTAATTTAAGGAGCATACCTGCGTCCGGTACAGAAGGTTTAAGAAAAAAATACACCAAAAAAAAAAATGCCATAACTGAAACAAAAAAACGTAGCAGCGTATGTGATATTTACAGGAAAAAAAACTAATTAAAAAAGTTACCTGCGCGCTTCCCAAATCCCTATGCATATTTAAACAAATGGAGTTTATTTCGTTTCTCCAATGGCGACGAGACTTTAGCCCACCAGCCACGTCAAGGCAAACCTAGCTGTTTGCTACAAAATACATTTGTATTTATATTCACTTTTGTATCACACAGCTATGTTAAAATGCTGCAGCCCATCCCATGTGTTCCTTATTAGGGGTGAAACAAAATACCCCTTTCTGTCTTATTAGAGATATTTTTGCCAGAAGCTCAATGAAGCTAGGTGAAAGGTTAGTGTAGGACCCACCTGAGAAGTTTGCCTTGACGTGGCAGGTGGACTAAATTCTCTCATGGCCATTGAAGAAACTAAATAACCTCCATTAGTTTAAATATACATAGGGATTTAGGAGAGAGTGCAGGTAACTTTTTTTTTCTTTGGTTTTTACTGTATGTATTGGGGCTGATGTGTACTATGGTCATTGCTGCCGCCCAGGAGTGATGGGAGTTTGAGCATATGTGATATTACCTTTTAGATAAAGGGCTGGATTATATTACCAGACATGAATCTGACATTTTATCCCCTCTGATTCTCAACCCTGCATATCTTTACATGCCTTCTAAAGGCTTTATTTTTTTTTTTTTATACTTTCAAAGAGATTTGTCATATTGAATTTACGTTGTAATAGTTTCAGATGTATCTGAGTTATACAATAACTTCTTTTAGTCTCCCTTTTTGTTCTTTCTATGGGAATATCTCCTTCGTTATTACCTCACTTGTCCTGAGGTGCACCTGCTATTCTGTAAATTGTCATGCAGAGTAGATGATCGAGGCTAATGGGCCGTCAAGACTAATTTGAAAAAAGGGAATGCAAAAAGCTTAACTAAGTACAACTAAAATGTTGAAATATATATTCTTTGAAAGTAGATTTGGCTATCCTCAATCTTTTCGAACTCAAGGGAAAAAATAATCTAGAACAGCAGAGCCAATTCTAGCTTTTACTTTTCCAAGGTGTTCGTGGTGTTTTGGTCTTTCTTTTTCCCCATCTGCCACAAGATAAAGGTGATATGGAGCTTCCTGCATGGATTTCTGATAATTCTCCTCCATTTCAATGCTATCATACTTTACACACTGGATGTTCTATGCTGTCGTACTTTGCACACTGGACGTTCTATGCTGTCGTACTTTGCACACTGGACGTTCTATGCTGTCATACTTTGCACACTGGACGTTCTATGCTATCATACTTTACACACTGGACGTTCTATGCTGTCATACTTTACTAACTGGACGTTCTATGCTGTCATACTTTGCACACTGGACGTTCTATGCTATCATACTTTACACACTGGACGTTCTATGCTGTCATACTTTACTAACTGGACGTTCTATGTTGTCATACTTTGCACACTGGATGTTCTATGCTATCATACTTTGCACACTGGAAGTGAATTACCAGCGGTTGTACAGAAAGTAGCATGGCTTCCTTAGTTCCCATGCATTACAGCAGCATGGAGGACAAATGATACTGTTTCTGCATAGTATGTTATACTGTATATTCTTTTATGATTTATTTGGCCAGTTTGGGAGATCCATTAATTTCCTGATTTGCCCTGTGATAAATCCAGACTTGACGGCTGCTGTATCAAACCTATTCCAATGGCACCGAAGCCCGATGTCTAGTCCTTCCCACCTCCGCAAAAATCCATAACGCAAGATCTGTACCCTTTAGCCTTTCCTTATGAAAACAGAGGAAATGGACTGAATCCTTTGCTCCTGTTGTACCCAGCAGATTGGCAAAAACATTTGTGACCATAACACAAAATACAATAAGTTTAGAAGGCGTTCCCCTGGGTCACTGTTCAATGTCTCCTAAATCCCCATTATACCTGTTGTTACTGTTTTATTTGAAATTTGATTGTGCCAGTCTATTTGACAACATGTAAAAGAAACAATATATCAAATTTGCACATATTTATGTGTCTCTGTGCCTATGCATGCTGTGTGGGTAATCATTTCCCCAGTTCAGGAGGGGAACCTCCTAGCCTCCCTGCAGCCGAGCCCGGTTACACGTTGAAGGCATTTAGCTGACACGACAGCAGGTTTTGACTCCTCCTGCATAGTACTCTCCGCCGTGCCAGATATAAACCAAACTGGGCTTGCATTGGCAACATCATACATTTTGTGGAATTCCTGGCCAGCTTTTCTCTTAAAGATTAACTGTCAGTTCACTGACTTAAGCAAAACCAAATGGTTAACAAAACATTAGCTACTGGTTGTGCTATTTTTTTTTAAATTTTTGTATATAATTCCCTCCCCCAAGCTCTTCATGTTTTTAGTTATTTTACTTTACATGCTTTGTCAGGCAACACTGGGCAAATAATGCAATTCTGTTAACTCTTTTTCAAGGCCCTATGCATGCGTTCGTACATATTTTCTCTGATTGCGTGCACATGAGCGTGTTTTGAGGCATCATGGGGTGCATTCCGCAACACAGAAGCGCAGCGGGGGTAGGGGTATTGCCTCTGCTGCTTTATTCACCCCAGGAAATGCTGCTGCACTGTGTATGAACATGAAGGAACAAAGGACTGGAAGCTACAATTCCACTTTAAATCGCTGAGTAATGTTAGTAAAATCTGTTTACATACCTGCCAATCTTCCCTGCCCACCTTCTGGAATTGGACTCAATCAAGGGAGAGGTCCTATCTGTCAATAAGGCAGGCTAGACCCTAAAGGGTGTGGCCAGGGTGACTGACAGCCTACTCCCTCAAGGCAGACCATTAACATATTGCAGCTGAAGTGCTCTGTGCATGGTCCTATTGCCCTGTCCCCTCATAGAAACATAGAATGTGACGGCAGATAAGAACCATTCGGCCCATCTAGTCTGCCCAATTTTCTAAATACTTTCACTAGTCCCTGGCCTTATCTTATAGTTAGGATAGCCTTATGCCTATCCCATGCATGCTTAAACTCCTTTACTGTGTTAACCTCTACCACTTCAGCTGGAAGGCTATTCCATGTATCCACTACCCTCTCAGTAAAGTAATACTTCCTGATATTATTTTTAAACCTTTGTCCCTCTAATTTAAGACTATGTCCTCTTGTTGTGGTAGTTTTTCTTCTTTTAAATATAGTCTCCACCTTTACTGTGTTGATTCCCTTTATATATTTAAATGTTTATCATATCCCCCCTGTCTAGTCTTTCCTCCAAGCTATACATGTTAAGATCCTTTAACCTTTCCTGGTAAGTTTTATCCTTCAATCCATGAACTAGTTTAATAGCCCTTCTCTGAACCCTCTCTAAGGTATCAATATCCTTCTGGAGATGCGGTCTCCAGTACTGTGTACAATACTCCAAGTGAGGTCTCACCAGTGTTCTGTACAATGGCATGAGCACTTCCCTCTTTCTACTGCTAATACCTCTCCCTATACAACCAAGCATTCTGCTAGCATTTCCTGCTGCTCTATTACATTGTCTGCCTACCTTTAAGTCATCAGAAATAATCACCCCTAAATCCCTTTCCTCAGATGTTGAGGTTAGGACTCTATCAAATATTCTGTACTCTGCCCTTGGGTTTTTACATCCAAGATGCATTATCTTGCACTTATCCACATTAAATGTCAGTTGCCACAATTCTGACCATTTTTCTAGTTTACCTAAATCATTTGCCATTTGGCTTATCCCTCCTGGAACATCAACCCTGTTACATATCTTAGTATCAAATCTGATGGCGTATTCAAAAATTCAGGACAGGTTTCTGGGACCTATATTTGCTGGTACAGTAATAATTGGATATGGTATTGCACATTGAAAAATTGGCTTGAGTTGGATTTTTTTCAATTTGGCTACTTTGGCCTAGAACAGGGGTCAGCAACCTACGGCATGTAGTGCAAACAGAGCGGTGATTGCAGGCGGTGAGGGACAATCCTCAATTTACACATTGAAGAGAAAGTCATCTTAGATCACTTCCTTCCTGCACTTGTTAACAGAAATCTGCACTGGAGTTGAGCGGTCTGCAGCAATATCGCAGCTCCTGCTCTTGACTTGCAGCTGGCCAGCCCAGTCCCCAATGGACCCCAGGGAAGCCTGGCCTAGAATGTCCAACAATTTCAAAAAAGGTCATGTGTCTCATTACATCATTACTTGGTAAATCCCAGGTACCAGGTTGCCATGATGACTATAAAAAGTTTCTTTATACTAGGTTGAACCAACAAGTGCTTTGGGTATATTGCTCTGCATATTTCACCTTCCTCACCTCTCACACAGATGCAAATAGCAGGATGTGGTATATCATATTTGTATTCATATAGCGCAGCCCTTGCTCTCGCCAAACAGTCATACTTTTCCTCTCTCATTAGTTCATGCTCCCGCAATCCCAGGCGTCTTTGACACCTTTAACGCTCTTCTTCGCCCTTCTGTGGCCACCCCCCCAAACTAACCTTACAGCTGATAGCTTTGCATGCTACTTTACCGACAAGATTGAACAGCTAAGGAAAGATTTCTCCCCAACTTGCCGTTCTCTTTCTCAACCACACGTAGATCATGCCTTTCCTACCCTTCAGACTTTCTTCCAGGCTTCTGAACAGGAGGTGGCTGTGCTTCTCCTTTCCTCTCGCCCCACCATTTGCCCGCTCGATCCTGTCGCAGATCACCTTATCAGATCTCTTTCCCCTTGTCTTGTGCCTTCCTTAACACACATCTTCAACTGCTCTCTCTCTCTTCTGGCGTTGTCCCTGCTGACCTTAAAAATGCCACTGTAGTACCTATCCTGAAAAAAACATCTCTTGACCCGTCCTCCCCCTCTATCATCCCATATCCCTGCTCCCTTTTTCCTCAAAGCTTCTGGAAAGACTTGTCTTTACCTGTATGTCTCACTTCCTCAATTCCAACTCTCTCCATGACCCTCTTCAACCTGGCTTCTGCCCCCTCCACTCTACTGAGACTGCTCTTATCAAAGTTACTCACGGCCTAATCGCAGCTAAATCTATACTAATTCTTCTTGACCTCTCTGCTGCATTTGACACAGTTGATCATGTTCTCCTTTTCTAATAATACCTCCTCCCCTCGTCCTGTCTCAGTTGGAGTCCCCTAAGGCTCTGTCCTTGGTCCTCTTCTATTTTTTCTTTATGCTGCCTCTCTTGGCAAACTTATTACCTAATTTGGATAACACTGTATGCTGATGACACCCAGATATATCTCTCCTCCCCGGACCTCCCCCCTGCCTTCCTGCAACGTGTTTACTGCCTGCCTTTCTTCCATCTCTGACTGGATGTCCTCCCGCTTTCTGAAACTCAATCTCTCTAAAACTGAGCTCTTTTTTTTTGTCTTTCCTCCTCCTAATACTGATCCTCCTCCTTTCGCTCTCCCTTCAAGTTAGTGGTATCCACATAAGTCCATCCTTGCAAGCACGCTGTCTTGGCGTCCTACTTGATTCTGGCTTCACCTTTTGAGCCTCACATCCAGTATGTTGCCAAATCCTGTAGATTACATCTTAAAAACATAGCCCGCATCCGCCCCTTCCTTACGCAAGACGCTACCAAGGAGCTTGTCCATGCTCGTGTAATTTCCCGCATAGATTATTGTAATCGTCTCCTAATTGGTCTTCCCAAAAGCCGTATTGTACTGCTACAGTCCATAATGAACGCTGCCGCTAGATTGATTTTCCTCTCTAGTCAGTCCTCTCACCTCACCCCTCTGTCCATCCTTACGTTAGCTTTCTGTATCCTATACGAGTCAATTCAAAGTGCTAACCCATACCTATAAAGCACTTCACAAATCCATAGGTATGCCCCTTCTCAGTCTGTCTGCTCTGCCCGTGACCACCTCCTGTCCGCTGCTTGCATCCGTACGGCCAACTCACGCTTGCAGGACTTCTCACGGGCGGCTCCCTTCCTATGGAATAGCCTGCCTACCCCCATCAGACTTTCCCCTAGTCTTCAATCGTTTAAGAAGTGCCTTAAAAACTATCTCTTTAGGAAAGTTTATAGCCTCCTAGAGTAATCTCTACCTCGCATACCTATCCTTTACTCTCTCCTCCAGCTCTGCTTCACTCCCACCTTATTTGATTGCTATTTCCTGTCCTAATGTGTTTGATACCCCACCTTCTATAGACTGTAAGCTTGTTTGAGCAGGGTCCTCTTCAACCTATTGTTTCTGTAAGTTTTCTTGTAATTGTCCTATTTATAGTTAAATCCCCCTCTCATAATATTGTAAAGCGCTACGGAATTTGTTGGTGCTATGTAAATGGTGATAATAATATCACATTTTGTCGTCCTTCTTGCTGTATACACAATACAGCCATAATAATATACATGAGGGGAAGTTCGGCGTAATGAATGTTCTTGTAAGACTTTCTGAAATGTAAACTTTATTGAGGTTCAGACCAAAACCCATTTTATCTTCTGGATCCTGAATCCATCCAACCACCTAGATCTACCCTCGGACTCTTGTTTTACTAGAGACCTTTATCCAGATACTTCGACTCTGTAAATCACTACAGCTGTATGACGAGCAGACTTGGAACGATGCCTTTATACCTGTGTATGGGATGAAAGTGTTACACATCCAACGTTCTTCTTCATGATCCAAAGGATTGTGGTAAAAAATTATTGGTGCCTTTGTATGGCCATTAGGAATTTTGCTGGAAAATATGCCTTAAACCAACCTAACGGTTCATTAAAAAAACAAAAAATTCTGGTCCGCATAGACTTGCAGATATTGCAATTCAGTTTTCATCATCTCGGCGCAGCAGCACACATTTATGAAAAGATAATGATAATGCGTTTAATATTCTATGCATCATGGAGGATAACGCATTGCAATTATTTGTCAGATTTTTTAATATATATAATTTTTATTTTATCTTATTGCAAGGTCCTTGCTGTGCTGCCTTTCCAACATTATCCCCATAAAGCTGGTTTTACCTGGGTTTGTGTAAACTTCTTCAGAATTGAGAGGCAAGGAATACTAATTAATTAACCAAACGCACAAAGTAATTTTTTAATAATTTAAACAAGGTAAGGTAAAAACAGAGACTGTATTTCAGAAGACTTTTTTTTTTTTTTTTGGTTAGTGCTTGTTTGATAATGAGAAACAAATCCCATCATGCACTTTATTTACTACAGTGCTTATTCTGTACATTGTAGATGTTATTGAATGCTAATGAATTTGATACATTTATTTTTTTTCCTTTCCCCCAGTTTCAGCCTGACATCACTTTGTTTTTCAATTAAATATACTTCAGCGTAAGACCTCCTATATGCAGTGTCCGTATGAACACGCTTCTCTGACATTTGTTTTTAATTTTATTTATGTTGAAAGTACTGCACATGCTTAAAGAGGTTAATGACGGAGGGACGGTGTTGCCACTGGCTGCCAACATGCTGTCCGTGCTGGTGTCAGATGGCAAATCTTCACTGGGCTAGCTAATACCGCTAGCCAATAATGCTCCCCTCCCTCAAGAATTAAAAAAAAAAAAAAACTGGTCACGTTACTTTTGTGTGAATTTGGCGTAAAGTTGAAAAGGCCCATTAAGTAAATATTTTACTTACAAACATTAATATGTTTGAATTTTAGTTGGCTATAATTTCCCTTAAGTGTTTACGAATATACCGTCAGTGTTATTTTTAGCATGGATTTACCTCACCTCCAGGTCCCCCTCCCTCTCCCCACAACAAACCGTGAACTTGAGATCCATGAAGCAGGTGCTTACATCAATTTCCTTTTGTAGAGAACACGCCAATACACAGAGTGCCGAGGGTTACTGGGGTATCACAGGGCAAACACTTCAGACTTGCTGAATCCGCCATGGGATCCCATCTGGGCCAGGGGAAAAAAATAAACTTTGGAAAGAATGTTGCAATAACCAAATTTCTCTCAAAATTCATTTTAATGAGTGAGTCATCTCCGAACTAGCCAAGAGGGTAATTTTATCACAATCTTATCCAGCTGCTAACACTGACATTTTCTTTGCTATCCATACTGTACGTTGTAGAACTACACATTCTGTATTACCTTTCAAATCCTTTCCAGTCCTGGATTGCTAACATGAAAAGTACTTATAGAGAACAGATGTCTTATTGCAAATAGGGATTCCCAGTGTGCTTGCTATTCACTGCAGAAAATAGAATGACATTAATCGTAGCTTAGGAAATAACTGGTATTAGAAGAAATTCGAAGCAAATTATATGCTAATTGCGCCTAATATTCAGCATTCTCTATTCAGCAGCCAGGAAATAAAAATCACATTCTACAAATTGTAGCAAAGCCTTTTATCTAAATCCCTTTTGAGATTGTGATGTGGGTAGAGAAGAGGTGAACTCGTGAATGGTTCATTGACTTGGGATTGTGAGTTCAGAGTTTTACATTAAGCTCTTAGACTGCTTCCTGTGTTGCATAGAGTCATCCCTGCCCTTGGGGAACTAGGTGAGTGTGCGAGCAAGTGTGCAAATACAGTGCTACTCAAGATTGAACCAATATGTGTTGCAGAAGAAGGTCCTTTAAAATATATTTTTATATATATATATATATATATATATATATATATATATATGTGTGTGTGTGTGTCTGTTTATATTTTGCAGGCACAGTGTAGGTTGTGTTTGTAGTCCTATTTTGTTTAAAATATAAAATAAACAAAGTCAATGGATTAGTCAGAAACTTTGTTTTCACTCATATTGGGATATACTAGGAAGTGTACCACTGTTTTATATGTCCAAAATATTTTGCGTGGGTGTATCTTTGATTTGGGTGCTCAGAATCCCTGTTAAACCTTTTGTTGACACGGGAGAAACTACACCGAACGTGTCCATTTGGCAATACTAAAAGTGTTCGCAATACAGTACCTTTTTAATTTTAATTAAAACATTTTTTTACTTTGTACAATGTATTTCTTTTGCATCAGTTCAAACTTGCATTGCCCAATTTTCCCTTCATTATTGATAATGTTTGCATTAAGCTACCAGTGGTATCTTGCCAATATTTGCTATAGAATATGCCACTAATTGCACTTGTTACAGACACACATGGGTACAATCCCTCGCTGTGTACTGCTCAGATGTCCAGCCTTTTTTCCACCTTGGACCCTGGAATCTTTGTTACATTTAACCATCGAGTTCCTGTGGGTGTGACTGCTGAATTTCTACCTACAAAGATCCTGAAGTGAGATGAAATGCACCATAAGTACAGAGCCAATTTATAATAGGCTCTAAAAATTGTGAGTTTGCTGACTACTCTTATTCATAATATTTGTTTAAATACAGGTCACATTATGTGTATTTGTTTTATTTAATATAGGCAAAAAGACACTTTTAAGAAAGAACCTTTTATTATATATCTTTTAAGGTAAACATATTTATGTGCGCTAGTTACTTTATTCTGTACAATCACGTTTCTTTACATTACACTTGGTGATTTTTAGCAGCACTAGACACTTTCTTCTTCTTTCAGCGCTGCTTTATTTATTACACTTTTCTGTATAATTTAAACGCCTTACCTGCCAGTTAAAACTACCCTGTCAGCTTATTGGGGTGTGTGTACGTGCTGCATGACATCATGACCACAATGTAGCCAGGACTATCGTTCTTCCCGACAAAAAAACATGGCCGCCCCTGTACCAAACATGACAAGGAAGTGTATTGTTGCAATTCTATTATATGTGCACCTTTCTTTAGATTGTGAGCTTGTTTGTGCAGGGCCCCCTTCACCTATGTTTCCTGTATGTCATACTTGTTTTGTTAGAATGAAATGTTTCTCTTGTTTTTTTTTATTGTACAGTACTATTGCGTTACATAAATAATTGTAATTGTGCTATATCCCTTGCCTTTTTTATTATTTTTATTCTGTACTTTTCCAGCTAGGTATTTAATATATTGCTTTCTGCTCTGTTGCTATCCTTTTATGACACAGGTTTTAGAGGTTAACTTTGTTCATTTTTATTTTTTTTCTCATTCTACATTTTTGTGGTTTTTGTTTTGGCCTTTGTCAGACTCTCTGCCTACAAACCCTCCCCAGTGTCCGATAATGAAACCTAAAATTCTGTTATTGATAGTAATATATTGTCATAGTGGGCATAACTGCAAGAGTAGAGGCGTGTGTATTGTTTATTGTATAAAGTGCTAAACTGGCACATGCATTTACTGTGACCCTGTGCTGGATACAGAAAACAACAACAGACTCTCTCTCTCTCTCTCTCTCTCGCTTTTTTTTTTTTTTTTCCAACACTCTCGCTACTCTGCAAGCAAATCACATTTGCTAGTCATTCAGAAATGCTGTGTGTTTGGAGATCGTTCCAGAAAGGAGGAGACTCCAGGCCGCTTCCTCTCAAAAACCATCCACTTTTTATTCTTTATTAACTACTGCTGGCGACTTCTAGAATGCTTCACAGTCTCCAAAAAAAGGGGGTTACTGCTAAAAACAAACCAAACCGGGAAAGCACAAAATATACAGTGATGTTTCTCAAGTGGTTTGGGCTCTCTTGTTCTATATATACAAGAAAATGAAAAGTTACAGAACAGCTTGTGTGGGTTTTTTAAAAATTTTTTTTTTTTTTTTATATATACATTCTAAAGATATAAAAAAAAATTGTGAAACAAATAATTCAAATAGATGTTTAACGGATACTTTCAGTTAAATTTGCCTCATTTGTAAGAAATTCCACGGCTTTTCATTCTTTTGGGGGGATTCCAAGGGTCCTGAACAGGGAAGATTCTAGAACTTAAAATTTAAAGTTAAAGGGACACTATAGTCACCAGAACAACTACAGCTTATTCGATTTGTTTTGGTGAGTATAGTCAGTCCCTGCAGACTTTTTTTTTTTTCAGTAAACAACTGGAGGGGCTTCCTGGGTCAATGCTGCACGTTCTGCACCTCCACGCTCTGCATGCAGACACTGAACTTTCCCCATTAAGATGCATCGATTAAATGCATCTCTATGAAGAGATGCTGATTGGCCAGGATGGCGTTTGACTCCACCCTCCAGTCCATTTCCTGAGATTGAGAATTGACTATCTCAGCCAGTTGAATGGTTTCCTGTAGGAAAGCATTGTGATTGGCTGAGTTAATCAATTCTGGGGCGAAGCCAGCGTCGGCAGCCCTGCGCGCAGGGCCGGCGCCAACTGTAAGGCGACCTAGGCAGCCGCCTAGGGCGCACCTTAGCAGGGGGCGCCGGATCCCTGCGCCCGGCGGCTCCTCATGCTGCGCCGCCTGAGCGCTTTTACAAGCCTCAGGCGGCGTAGCACTGCTGTGGAGGGCAGCCGGATTTGAGTGACCGGCAGGAGGGAAGTGCAGAGCGCTCCCTCCCGCCGGTCTCTCAATGTAGCGTGGCCGGGCGGCGCGGAACGCGGGACAGGAACCTCTGTTTCCTGTTCCCGGCCGCCGGCGGACTGACAGGAAGTGCTCACTGAGTGAGCACTTCCCTTCAGTCCGCCGACAGCCGGGAACAGGAAACAGAGGTTCCTGTCCCGCGTTCCGCGCCGCCCGGCCATGCTACATACGAGGGAAGGACCACCAGGGGAGGGGGACAAGTAAGGACCACAAGGGGGAGGGGAACATGTAAGGACCACAAGGGGAGAACATGTAAGGACCACAAGGAGAGCAAGTAAGGACCACAAGGGAGGGGAGAGTAGAACCACCGAGGGAAGTAGAGTAAGGACCACCGAGGGGAGGTAAGGACAGGAGGGGAGAAGGACCACTGGGGAGGAAGGGGGGAGGAAGAACCACTGGGGGAGGAAGGGGAAGAAGAACCACTGGGGAAGGGGAGGGTGGGGAGTAAGGACCACTGAGGGAGGAGGGGGGAGGTCCACTAAGGGGTTTGGGAGGGAGGACCACCAAAGGGGGGTAAGTAGGGAGGACCACTAAGGAGAGGGGAGGAGGGTAAGGACCACTAAGGGGGGGGGGAGAAAGAGGATAATGACCACTTAGGAGGGGGAGATTACCACTAAGGGGGTGGGGGGAGGAGGGGAATGTCTAAGGGGAGGGATGGAGGACCACTAAGGGGGAGTGAGAAGACCACCAAGGGGGGACTACAGGGGGCCAAGGGAGAGCACTAAGGGACAGGAGGGAAGGGGAAATCAATAATTGACAGGAGGGTGAGCACTATGCAAAAAATAAAAAAATAAAGAGCTGCTCCCCTCTCAGTCCCTATCCTACCCCACAAACCCTCTCTTTTACACTACACACATACACAATGCATCCCCCCCCACACACACACACAGAAACATACAATGCATTCCTACTCACACACCCGAAACACACAATGCATCCCTTACGTTCACACAAACTCATTCTCTTACACACAGAAACAAAATGCATCTCTTACACAATCAATGCACCCCTTACAGACACACACTGCATTCAATTAAATACACAGAAACACACCTTGCACCCCTTACACACACACACACCCAGAAACATACAATGCATTCCTTACATGCAAACACACACTGCATCCCCTATAAACACACTACATCCCTTACAGAAATTGGTATCCCTATACACTACATTCTATAAGAACACACACACATTGCATCCTCTACAATAACACATAAAACATCCCCTACACACATACACTCCACTTCCTGTCAGAGAACTCATGGGTGGGCCATGTAGGTGGATTTATGGGTGGGCATTGTAGGCATACTCACGGTCAAGCCCTGGGGGCCCAGACCCTGAGCTGTGTAAGGGGCCATAAAAAATGGAGCTGCTTCCTGTTCGTTAATTGTTGTGAGCACTGTTACAAACAGTCTCCAGAGAGCCTCTTCTACACCAGACCTGTGGAGCCAGACAGAGCCCATCATCAGCCTCTTGTCCTCATCTGGTGGTAAGTAGGCAATCCAATATATTACTGGTGGCACTAATCTCTAATTTACCTCACATTAAATGGACACTATAGTCACCAGAAGCACTACAGCATAATGTAGTGGTTCTGGTGTCTATAGCCTGTGCCTGTAGGCTTTTTAATGTAAGCACACTGTCTTTTCAGATAAGACACTTTGTGAAGACTGGCATTGGCCCATATGGCAAAGCATATGGGTGGGGCATTGTGATGTCACATGGTAGGCAGGACATATGGGTGGGGGGGGGCGGCCTGCCTGCGCGGCTCTGGAAATATGGTAAGTTTCTACTCGTGGGTTACAGGCACATACAAACACGCATAAATAACTTTATCTAATTATTGCGCGCACACACACACTCTCTAAAACATTCTCTAATTACCCATCCTCTCCTTCGTTGATTGCCTTTGTCCAATGATGAGGAGAAAGGCACTAAAGTTCCCGTCTTCCATCCATGCTGTCTAGAGGTGGGGGTGAAGAGGAGGTGTACATCAGCAGCACAATTCCACCCCCCCCCCCCTCCTGCATACTATATATTAAGCAGGCGTAGGGTGTGATTTCAGATCCTGACAGTTGCTTGAGTCGATTGACTGCGTACATTCAGACCTTCACAGCTCAAATGGTGTGCTACAAAGCTGTTTGGGCTGCCCCCCATGGAACTGTCACTGGTCCTAAGTAGTGGTTGTTTTAAATTAAAAAAAGAAAAAAAAATAGGAATTGTGCATTCTCTATTTGTCTGTCTTGGTTTATGATCCAAATAGACCAGTGACCAGAAACCAGCCATGGGAAGTATTGTAGAGGCCATGGGTGGTTTCTGGTCATTGATTTGTTTGGATCATAACCCATGCTTTAATAAAATTTAAAAAAAAAACTACGATTAATACAGCGTCCTTTGTTCAGGCTACCTGTACAAGTGTAATATGAAGTCTGAAACATAATACCAGTCTGTGTTCATTTGCATTCAAGTTGGGAAATCTGGTTTAGTTGTTGAGATACGATATCTAACGTTTCTGTGCCCAAGGGGGCTTCTGAGCATCCAACCTGAGATATGCAGGTGATGCACAACAGTAGTTGGTGAGTGTGTGTTTGTGTGTATAGAGAGAGAGCTGTGTGTGTGTGTGTGTGTGTGTGTGTGTATATATATATAATGCATATACCATACATACTGTACATATATGTACACCAAGGCTTCTTCAACTGTGCAGTGATCACTGTTCAGACCTGATAGTAATCAGCCAATGATAATGCTTTATTGTCTTTCTATTGCAAGTGCAAACCTGGTACCATAATTACGTAGTTTTTTTTTTTTTTCTGGGAAATGCAGTTTTTGTTATTTAGGTGTATGTTCCTGAGCCGTGACACCATGTACTGCAATGCAGTAGTCTGCAAGAAGGAAGCATTCTATATTTATGTATTTATTTATTTTTTGCAAAAGCTACAAATATATATTTTAGCATGTAAAAAATACAGCATGTTAAAGACTCCAAAGGGTATCAAATGTATTTAAAGTGGTGTTGGTTGCCCGAGTGTCACTTTTATCAGCAGTATAGTCAGTTACCACAGGGGTATACACAGAGGTGCTCGAACATATTGTGTTATGTTTACTTCTATGTATTTAACATCATAAATAAAACCATAGTGTTCAGCATGTATAAAGGGACAGTTGGGTCACCAAAACAACTTAATCTAGATTACATTTTTATGATGCCAGGAGGGCCCTGAGTGCTGCTTGTCCGGTTCCTCACTGATTCCTCACTGATTGGCTTAAAGCACTAAGCCAATCAGCAACTACCCATTGATAATAAAGGTATGTTTCTTTTCTCTTTTTTTTTTTTTTGGTTTTTTAATCAAATGGGAGCTACTGATTGGCTTAAAGCTGAGATTCAGAAGCCAGATGCCGGCTGGAGACCTGAAGCTCGGTGCTGGTGGCTAACTTTAGGGCTAAACTATTCGTAAATGTTCCTTAAGGTAAGAGTGCGCCTGGTGGCCTTCTAGCACCATAGCAACTTTATTTACATGAAGTTATGTTGACCAGAAGGTGCCACTTTAAATTTACACTGTACATGGGAGCTAAGATAGATTGCAGGATACAGAGGTGGGAGTTTCCACATTTGCATTTTATTTTTCATACCCCACAAGTACATAAGTATAATTTTTTTTTTTTTTTTTTTTTAACAAAGGATTAGAAAGCATAATATCAAAAATCCTGGGAAGTAACACTTTCCCTTTAAGGCATTACAGACTTTCCCAAAGCAAATTGCATACAGACATTTTTAGTTTTATGAATTCTACTGAACTGGAAAAGTAATGTGTGAAAGAAGCAAGTTCTCTTTTACAAACCCTGTTACAGCTGCCTGTTGTAAATTAATCCTGAACTCCGATGTGAGTCGTAATGGGTATAAATTTCATGTGAACATGAGCAGACTCTGAATAGAACTTTCAAATCCTTTGTGATTTGGAAAATTCCGCCCACAGTGTGTATCTATTTAGTTTGAACATGCATTTGGCCAGTATATGTCAGTCTTTATCCAGCCGGCACTGCGTGCACTTCCTGCTTTATGAACTGAGGCCAAAACTTTTCTTTTTCCATAATAATTTGATTTATTTGGATTTAGCAAACGTTTAGTTCGCACAGCAGGGGCTGAGCTAATATTATATTTACTGGAAAATATTTCGAAACTATGGGAGACCATATTATTTTATTCTGAGATTGTGATGCTGTCATGCATTATACCCTTCTTATACATCTAAAAGATGACTGTAGAAATACATGGGATTATTCAGTCTTTCACACCAAAGACTAGAGGTAGTCTGGTGCCTAATGGCAGTTGGCATCAGGACTGTGCATGGCGCTCAAACAGGCTGGGGAGATTTGGGGATTCTCCGATCTTACAGCTCTTTGGAAGAGGAATCTGCACCAGAGCAGCCCACCGCCGCTACAACAGCCCATGCCCCTCACCTTCACCTGTACCTAAAAAGTCCAGTTCCCACTGAACCCTAGGTAGCCCCACACATACACATAGTACCACACTTACAATTCGACATCATGCTTACAATTCCACAAACAGTCCCCATACACAGCCTACAGACATACACATAACATGACTGCTGACCCATATACCATCCCACTGGACACCTTTTAAAGTGGATAAGGGCAACGGCCACAGCTTTATTAAATAGTAAAAATTCTTAATTCCTGTCAGCTGTTGGGTGAGGACCCAACAGACAGTTCTCCATCCTTATTCTCCAAGAGCCCAACACAGCCGTCACTAGCCATCAGCCTTGCACTGACTGTCGTCTCCCCAAGGTAACCTTGCGTCATACTCCTTCCTTTTTCGGTTCCGCTGTCCAGGGAAAACCACCACTGCGAAGCCGTCCTGCTGCAGCCTGATCTGCGCCGGCTTTGCGCCCCCCCGTAGACCGCGCCAAATCAATGCCCGATTGCAACCCCACATTAAATATGTCCAGCCCAATCGGGGTTAAGTGGACCCCATCCTTACGCATCACGTTCGAATTATCCCCTTCCAACTCAAAGTGCCGCACAACTATTCCGCCCCGACTATGCACAAAGCGCGAAATAGCCACATTAATCTTTTGCCTACAGCGTTCAATTGCCTTCCCATAGCCTCCTTCCTTCCACACTGGGCGGGGCACTATCTCTGACCAGATCAGTGTCAAGTCACGAAAGAACGCAAAACAGCACGCTATATCATGATGCATGGCGTGAATGAGATCCACCGACCTCCGTCGGCCAACATCATTGCCGCCCGCATGCAATATTAACGTACCCTAACTTCCTGGAACGGGAATCCCAAATTACGGCCATGTGCTCTTTCTTCCGCCCTCCTAGCAGCCCAGTACACATATGAATGCCCCAGGATCCACACATAACGAGGAACGTGGCCTGCGAAACAAAAGTTAACCGTGCACTTATCCAAAGACATACCATCACAGCAAATGAGGCCGCACGTAAAGCTGGAACCGCCCCGATTCCCAGCGCCCAAGGCGCATAAGTGCCTCCGCTGGGAGACCCATTTCGCTGGCCTACGTCGCCACCCCAATTCGAAATGAATGAGTGGAATATAGCCTGGGGTCCCCCCCCCCCGACCTGCTAATGCACCTCCGCAGTATGCTAGCAAATTGGAAACGGCTCAGTGATGACCCATTCCAATGGACCAGCAGCGAGCCAACGGCTCCACCCCTGGCGCCTAGATATGCCTGCAACAAGTTCCCAGGACAAACCACACCCCCGGTAAAGCCGATACATACCCGCACTCCTGTACCCTCTTGATCCGTCTTGTACCACCGAATCATCAGTATCACGCACTCCGGTGCCACTGAGACGTCGGAAACCCTCAACGCTGCCATTGAACTCGCCCTAGCGGACACCAGCTCTCCGATCCGCATCGCCCCAAAGAAACACAGTGAAAATGCCATCCGAAGTAAAACTACCTCGTAAGTAGAGCTACAGAACTCCGGAAGAACTTCCAACAGCTGCAGTAGCATGGCCCCCGAGATAGGTCGACGTTTGTCGGGGACACGGCGCTTTTTCCACCCTTTAAAATGCGGGAAATGCAGAATGCCTTGGTGACATCCGACCAACCTAAAAAAAATGAAACAGGATAGAGCAGCCATGGATTGTTCGCCTGCCGCGGCCGACCTACCTGCGGAACACAACGACTCCAATAAAGACAGCATAATCTTCCAGAGTCTGATGCCACATCCCCACACCTACTCATAGCCCACCAGCAACCCCATACTGCAGTGTAAGCCTTCCATGAAGACTCCGACAAGGACTCCTGGATTAATCGTCTCAGATGTCCGAAACCAGGTCCCACAAGTAGGGCGGGCACAGGTTCCCGGAGCCGCGCCCCGAAAACTGTCTCACTGCAACAGAGAGAGTCAGCAATGACATTGTCCACCCCTGGCACATGCCTGGCTACCAACCACAAATTACATTGAAGACTGAGTAGCACTAGACGCCTGAGCAATGCCAAAACCGGAGGGAACCCAGATGTGGAACGATTGATCACCTGGAACACACTGTTCCGTGTGAACAATCACCTTCCTGTGCGCCAAGTCCGCGCCCCACAATTCGATCGCGACCACAATGGGGAACAACTCTAGAAACGCCAGATTACCCATCAGCTCCGAGCACCGCCAGTTGGCAGGCCACTCGGCAGCGCACCACTGCCCCTGAAAATAGGCCCCAAAACCTATGGACCCCGACGCGCCGTTAGACACCTCCGAATGCAACCAACACGAATGACCATTATACTCACCCAAGAAGGCGCTCCACACCTGCAAGTCCAACCGTAGCCGACTTGTAATGCGTATAAAGTGAAATGGTTGCTTCACCCCTACCGTGGCCAGGCGACGACAGAATGTTCGGCCCATGGACAGAACCCGACAAGCGAAGTTCAGGTGACCCAAAAGCGATTGCATCTGCTGCAGCTGCACCTTTTTGGAGCCCCTAACTCCATCAATAAGGCAGAGCAACTGACCCAGCTTCTCCTTCGGTAATCGAAATACCATCTCGCTAGAATCGATCTTGATCCCCAGATAATCTAACCTAACCACCGGCCCAAACGTCTTACTTACGTTACTGGGACGCCAAACTCGTGACGTGATCTGCCGGAATACCCTCAACAACAACGCACAGTTGTCGGAATCCCCCAAACCGACAAACAAAAAATCATCCAGGTAGTGGGTCAAGGAGGACAAACCCGACACCTGGGACACCACCCATTTCAAGAATGTAGAAAACATCTCGAAATATGAGCAGGAAATGGCACAACCCATGGGCAAACACATGACATAAAAATACAACCGATTAAATTGACAACCCAGTAGGTGGAAACAGTCCGGGTGGACCGGAAGCAAACAAAAGGCTCGATGTCCGATTTGGCGAGCAATACCCCTGACCCCGCCTCTCTCACCAACTCCAGACCCCTGTAAAACGAGGCATAACGCACTCTCGACCTCCTTATCAATATCATCATTCACCGACCTGCCGGATGGGTAGCACAGGTGGTGAATGAAGCGAAAGGCCCCAGGCTCTCTTTTAGGCACTAAGCTCAGGGGCGACACTCGCAGGTTAGGAAACGGGGGCTCAGAAAACGGTTCTGCCATGTGGCCCATGGATACCTTCTTGTCCAACTTCTGCTCAAGAATATTCTCCTTACCCGAAACCGACCATAAATTAACCTCAAACGACGGTGCATCAGAATAAACAAAGGGAATCCAAAAACCAAACAAGCACCCGTCCAACAGAATAATAGCTTCCCGCCGCTTAGGATACCGGTCTAGCCACGGGCGCATCCTTTCGACGCTCATTGGTGTCCTCCTGTCTAGGAACATCATCCTTGGAGTGCACCCCTTTTTTTGAAACAGTGCACGCCGGGATGCACAGCGCCGCAGTGCGAACACTCATGCCGGAACCTGCATGAACTATACCACTTGCTGTGGCTGTCATTAAAGAGCCAACAGACTCCCCTACGCTGTCCTGCCGGCGCACTAGCCAGCGTGCCGGCCGTCCCTGGAAAGGGGGATGGCCAACAGGGTGTCATCAACAGCAGCCACAAGCTGCCATCCTGCACCCTGAAGTCCATGCCCTCGCTGACCCCCATCTTCTGCCGAAACTGCTGGTCGTACTGGAACCAGCATTGACCCCCAAAATGAGATCCAAATAACCAAACAAAGCGGGAGCATTGTCCGGAAAACTACCCGTTCAGATACTCGCAAAAAACGAAAAGCCTTGAAGCCAATTCCCAAAAGTCCAGGGAAGCGGCTTACCTCTATCACCGTCACCCATGTCACCTCGCCGCGGTCTATCCACCGACTCCCTAGCTGGAGGAACCAGAGCCAGCAAGTCGACATACTCACCCTGGACTAGTTTGTCCATGACGTCTGCTGCCACATGCAGACCTAGCGGGGACAGCTCACAGCCCGGCAACCGTGGGCGAAGGATACCCATTACTCTGTCCCTGACGGGAGGCCGCGACACAGCTCCCAGCATACTTAGCGCAGTAGAAGAGGGGACAGCTCCAGGCAACCTCTCTAACACTGACCTCAACAGCCTGACTAAATCCCCTTGTCCCTGGGAACCCTGCCCTGAGCCACTACCCCCCCCCCTCAACCAGCACATCCCAAGCGCTAGCGCAATACTCACGTGCTGATGCTGCTGGAGGCAAACTGGACCCGCTGCGGAACACTGCACCCTCCTCCTCAGATCCGGAGTGCAGGCTGAATACCTCTTCTTCCCGCAGGCGCCGGATGCGCTCATCTGCGGTCCTTTTCGGGCCATCCTGAGGTGCTCCTGTACCGTATTGGAGCTTCTGGCACCGACCTGGGCTGTACGCGCTCTCGAGCGCCGCAGCATGCCGTGCGTACTGACGTCCGGCGTTGGACGCATGCAGGATTGCGTGCGCGATGATGTCTCACCTGCCCGCGCCGGAAGAGAAGCGCACGGGCTGCGCGACCTTCCGGACGGGTTCCCGCCATCCTGATCGCTGCCATCTTGTGACCCGGAATCAGCCATCACCTGTCCGGCCCTCCTCCGGCTCCCCGCTCTTCGCGCTGGTAAGCGCCTGGAATCACCGCTCCCGACATCGGACGGCTGGGCACTCCTACCTCCGCCGCACAGGACTCGGGGACAGACGCGACGGAGGCCACGATCTCCTGGCCCTCCATCCGCTCAGCGATGTCTCAGCTCCCTCGCGCCGATCTTGCCGTCCTCCTGCAGCCTGCTGAACATGAGCCAGCACCTGGTCCAACGATCCGTGCGACTCCTGGTAAGCTGCCATCAATCTCACCAGTTCCTCCAGAGATGGGGTGGCCATATTAAAGTGTTCTCCTTGTCCTTTACTCCCCAGGGACACCTAACCGGTATGATGATATATTTATTTTGGTTTTGCAGGCCCAGGTACTCCGCAACAGCCAAGGAGAAATGTCATTCAGGGAGAAAAAATTCAGACAGGGTGTATGACAAGCTCCTTCTGACTGGTAAGTCTCCTCCCCTGCTCCCCCATTATAAGTCCTTCCGCCTTTGCAACATTGTTGCTCCCATTATTCCATCCCACTATCCGGGGCAGCAGTCATGCTCCCCCTTCTCTTTGTCCAGGGGGACACTTTATACACTGTCCACACACACAATACCACAAATTACTCATGCAATGCACAATGCAACACAGACTGTATACTCACAAATACAACCCTACAACTGCAGCACCCATAGATAATACAAATACGGCAATATACGAACGTTAATTATAATTCCCAAAATGGAACGGCACACCAAGGTACTTCAAAGTCTTGATTTGGCACAGTGCTGCTAAAAGGTTGCCTACCACTAGTATAGGGTGTGACCCAGTGCTAGGATACATACAATTAATATAATGAATTCTAATTATTCAATTATGGTTTCATTATTCATATAGTGCCAACGCATTCTGCAGTGTAGGAGACATGGAGTAAATGGTATTATAATAAAACAATATTTGACTGATTGAAACAAACAGCAGATTTTGCAATCTCTGCCTGAAAGCTTCTCACTCATTGTTCTGTGATTCAAACTTAAACACAGATATTAATCGGAATTGTCACGTCTGTGACATTTACTTAACCCAATAGTTAACTACATTTTTAAATCCAATCAAAACTTTATATCATATAGTGCTGTCAAATCTCAATTTTGTCTGCAATGTAAATTATTTGATTAGCCTTCCCTCACATAATACATGCGCTGGCCGATGACCGCGCATGAGCACCTGCTTTGAAGGAAGTAGAGCCTGGGTGCGTGCCCATGGCATCTTCAGAAGATGAGGGAGCAGTATAGTTTTCAGTTTGCACAACTGAATTCATCGCCCTATTAGTGTTTACTCTGGTGAGAAAATATGGAACTCTCAGATTTTTTTTATCTTTAAAGGAACACTTGTATTGTAGTGGTTATGGTGCCAGGAGTCTGATTTTGTACCACAGGCCCCCTCAGCCCCCCATCACTTGTTAATAGTCAGTCTGTTCTCTAACATTTTAAGTAAGCTTAGAAAAAAAAAGAAGGATAGTGCGTAGGCGCTTCACTGTAATTTTGACAATTCTGTATATAGTATAAAGTATACAATAGATGGTGTACCCGGTACCCTAGTGCTTCCCTTATACACCAGATTTACATAATACAATAAAAAGAGACAAATACCAGTATATACACCTCCCCAATGTGATCACAACAAAAATAAGTGATATTACCAATATAGAACTGGACTGTAATGTAAACAGCGTAGAACTTGATTGGGGTATAAACTAAAATAGAAAAAACATAAAAAACATAGTGCAAACTGTATGATAATAAATAAGTGATAAATAGGTATGTGATTCTCACTCACATTCTCCAGAGCCGTACCAGGCTCTGTATAGCAGGCTCAGGGGTGCCAATAACTGGCTAACGATCCAGGTGGTCCAAATAGATGAGACTCCAAAGGTTAAATATAAAATATATTTATTTATAAAAATATATAAAAAAGTGTATACACTGCTGGGCACTATGGGGGTGGAACCCAAAACAGACAAGGATATATATAAAACAATAATGGAATTCCACTTACCCCTATCTGTATAGTAGCCCAGAGTGACAGAAATACACATAAAATAACAAATACAAATGCAGAAGATTGAAGCAGACGCGTTTCGGCCAACAGCCTTCCTCCAGTGCTTGTCTTCATGTCCTATTGAGTCTTCTTTTATAAGCCTTATCTGTCCCATTCACCTGGATCCAATTTCGTACCGGCGTCGCGTCACTTCCGGTTTCGCGGGTGACGTCACTTCCGGTTTTTCGGCCGGCTGGAACGCACGCTGAAACGCGGCGTTCAGGATGTAGATTGTTATGATTAAGTCCCCATAGCAACCTTAGCCTCCATATTTGCAAAATATCATAATAGAATAAGAAAAAACACAAATTAAAGATATAATCTATATATAGCATACACAATACAGATATTTGATAGCTATCATCAATCTCTTTATATCTAGAGAAAAATTTAAAGATGTATAAGATAATCTATTCTTAGAAAAATTAGAAAATTATACAATGCAATATGTGGCCATAGAACTCCCCACATAAATACCAATTAGACAAGAAGCAAGTATAACCTTCTAAATCTAATAGTTCAAATAAAGTAAATACTATAAACGATATATAGATCCTATAAAAAATGTATAAACTCAAAATCTAAATTCAATCCCTTCGGGGATAGGGTATTAACATCAAAAATCCACTTACCCTCTATCTTCGCTAGCTCTTTAACATTATTATCTCCCCTCCAATTCTTAAATTTCTTAAAAATAACAGTATATGACAGTAGGGAGGAATCCCCACCATGTTTCTCAGTGAAGTGTGCCGATACACTATGTTTCATATACCCCCTCTGGATATTACCCATATGCTCCGCAACCCTGGTTTTAAATGCCCTGGTGGTCATTCCAATGTATTGCAGACCACATGGGCACCAGAGGAGGTATATGACATTAGTGGAATTACAGGTTAGAACCTGATGAATTTTAAATGTGCGATTAGTAGAGTGAGAGGTAAATTCTGTCTGTTTATGTTTATCAAATATTGTTCTCTTACAGGCTAGACAGGATTTGCAGGGATAAAAACCCTTTTCTAGTCCAAAGAAGTTTTTCTTTTCCCCTTTATCCCTAATAAAACTTGTAGTTAGATGTTGTTTTAAGTTTTTTGCCCCTCTATAAATAATACGTGGCCTATCACCAATAATTTCTCTCAGATTCGGATCTAGTTTAAGGATACGCCAGTGTCTATTAATAATATGCTTAATTTGCTTGGCATCTTCACTATAATTCAAAATAATTGGTACCTGGTCTGCACCCTTCTTCTCCTCCCTAGGTATCCTTTTCTTCAGAACCTTACTTCGGTCCATCTTCTTAATGGAATTAATACAACTATCCAATTCCTTGGCGTCATATTTCTTCTCTACAAACCTGTCCTTCAAGCAAACTGCCTGTTCCTCAAACACTTCAGCATCACTACAGTTCCTAAACAGCCTAAGGAACTGGCCCTTAGGAATGCTTCGTAACCAGGATTCATAGTGGCAACTGGACATTTCTATGTAACCATTGACGTCGACCTTCTTAAAGAAAGTCTTGGTCTTAATCCCTTCATTGTCTACATAGATATTCAAGTCCAGGAAGTTAATATTGGATGCACTATACTCACTTGTCAATTTAATGTCTGGATGCTGAAGGTTCAAGAATTCCAAAAATGGCCGCAGTGATTCTACATCTCCGCGCCAGATGAAAAAAATATCGTCAATAAAACGACGATAAAGGACCAGGTTACGCGCCCAGCTACCTTCCTCCGTTAAAAACGGGTTTTCCCAATGCGCCATAAATAAGTTAGCGTAGCTGGGCGCGAACCTGGTCCCCATCGCAGTTCCCTTAAGTTGCAAGAAAAATTTGTGGTCAAACCAAAAGTAGTTGTTACAGAGGATAAGTCGAATTCCGTCTAGGATAAATTTAACCTGCAATTCTTTCAATTCACTCTGATTTTTAAGGAAATGTTCAATTGCTTCACAGCCAGATAAGTGTGGTATACTTGTATATAGACTTGAAACGTCACAAGTCACCAATAGCATATTATTATCCCATCTGATCTCTTTAAGGGGGTCCAACAGTGACATAGAGTCGCGCAGGTAGGATGGTTGTACAACCACCAAGGGTTGTAGTTGTTTGTCTATATATTCTGACAAATTACTCAAAAGCGACCCCACCCCTGACACTATAGGCCTGCCTGGCGGGTTCTCCTCACTTTTATGTATCTTAGGCAGGGTGTAAAATACCGGGGTCCTACCTATGACAGAGTCCAAATATTGGAACTCGTCCCTATTTAGGATCCCCAGTACCCTACCCCTGCCCAAAAGGGATGCATATTCTTTTTTAATCTGTCCAATGGGGTCACTTTTTAGTTCTTTATATGTGCTTTGGTCGTCCAATTGCCTATAGATTTCCTTCATATATTGATCTCTACTTTGTATGACCACCCCACCCCCTTTGTCGGAGGGTTTTATAATTATTTCTTTATTTGTCTGAAGTTCCTTTAACGCTTTCCTTTGATAGAAATCCAAATTATCCCTTTTATATTTCCTCTTACTATTATTATTTAAATTTCTCACATCATCCATCACTAGACGCTCAAATACCTTCATTCCCCCATTTATTAGGTGTCTAGGAAAGAATGTGGATGTCTTCTTAAGCTGAGTATGATGGAACTCTTGGGGGCCTTCTAGAGGCTCTAAAGGGGATATCTTGTCAAAAAATAATTTAATACACATTTTCCGAGTAAATTTGTTAATATCGATAAATGTGTCAAATGGCTTATTAAATTCTGATGGAACAAATTTGAATCCCTTTTTTAAAACTTCAATTTGAGATTTTGTAAGGATCATATCTGTTAGGTTAAAGATACCTATTGATTTAGTATCCTCCCCCTTTTCCTTTCTCTCCAGGATTCTTCCTGCTCTATTCCCTCTCCTGTTTCCTGATTTCTCCTTTTTTGGGGAAAACCCGTCATCTCCCTCCTTAAAGGGCCCTGCCCCAAAAAAGGTGACGATATAGGATTTCTTACCTCTCCTGGGGAATTTTCAGATAATGTTCTAAATCTGTTTTGATGTGTAAACTTCGTATAATTATACTCAGTCCCATATTGGGAACCCTGTCTCCTTTGATATGATCTGTTCTTATCTTGGTAGGGTCTTTTATTTGGTGTATATTGGTCACGAAATTGTTTATGTTTTATCACATTATGTCTCCTCACAGGATATTTATTAAATGGAACATGTGATTGTGGGGATTCCTTCCTCTGAAAATGTACCATCCTATCCCTAGAGCGTGATCTACTCTGTGGTTGAAATTTCTTTGAGAAAGAGCGGACCTTGTTGTGAGCATAGTCGCTCTTATCTCTCAGGAACTTCCTCTTTTTTATAACCACCGTTTCTTGTTCAATTTTTTCAACATAATCCTTTATTGTTTCTAGCGATTTTTCTACTTCCTCACAACCTTTTAATGGTTGTAGTTTTTCTTTTATTTCAGATATTTCAGTATCTAATTTTTGTAAATTTCTTCTTCTCTGTTGGATGCAAATTTTCATCATTCTTATGGAGAAGGATTCAAGTGCTGAATTCCAAATGTCTATAAATTCTTCATCATTTCTATCAAATGTGGGAGTTTTAAAAAACCGTAAACCTCTAGGGGTGATTTTATTCTCTAAGTACTTTTCCATAGTAAAGATCTCCCATTTAATTTTAGTTTCTCTTGTCAGAAGTTTTTGTAAGTTTTGGCACATGAGATCTAGATTGTCATCTCTAAATTTAATATGATCAGGTTCACATTCAAACCTGTTAGCTATTCTATCTTGCCAATTCTGTCTTTTCTCAAACAGATCCATTTTTTATAATGAGCAGCCCTCACTAATACAGGGAAAAGTATAAAAATAACAGAAAAAAAAAGAAGGATAGTGCGTAGGCGCTTCACTGTAATTTTGACAATTCTGTATATAGTATAAAGTATACAATAGATGGTGTAACCGGTACCCTAGTGCTTCCCTTATACACCAGATTTACATAATACAATAAAAAGAGACAAATACCAGTATATACACCTCCCCAATGTGATCACAACAAAAATAAGTGATATTACCAATATAGAACTGGACTGTAATGTAAACAGCGTAGAACTTGATTGGGGTATAAACTAAAATAGAAAAAACATAAAAAACATAGTGCAAACTGTATGATAATAAATAAGTGATAAATAGGTATGTGATTCTCACTCACATTCTCCAGAGCCGTACCAGGCTCTGTATAGCAGGCTCAGGGGTGCCAATAACTGGCTAACGATCCAGGTGGTCCAAATAGATGAGACTCCAAAGGTTAAATATAAAATATATTTATTTATAAAAATATATTAAAAAGTGTATACACTGCTGGGCACTATGGGGGTGGAACCCAAAACAGACAAGGATATATATAAAACAATAATGGAATTCCACTTACCCCTATCTGTATAGTAGCCCAGAGTGACAGAAATACACATAAAATAACAAATACAAATGCAGAAGATTGAAGCAGACGCGTTTCGGCCAACAGCCTTCCTCCAGTGCTTGTCTTCATGTCCTATTGAGTCTTCTTTTATAAGCCTTATCTGTCCCATTCACCTGGATCCAATTTCGTACCGGCGTCGCGTCACTTCCGGTTTCGCGGGTGACGTCACTTCCGGTTTTTCGGCCGGCTGGAACGCACGCTGAAACGCGGCGTTCAGGATGTAGATTGTTATGATTAAGTCCCCATTAGACAAGAAGCAAGTATATCGGCACACTTCACTGAGAAACATGGTGGGGATTCCTCCCTACTGTCATATACTGTTATTTTTAAGAAATTTAAGAATTGGAGGGGAGATAATAATGTTAAAGAGCTAGCGAAGATAGAGGGTAAGTGGATTTTTGATGTTAATACCCTATCCCCGAAGGGATTGAATTTAGATTTTGAGTTTATACATTTTTTATAGGATCTATATATCGTTTATAGTATTTACTTTATTTGAACTATTAGATTTAGAAGGTTATACTTGCTTCTTGTCTAATTGGTATTTATGTGGGGAGTTCTATGGCCACATATTGCATTGTATAATTTTCTAATTTTTCTAAGAATAGATTATCTTATACATCTTTAAATTTTTCTCTAGATATAAAGAGATTGATGATAGCTATCAAATATCTGTATTGTGTATGCTATATATAGATTATATCTTTAATTTGTGTTTTTTCTTATTCTATTATGATATTTTGCAAATATGGAGGCTAAGGTTGCTATGGGGACTTAATCATAACAATCTACATCCTGAACGCCGCGTTTCAGCGTGCGTTCCAGCCGGCCGAAAAACCGGAAGTGACGTCACCCGCGAAACCGGAAGTGACGCGACGCCGGTACGAAATTGGATCCAGGTGAATGGGACAGATAAGACTTATAAAAGAAGACTCAATAGGACATGAAGACAAGCACTGGAGGAAGGCTGTTGGCCGAAACGCGTCTGCTTCAATCTTCTGCATTTGTATTTGTTATTTTATGTGTATTTCTGTCACTCTGGGCTACTATACAGATAGGGGTAAGTGGAATTCCATTATTGTTTTATATATATCCTTGTCTGTTTTGGGTTCCACCCCCATAGTGCCCAGCAGTGTATACACTTTTTTATATATTTTTATAAATAAATATATTTTATATTTAACCTTTGGAGTCTCATCTATTTGGACCACCTGGATCGTTAGCCAGTTATTGGCACCCCTGAGCCTGCTATACAGAGCCTGGTACGGCTCTGGAGAATGTGAGTGAGAATCACATACCTATTTATCACTTATTTATTATCATACAGTTTGCACTATGTTTTTTATGTTTTTTCTATTTTAGTTTATACCCCAATCAAGTTCTACGCTGTTTACATTACAGTCCAGTTCTATATTGGTAATATCACTTATTTTTGTTGTGATCACATTGGGGAGGTGTATATACTGGTATTTGTCTCTTTTTATTGTATTAAGTAAGCTTAGAACTGATTTATTTATTTTACCCTGCTTTATCCTGTGCATTTTTGAACAATTTGCCATGCAATATTGTTTTAGTGTGGGCCGGGGAACTCCTTGAGAAACACATAAATGCCTTCCAGGTACTATACTATGGATAACTGCTCCAGTTCAGAACTATGGAAAACCTGTGAAGGGAGGACTAGAACAAATCACATTTGTTCTGTCCATGCAGTGCTAGCCATACCTCCCCTGGCTGTGATTCACACAGCCTGCATGGGGAAATTGGGTTTCATTTTTCAGTCAGATGTAAACTTGTTTTAGAAGTTTTTATCACCAGCTCTGTAAATTGAGCTTGAATCACACACAGGAGACTCCTCTAGGACCTAGAAGGCTATTAACAGAGCAGGAGATAAGAAATTCCAAATAAAACCAACTGTGCAAATAAAGTCCAAATGTTAGATGTTTCTTTACAGGAAGTGCTTAGGAAGACTGTGTAATAGAGGTGTGACTAGAGCTGTACAAACAAAGTGATTGAAATCGTAAATGGCAGAGAATCGAGCAGTGCACGATCTATACACCAAAACTACTTTAAGCTAAAGTTGTTTTGGTGCCTATGGTGAACATTTAATGCGCAACTCTGTTAAGACGGGGGAGTGGTTTCTTTGCAGTGGCTCTCATTCTCAGAATGGTCGACGCTGAGGATTCTACTAACTTCCAGATGGTTCCACCAACAGCCATAGAGCAGGTCTTAAAGTCACATGCAGCCTGTGTGAAGTTCTATATTTTTTGCCATAATCCCATGATTCTGCAGCAGTTTACCACATGTTATGGTTCAATCCCCGTTGAACTTCCATTTTGTGAAAACCAGGGCATAGAGTGAGGCAAGCAAAGCATGAATACTGACTGTTGTAACCGCACATGAACCTAAATAGTGCACATAGTAATTGATACATCCGCTCATTACAGAGAAACCACAGAACTCTACAACTACTTGCGGTTTTAAATGAGGGTAAGTATGTAGTTACTGCCTGCATATCAAAAAAACTATTTTAGGTCACTGTTCTATATTCCTTTTTTAGCCTCCTCACTGTACACCGTAGTCTTACGCAATATTATGCCATTGAGTTTGAAGAAATGCATTTGATCTTCTCTGTGTCCCATTCCAGGTCGCTTGACCAATGTGATACACCCTGCCCCCATCCCTTCATGGTCCCGTGGCCAGTATTGCATTCTTCTCCTTATTCTGTCCCTCTTGAAGTCCCATGACCAGTTTGTTATTCTCCCCTCTCTCTGTCCATTGACCAGTGTGGTTCCTTGTTCAATATGATACTCTGATCCTCTGTATCCTCATGAGGTTTCTTTTTTCAGTGTGATATCATCTTTGTTTCCATTGTCATCTCTAACACTATTGAGGTCCCAACCTGTATTCTTGTGTTCATGTTTCCTAGAGACTCTAAGTGCAGGAGTATGTAATGTATTTCTACACCTGATGATATCCCTCAGAATCTGCACCTTCGGGACCTAATTGGGGGAAGGAAGGACAATTTGTGTCTGCTTTTGTGGTTGCTTGAGTACACTCCTGGAACACAGCTTCACTGTCCTAGATGAAGTTTAATCTGTGTAGAGTGCTGTGTTGATATATATTGGAGAACCTTGTATTGGCACGCAGAGGGAATTGTTTGGGAAAACCACAAACATTGTGTAAAAATAAATATGTGTAGCGAGATGTTTATTTACTGGATTTTGTTATCCGGATGGTGGAAGTGTCACAGTACTAATATTTGCTTGGGAAACCGAAGTTAAATATGTGGTAATGTGTTCCTGTGCTAAATTATGATGTGATAATGGAATGTATATTATATTGGTATAATGTGTGTTGTGTTTTTTTTGTTGTTTTTTTTCCATGTTTGTGCAATTTATTAAATGTATTCCTCTCCCTTTGACAGCTGCTGGGCTCTGCAGTTTAACAGATAAGATGATTTAAAGGATAAGTCTAATCTCTTACAATCAGATCAGCAAATTGCAGCTCATAACATTGAGTTGCAGAGGTTAAATTACTTTACTGAAATACTAAACAGGCCTACCACTGTCACCGCTCTTAAAGGGGCCAAGTCATCTATAGTCTTTATATTTATCAAACAGGACCAAATCAAAAGGTTATTAGGGTGTTTTATATACTGCTTACCTATCTCTTCCCTTTTTTTTTTTTTTTTTAAAAATAATTTTTTTAACAAATGTGTTTTGTGAGCTAAAAAATAAATAGAATTTAATATAAAAATATGCAGTTTTTACCTCTATCCTAGAACTGAGTGTCTCCATCTTGGGTTTCTATTATTCACTGCTATAAACTATACTTAATTCTGTCAATGAACAGGTGGAATAACAAAAAACCTATTCTTCATTCTACTCATAATGCAGTCTGTGCCAGGAATGAACTATATTATAATGTCAATTGATAAATCTTTAATCTACATTTCAAAAAAAGAAACCATTAACACAACTTATGGGTAAACTTGCATTCCTTTTACTGGTGCAATTTCCAGAGAAGTGACAATTCCCTGTTACATGAACAATATAGTGTTTGGAATATAAACCTGTATTCCTAATGCCATAGTGCCCTAGTCACACATTAGATTAAGACAGTCTCTTTATTTGAAACAAGAAAGTGGAGACAACGTTTTGGCTCCTCTCTGAGCCTTTATCAAGTATAACTCTTGAAGGTAAACCTTGCCGTTTCTAAACAGCAGTATTTTACATTGAAGGGTTAAAACTTCAGGGCTACTGCACCTAGACCACTTAATTGAGCGTGCATTTAGTGGTTCTTTAAATCCCGTTGACAGTGGCATGGGATCTATAATGGTTTGAAGGGATGAGTCTCTAGTGTAAAAAAAGAGGTTTCTATTTGTATCAGCTAATTTATTCTCTTAATTATACTTCAATAGTTATATCAACCCAATTGGGCAAAAAATAAAGTCCATAAATAAAGATTTGGCTGACGTGCCACCTTATGTTTTTTGTTTTTTTCTATTTTAATTACTTTAAATTTTTTATTTTAAATCTATAATTTTCTTAACTGTACTGTTAAGGTTATAGCCACTTCTGTGACCTACAGAACAATTTACCATGTGTAAATACTAGTAACGTCGATTGATGTAACGCACAATGGTAACATTGACTCTATCATTTTTTTTTTTTTTTAATGGTTAGAGTTTGGCCTTGTTCAAGTTTGTTATTAAAGTTATCATTGTTACATTGTGTGGGTGTGTGACTCCCACTCTCCTCCTTTTCAAACCGTATTCTTTAACATTATCTAACCTGAATATAATATCCCTTGTGAACACTGTAGGGGCTGCCCCCTGAAGCGGTCATTGTCGCTGATGGTTTGGTGGGCGGGGCAAGTTTTACTTAACTGACCCTCTACTTCGCGGGCGCCACCATCTTGTCCTGTCTGGTCCTTTTCAGCACAAGACTATAGCATTGAGGTTCTATAGAAGATCCTGTGAGATTGCGGGATTCTCCGTAGATATAGCCAATTTCTCTGCAGCCTAGTACAGGTTCGGGCACTGACACTAGCTCGGCCCAGTGTCTAGAAGTATCTAGTAGACCCTGCTTTGTCCCAGGATATCTCTTGACTGGTTTGGAATTTCAACGATGAGATTCTATCTATATTAAATACACATTTTTCAGGGGGCGTGACATTGCTGATTAAGAAAAAGTGCACTCTGTGGTCCCTGACATGGCTGCAAACTGACAAATTTGAAGGCAAAATTCAATGTTACCTTCCCCAAGTGGCTAAAATTTAAGAAAACCGGAAAGTGTATTTTATTCCATTTTCTCAGATGTGTTCTCTCTCCCTGTAGTTATCCTGCTGTGGCCAATTATATTGCATTGTGTTGATTTGTGTGTAGATTAGTTCTGCCCATTAAAAGGGGTACCCCTCGTGCTCTCACATTACCACTGCTGTCCAGATTGGACAGAATTGATAATGTGGACATGGGAATTCTGTGTTATTTAGTTGGCTGAGAATGGCGTTCTCTCAAATCTAATCCCAAACATTTGAACAAAAAAAAAAATGGTGATGGAAGGGGTCTATAAGGGACATAACTACTCTGCGCTATGGTTACATTGTTTAGAGTGCACCTTACTACTATTATTGTTGGGTGTAGCATAGTATTAACTGTGTAATGTTTTACACATCCTGCACCAAAATGTAATTTGATTCAACAGACATGTTTCATATCTATAGGATCAATGTAATGCCATGTTTTTGGAAAACACTCATTGCTTTGGTAGATTGGGTCATTCGGACGCAATGATCCATTGACAAATAGAGTTTCTCCAGGTTTGTGAAATAACCATTTTATCAAGCACACTAGATGACTGTAAATTGTCCATCCAGACTGGTCTCTAAACAAGAGTCCTGTAGGTCATATCAATAATGTTAGTGTCACGTTAGTAACCTTTAAAAATACAAGCAAACAAAAAAAAAAAAAACACTTGGCATGCTCGTTATGTCTATTAAATAGATAAAACTTAGAAATATGCTAATGTTACATACTCTGTATAACATCTTCAAAAAGCAAAGCTTGTTTTTTTTTTTTTTTCATCCTTCCTGCAGTTTCTATAAGCTTGGCGACTCTTGGCAATGATGAGCAGTGACTCGCAAAAGGTGCTTAACATTTCTTCAACTGTCACAATGTTTGGGACAAATAATAGAATGAAATACGCCTTCCTTTGAAAGCAAGCTGAGAATAGGATCCTGGAGAGGTAGATGTCCTGTCAGAAGTCTTATTCCTTTTATGAATTGTTTGTATTCTTGCAATCTGTCACGTGAAAGTAGAAATACTCCATCCGTAACATGTTGTGGTTCATAGCGAAGCAAAGGATTGTTTGATCCATAACGTCAAAGTTTTTAGTTTTTTTTTTAGTTGTTTTTTTCCCAAGACCAGGGATGGCCAATTTAACCAATGGTCCAACCTCTCAACCCACTTCTACAAATCGATATTGGACCTGTGCAGGTTAGCATTGATTCCCAATGCCCGCACTGATAATTATCAACTTGTCATCTGATCAACCCGCCTGAGCGTAGTTCATTCCATTATTGATCTCCTGCTCTTGGGCAGACTAGATGGGCCGAATGGTTCTTATCTGCCGTCAAATTCTATGTTTCTATGCTCTCTCTCTCATGTGACTGCTAGAACATAAAATGACCGATATTTTACTATTATTATTTTTATTATTATTAAATTTTCTCTCAATAACAAAAGTTCAGATTCCCTTACCCTATAATATTTCATTTAAAGTATGAAATGTCACTGTAATGTTCTTGACGTTTTTATTTTTTCTGCGTTTACCAAATGCAGTGAGTAAAGCGACACGGATTATGAACTGCATGAATTATGTCTGAAGTTGTGTGTTAGTTTCTGCTGACTCTGGGATACATACTTTGTCTATATATGTCCCACTCTGTCAATGTAACATTACACTAGCAGGTACATTGGAGCTGCACCTCGGCCTTGGTCCAGATGGAAAGTACATGGGTAAACAGACAGAAGACCGTACACTCCGTGGTCCCCTTATGTCTGGCCCAACTTGCTGAAATTATGGTTTCCCAACATATGTTTTAATTTAATTCGAGACTTTCTAGCTCTTAGTGTTTATTCCTGTGCATTCACAGTGCCATTCTGCTGTCTTACAGAGTTTGGAATTGCATGGGTTGTGTACACAGCTCAATATTGTCCCTAGCACACAGTACAGTATAATGGTATGTAGCAGAGTATTGTCTGTCATTGTGCAGTAATGATGACTCTTTGGAACAGTCTCCGAAATTACTGTATAAATAGTTTTTCCTTTTGATTTGATCAGGAATGATCACCTGTGATAAACAAAAAGACAATAATAGTGAAAGAAGCAGTGCAATGACATTATTAATACATTAAAAAGTTATTTAAAGACTATAAACACTTCAGCTTGCTGAAGTTGTTATGGTGCAGTGACCCGATCTGTACAGTGTTTCTGCTAGTCCTGAGCCATTTCAAGTTTTTTTGACTCCTCCTCTGCTTCCTGTCAATCATCCAGACCAAATCGAGAGTTCCGGGCTCGCTGTCTTAATTTGTCCAAATTTAGCAGCTGGAGAATGACGAATTTCCATTTTACGGAGCGATTCCTTTTTATTCTGCTAATCTGCTTATTCAGTAAACCACCACTTTATGGAAGTGACCTTTCTGCAGATGACACATTCAACAGTGCACCGAGGGAAAACATTTAAGTTGAGTTATTTATAATTTTTAAATGTATTTATTCAAATTGTTAATGCATTAAAAATAGGTGTAATTTTTTACCCTGTACCCTAGAAAAAAAAAATGCCTAACCTTCAACATTTGCAACAATCCCTGGTCTCCCAGTTAAAAGAATAGGAGACCCATCATACATTAATGCACAATGCTAAATGCTTCAATCAAAAGCTGTTTCCTTGTATGTCCTACATAAGCCAGCCTCTTGTCTTGATGTAACAGCATCCCTTTGAGCAGTGATACTTAAAAGGCTAATGACTACATTTGATAAATTTTATAACTTTTTTTTTTACAAGCTTTAATGCTTTAATTCTGTTTGACATGTTCTGGCAGACGGTAATCTCAATACTATACATGATTTATTGCCTGTGCAAATGGGGCAATTTAATCTGTTTCTAGCTATTGAATACTGGCCTTGCCTCTTACTACTTTGTTTGTGCTCATCTGATTTTTAAAGCACGGTTTCTCTCGCAGCCCAGCAACTGGTAATTCAGCTTGTGAATTGGAAATATTACAGCCGGTTTTGAAAAAGTGATCTTAAGCAAAATATATATATAATGTGACTTTGTAATTCTTTTAATTTTTGAAAGCGTGCAGTGTTTATTTGAAATACAGTCCATAAAGACTAAATGCTTCAATGTTTCAGTGTTCACTGGATATATACATCCACACATAGGGCTGTACCTAATATATGCATTTACACAAATGTGAACATATATGTATATATGTTTATTTATATATTCTAAATAAAATAGATTTGTACTATTTCCATAATGGATATATTTGTTTCTCACGCCGAGGACATCCCCACAGGTTTACCTGACATGACGAAGCGCTAGGATTCCTTTAATAAACATCCAATTATATAATTACAGTTTATTAGCATATAAATAAATCTAACCGGCAATCTTTATAGTCGCCTGGCAGATTGACAGCATGTAGCACTGTGTCAGGGCACGTCTGCATAGACAACAGGTAACGTAATTGGTAACCTACATATTCAAATAAATCAATAAATACAAATATAAGATTGTAACAGAACGTGTACTTTATAAAACATTTTTAACCAGTAATACCTGTGCTACTGATTTTAATTGTGAATGCTGGGGTTACAGGAATCTTTTTACTTGGGTATGTGCAAGGATTTGGACAAAAGCTGAAATTCTAATAAAGGGACACATCTTATCTGTCCCTCTTTTCAATTGGACTCTTATGAGACAGACTGTCAAATTTTGGCCTGTGTTGCAAGTACCTTAAATTGTGTTTGTTTTGTTTTTTTTGTGTTTTTTTGGTAACTTCCTTTTTTAATGTATCACGCAAAACTCACAGAATTCCATGTCCATGGTCATACATGTATGGGTGCAGTGCCGGTGCTAGGATTTTTAGTTACACAGGCGAACATGCATTTTGGTGCCCCTCAACCTCCTTTAAAAAAAAAATGCATCTTCACCTGTGTGTATTTCCTCCCAAGCCACAGGCATAATTTTTCAGTCACACAGTCAAAGTCATACAGGTACACTGTCATACAAACACAGAAATAATCATACAGAGACATTTAGACACATACAGTCAGTCAGAGACATACAGACATACAGGCAAAGACATACATGCATACAGAGACATGAAGGCATATAAAAACATGCATACATACAGAGGCATACCGTCATACAGACACATACATACATACATACAGAAACATACATACAAAGACATCCAGGCACATACATACATACAGGCATACAGAAACATACAGGCATGCAGACACATACATACATACAGGACATGCATGCATACAGAGACATACTGCCATACAGACACATACATATATACAGGCATACAGAGACATACAGGCATACAGAAACATACATACAAAGACATACAGGCATACATACAGAGACATACAGGCATACAGAAACATACATACAAGACATACAGGCATACAGACACATACAAACATTCATACATAGAGAGGCAAACCGTCATACAGACATACATACATAAACATACATACAAAGACATACAGGCATACAGAGACACACAGACACATACGTACATACAGAGACATAAAGGCATACAGTTACACACATGCATACAGAGACATATATACAGACATTCAGAGACAAACAAACATTTAGTTACATACATGCATGCATACAGATACATGCATGCATACAGATACATGCATGCATACAGATACATACATGCATACAGAGACATACATACATAGAGATAGATACATACATACATACATACAGACATACATACAGACATACATACACAGACATACATACACAGACATACATACACACACACATACAGAGACATACATACATAGACATACATACACACACACATACAGAGACATACATACAGAGACAGACATACATACATACAGATACATACATGCATGCATACAGAGACATACATACATAGAGATAGATACATACATACACACACAGACATACATACACAGACATACAGACATACACACATACAGAGACATACATATAGAGACAGACATACATACATACAGATACATGCATGCATACATACAGAGACATACATACAGACATACATACAGAGACATACATACAGAGACATACATACAGAGACATACATACAGAGACATACAGAGACAAACATACATACAGAGACATACTGACATACATACAGAGACATACACACATACAGAGACATACATACAGACATACATACATACAGACATAAATACAGAGACATACATACATACATACATAGAGACATACATACAGACATACAGACATACATACAGACAGACACATACATACAGAGACATACACAGACATACATACATACAGAGACATACATAGAGACATACATAGAGACATACATAGAGACATACATAGAGACATACATACAGACATACATACAGACATACAGACATACATACTGAGACATACAGAGACATACATACAGACAGAGACATACATACATACATACAGAGACATACAGACATAAATACAGAGACATACATACATACATACATAGAGACATACATACATACATACAGAGACATACATAGAGACATACATACAGAGACATACATACAGAGATATACATACTGAGACATACAGAGACATACATACAGACAGAGACATACATACATACATACAGACATCATACAGAGACATACAGACATCATACAGAGACATACATACAGAGACATACAGACATACATACATACTGAGACATACAGAGACATACATACATACATACAGAGACATACAGACATAAATACAGAGACATACATACATACATACATAGAGACATACATACATACATACAGAGACATACATAGAGACATACATACAGAGATATACATACTGAGACATACAGAGACATACATACAGACAGAGACATACATACATACATACAGACATCATACAGAGACATACAGACATCATACAGAGACATACAGACATACATACATACTGAGACATACAGAGACATACATACAGACAGAGACATACATACAGACATAGACATACATACATACATACAGAGACATACAGACAGACATACATACAGAGACATACATAATTACATACTTACATCTGTTAAATCTTGTCCCCTGGGTGCATGCTGTCCGGCTCTGTGGAGTCCAGTCCTGCAACCCAGCCCCATCACAGGGCGCCAGCCGCGCTGTGTGGGACACAGGGAGCAGGGATATGATGTCATTCATATCCCCGCCCCCTCCACACAGCCTGCGGCAGACACCAGGATAGGAGGTGGGCGGGCCGAGGCTGAGCTCCGCGGGCGGGAATCTCTGGGCTGCGCTCGGCCACTCTACAAGTAGTAACCAGCTGGAGGGGAGCCAGGTGCGCTTCCCTCCTTCCTGTCTGCCTGATGTCGCGCCCCCAGGGCTGGTGCGCCCTAAGGCGGCCGCCTGGGCCGCCTTATGGTAGCGCCGGCCCTGTATGGGTGATGGATATGGGTTTGACAAATGCAGACACATGTGAGACATCCTTTGTCTCTGCAACCTCTGTCAATATGACATCATATCTGTGTATGATTCCTGTGACTCTATTGACACCAGCAATGTCCTGCAAATGAGATAAATGTCTTATCTCACCCCATGGTCATTCTCAAACCCCTCTTCGGAGGAAACGGTCTATCGCTGCTCTTCAATTGTCCAGCCCACTGCTGACCAGTTTCATCAAGTGACTATCTCAGTTTTCTATAACATGGTGTTCGGAGAACTTGTTTCTTCTGATTATCGTTATTTGATCTTCACATCAGATAATATTTTGATTTCCATTCATGGTGAATGTTTATAATGTTGGGTCGTTATGTTACCAGATATTTTAACAGTGCATATAGCATCAAATTTTTGATTAGTTTGCTCTTGGTAAAAGAATTGCTATTTACACACAAAAAAAAAATGCAAAACAATATATGTTCAAAATGCAACAGAAAATAGGTCACAGAATTGTGTAATAGAAAAGTCCATGACAAAATACATGCTCCGAGCATGCATTATGTGTCCGCAGTCTCAGTACTGTTATATTGCCAAGGCTTGAGTTTATAACAAAATTAGTCATCTGTCTACTCCTTTCTGCTCCACGAACTCATTTAAGTCATCGCGCGTGCGTCATCCAAATATTTTGGCGTGTACAGTCCATTTATCACGAGAATTCCCATAAAGCAGAAAATATCCCTGTTTTTTTTTCTTTTTTGTAATTGTTCACATAGTCCTGTTATATTTGGCACTTTTTTATTTAAAGTGATGGTCTAAGCCCTATAATTGTTAGCGAATAGTGTTATGAGATCGGAGACTATTCATGAGATGGAGGAAAGTGAAGGGATAAAGGTGAAAGGGGGGGGGGGATGGTAGTGATGGTAGATGGTAGTAATGTGTAGGCACATTGCAGAGAAGTGGTGGGTGAATCATGTAAGCGTCTTAATATCACTCACAGGCCACCAAGCCCTATCATTGAGATCATAGATGAAGTAGTTGGCCAATGTGTAGACACAATGCTACAGCATTTTTCCCTTCTCGAACAAATGTCAACTTTAAGAAGTGTCAGCGCCTTATGTTCTTGCAGTATTACCTGTACATGAACAGGCCAGCCCCTGATATAAGCTGGCCTTGACTTGTGGAGTTGAGCTGCAAATTGTACTAAAACAAAGGAAGTGGGTAGTGTTGCACAGCCTCGGAGGGTGGAAACCAGCACAGCAAAGATACTAAGTCTTCCCAAGAATGCCTGTGGCATATGTTCGGTTAATGGAGGCAGTTGTTTCTGCTTGCCTTCTGTCTAGTTATATCTTTCTAGAAGATTCTAGAATGTGTTATGCATTGTTTTTGTGCTGCAACATGTCACTGGTTGACCTTGAGGAGATTCATGGATGCTCACAGACCCATGTTAATTATTCTATTGCTGGAATTTTTTTCTGTCATGTGATAGCTGCATAACATCCTAAAATTCCTTTTCAGTTTGGTTTTAGCAAACTGTGATTTATGAAAGCTGCACGTGTTATACCCTCTTGTAAACAAACTGGTCAAGGAGCAATTTATTCTTGAGTAACTTTGGTTTTCTAAGTTTATTGAGCAGCAAACAACCATCCATTGTAACATCAGGAGTATTTTTTTTACAGTTGTGATCTAATTTAATGGAAATAATATTGCTGCTGAAATCTTATGTAAAGTAAAATTGTTAGGCTGTTTTAATGCAGAGGTTGAAGAAGGCTTGCCTCAGTGGAAATTGTGTCAGTGAAGCTGGCAATGTGTAGCGAGCCTCTGTCTCTTACCTGGGTCCACCCGCGTTCTCTATGATGCTGAATTCGCTTCCAAACGTCAAATTCGCCGGACCAAATTCAGCGCATAATTATGACGTCTATAGTCATGCTGATAAAGATTTCTACAAACCACATGCCAGAAGGAATTCCCTCTTATGACATGGACCAATAGAGCTTTTAAGCCATACCTGTTTATACTTTCTTCTCGTATCCCATGAGTGAATTCCTTGTGTATCCTTTTCCTGGTATCTCATTTATCTGGTTTATCCCTTCTCCTGATCTCTGTAGTCTTTTGACCATGGCTTGTTATCTTTTTTCCAGTAAAACTGTTACATCTTTTTTCCATTTCTCTCCTGTCCTTGACCTCTGCATGCTCTCTGACTCCTCTACCGTTATTCTGGCCACTCTAAGGATCGGTACATGGAAAGTCTATTGTGCTACAGCCTGTACGTTTAGGTTCCACCGATACTGACACAATGCATGCTGGGGGTTGAACACTTCCAATTTAAGGTATCCATTGCAGGATATCCAGCCATCCTAACATGGCTTGCTTAAATTTACTTCGGTTTAGGCTTAGGTTTATCTTTGGTTGTTATACACTATTAACAAAAAACCTTAAACTTTTCAAAAGTAATAGTATTCATTTGGTTAATCTGGTGTTGCTTGTTTTTTTAAAAAAATTTTTTTAGTTGCACCTACTTAAGAGTCATATTTGGTTAAAGGATTACTCCAACCAAAAATAGTGTTTTAATAAAGCACTGTTTTTTTTTTAATTTTATTGTAGTAACTCTTACTGGCATAGTCCAACCGATTTAAAAAAAAAATAAAAAATTAAAATTAAAAAAATTACCTCTAATTTTACATGGATGCCAGGAGATAGACTTTATGAAGAACTGGCCAGTGGGAGAACTTGGTCAGCAAAGGGGTGGGGAGTTCTGCCATTGGTCATCTGTCGCGATCATGCTGTTCTTGCTGACGACCGATGCCAAGCTTTCAGTAGGAATTTGCTAAAACTTAGGTTAATTGCAAGCTTATTTGGTCACTATGATTTTACAGCGATCTCTGCATTGGCCCAGGTGTCTATAGAAGGTTTCGAGATCAGCTCCTGGACCCAGCTGAGGTAGTAACATATTAAACAAGGTGAACACCAAAGGTAATAGATGAATAGGCCCATAGGAAGCCTGTGACCAAACAGAACATCTTGTGTGCCTTGAACATTTTTTTTCCAAGGAATTATTATTGTTATTTATATAGCGCCATCAGATTCCGTAGCGCTGTGCAATGGGTGGGCTAACAGACATGGAATTGTAACCAGACAACTGGACGTACAGGAGCTTACATGCTAGAGGAATGAACAACAAAACCTGTTAATCAAAATAAAATCAATGGCAGTGTGGAGACTCTGTCAGTGATGTCTTCTCGTCCACTTACAAGACCTTTGGACTTTATTTTGTAAAACTCCAATATCTCCAATAGCCAAAGGGTACACTTTTGTTATGGTCCCGAGGTGGTGTGTGCATCATAACCTGGATAGTTTGGCTCCATATTTCTGTCATAGTCTTAAGGCCCTTCTGCAGAAATACTGACGGAGATGCATGCCAATCCGTTTTCTCTTTCTTTCTATCTTTTTCCCCCCCCCCCCGAGCTTGAGAACAGAAGAACTTAAAGAACGAATGGGTTTGGTGCTCTGAGAATTTCCTGGGCCGAATTCCATGTGCATCTCTGGTATTTTTGCTTTAGGCACCATTCCCACTCCCAATACATTCTTAAAAGTGTAATCCCACTGAGAGCACAATATGAACGAGGCAGCAAGTCGCACAATCTGTTATTTCATAGTGATAAAGCAAAGACTTAATGGTTTTCCACTGAGGATTTGAGTGGATCTGAAAATACCATTTACAAAGCAGCATTACAACAATGTGATAAAGGCAAAAAAAAAAAAATCTATATAATTAAAGGGGACCTATCCTGCCCCAAACAACTTATGCTCATTTGATTTGAGCATACGATTCCATCTATACATTGTGCAAGTAGTTTTATAAGCAAATGTATAGATTACGAGAAAATCCTATTTAAAATTAGTTTTTTCTTCCAGCTGTCGGTCAGTGCCTCTGAGTGCCGAGGCATTGACTAACAAGGGAGAGAAGAAAAGACCTCCCATAGGAGGTCCCTTTGCTCTCCACCCATAGCGCTGTGGTTGCTATGGAAACTCCCTAACAGGCACTTCTGGTGCAGGCTAGGGAGTATAGAACTGTAATGACATAATGTAATTTTATTACACCTTCCTTGCCTTTTCTTTGTTGCCAGTAGGGGGCATTAGACTGGTCCAGTAGCTTTGTGCAGACCGCCAGGGATTTTTACATTGAAGAGGGGGCAGCTTGGATCCAGCAAATGCTCTCTTCTGAATCCAACAGATCCTCTCTCCAACTCTCATAAGCCTGGTATGCAGCGTGGAGCATTGCCATGGTAATCCACAAAAATGCTATGACAGTCGATGGCTTGCAAGAATTTTAGAAAGGAGCCGAAGGTAGTGTGCGCTGGGCCTCCGCCACTGACCTCATCAACAATATCAGTATCATTTTAAGCCGATACTGACAATTGCCAAAATGCAGAATATCAGCTGATTATATCAGCCAGACCGCTAATTGGTTGTTACCTGCCCAATACACCATGTAATGTATCTTTGAGATATATGGTGTTTTCAATGTATTTGAGGTAAGTGAAAATTTTCATTACAAGTTCACTCTAAACAAAGAATAAGCAAATATTGATTCCACTACTATTGATAGTTTTAATCGTGCTATACAATTGTGCTGTGCAAACCTCAGAGTATGATTACCTCCTACTGCTTTTGAAAATTTTGGAGTAACACAATGGAAAGGGCTCAGAAACATATGCAATCAGTCAAATTATATTGTCATTGCTAAGTGTAGTTGGAGTTTGAATGCAAAACTTATTTCTGTGGTTTGCTAATGTAATCATTACCTAAACATGAAGTTACATAAATAAAGCGAAATAAAAAAAAGTACAAATCCCACCATCACGTTTATTTGGTCAATGTGTTCTTACACAGTCCAGGAATAGTTCTGGCAAGTGCTTTGTTTATACAACTACATCAGAAAAGCCAACATTTCTTCTATTACACAGAGCGCTCAATAAAGCCACACACACCACTATACCTGAACGTTGTTCCAGTGAGCTCTGTGCTTTCCTCATATTGTACATTTAACAGAATGTTTGCTGCATTGAGCTGTTTTGTCCTTGTATAATTTTACCACAATACACAGATCAGCCACATCATTGAAACCACTGACTGGTGAACTAAATAACATTGATTATATCATTACAATGGCACCTGTCATGGAGTGGGATATATTATGCAGCAAGTTAACAGATCTGAGTGACTTTGACAAATAGTGATGGCTGGACGACTCTGTCAGAGCATCTCCAAAACGGCAAGTCTTTGGGGTGTTTCCAGTATGCCAGTAGTACCTACCAAAAGTAGTGCAAGGTAGGACAACTGTTGGACCAGCAATAGGTTCATGAGCACCCAAGGCTAATTGATTCATTTGGAGAGCGAAGACTAGTCCATCTGGCCTGATCACACAGAAGACCTACTGTAGCTCTAATTCTGATAAATGTAATGCTGGTCATGATCGTAAGGTGTTGGAACACATAGTGCAACACAGTTTGCTGTGTGTGGGACTGCGTAGCTACAGACTGGTCAGAGTTCCTATGATGATCTCTGTCTACCACCTAAGGCACCTTCAATGAGGACATGAGCATCAGAACTGAACCATGGATCAATGGAAGAAGGTTGCCTGTTTTGATCATTATTTTTATTTTTTTGATCAGGTGGATGGCTGGGTACAGTTTAGTAAGTCCTCATTTACCTGTGGAAGAGATGGCAGCAGGATGCACTATGGGAAGGAGGCAGCCCAGTGGGTGCAGTGTTATTCTCTGGGCAATGTTCTGTGGGGAAATCTTGGGTCTTGGCATTTATGTGGATGTTACTTTGACACGTACCAACTACCTAGAGATTGTTGCTGATTACATACACCCCTTCATGGCAATGGTGCTCCCTGATGGCAGTGATCTTTTTCAGTAGGATAATAAACCCTACAAATATTGTCCAGGAATCTTTTTTTGAAGACCATGACACAGTGTTATGCTTCTGATCAGGTCAGAGAGGAGACGATTGCAAGGGCTATTGGTTAAAACTCTATTTGTCGTTGTAGACATAATAAATTTACTGAAATAAAGAATAAAGTACAGTCTGCCACAAACAGGATACTTTGAGGAAAAACAGGGTTTAGGCAATATGCCACAAACAAGATCTTTAGAAAGTAAATGAATAAAGTCTTTTGTATACAAGCAGGCTTGAAGTTATACCAAGTAGTTAAGGATTTAGTTATAGGTAAATACCTTTTAGGATAAAGCAATACAGGATCATGCAGAGTTGCAGAGGTTGAAACAGGTAGGTATATTCCAAAATAATATAATGCAGGTTGCTTACGAGATCATGCAGTGATGCAGCAATTGAAGCAGTTAAGATTCTTCAATGAAGGAAATACACCACAAATCAGGATTCTTGGAAGCTGATAAGGAAAGTCTTTCGGTAAGATGTAATTCAGACAAATTCAGGCTGAAGTAATGCAGGTTAGTGCCTTTCATTATGAGGAAATGCAGATGAGTACAGGATGAGGCACTGCAGGTAAGTGCTCTACAGAATGAAATCACGTAGATAAAATACAGGATATTATCAGGAACAGAGATTCTTTATCAGAGCATAGACTTCAATGTCAATGCACTGTTGTGTGCCAGGAGTAGATTTATCAAGCCTCCTAATTAGTTAATCCAGGTGATGTTATTAAGGTGAGTGAATAGATTAATGATTAGGGAGGCCACTAGAGGAGAAAATCATGAAGTTCACTTAAAGGGCCAGTAATAAACGAAAAAGTCTTACATGTCAGTTTTGAAACCTGACACACAGAGTTCAAGGTGTTCCTTTGGCCTTCAAAGTCCCCAAATCTCAATCCAATTGAGCCTCTTCGCAATGTGCCGGAACAAATCTGATCCATAGAGGCCTCACCTTGCAACTTGCAGGACTTACTGCTAATGTCTTCATGTCAGACACCAAAGGACACGTTCAGAGGTCTTGTGGAGTCTATGCCTCCACGCATCAGAGCTGTTTTGGCAGCATGAGGGGGCCTATATGATATTAGGCAGGTGGTTTTAATGTTGGGGCTAATCATTGTATGTCCAGCAGTGAAATCTGTATGGTCTTTGTATTGTATAATACCAAAAACTGTGCAGCAGTGATCTCTGACCTGTCCTTCAATGTCTAAATTTGGAAAGAAACCTTTGGATTATGGTGAATGTAGTACGAATGATAAACTGGATACTAATTTGGAGTATGTCTCCTGAAACTCATCCCCAGGGCATATAATGGGAATAAGGAGAGTCATCTCTGTTCCGCATTTGAGAAGGTTAAACGCATTAGTCTCTGGGCAACTATGTTTGCACAGTTGCTAAAGGCCACAACAAATTTGTGGTAGTATCAAGCCTGTTTAAAGGATTTCTTAAAAAAAAGTTTTGACAACAAAAAATAAATGAAAATAAATCATGTATGCTGTTGAAATAAAATAAATCTACATGTAACACAACTGAGCAGTAATCACTCTCACTTGCCATTTATAAGGCTTGCTGCTAAAGCTTTGCTGATTAACCGGAACCTGGCTTAAATAACCAGCCAATCCGATGAGAGGAAGCAAGATTAACTGGTTCGATTTGGTGCAAGTAGTGGGGGAATAACCACGACCCCAATGCACTTCATTATAATTGTGGTTTGAGGGTAACAGACAATGGGCCACTCAATTATACATTTTGCCAACTTCCATTGCTCTTGGGTGGGAACTAAGGGAGTAATCACATGCCCAGTGGCTAATGCGCTTAAAGATTAAGAGGAGACCAAAGACAGACCTCACTTTAGTTCCATTCTAGGAATGTATAGTCCCACTACTCGTGTCTATACATTTTCCAGTGGTGATTTTATGCTTTTTTGAGAGACCATTTAAAATATATATGCCATTCTAGGATGGTGCAGGGCCATTGTAGCATAAGTCAGAGCAGTGGGAGGCAAGCGGGATGTAAAGTAGAAAGTAGTCACTATGGCAGCCACTACACTCTACATAATACTGGTTTTCAACCCATCACTACTCATTACTGGTTAACCAGTAAGATGAAGTGGTTGTGGTGCTTATAGTGATCCTATTATAAATGCAGGGCTGTATATGCTAAATCGGCAACTCATCCTATACTATCCTAGAATATTTAGGAGCCACATTGTAATGACTGCATAAAATATCATTGCTCCCTCAAAGGTTAATGCCTAGATGTAAAACATTTTTATTTTAATTTATTACTCTCCGATCACTTTTCACGGGGGGTGGAATCTGAAACTGGGCCCTGCCACATTGCCAATTCGATAACGCATCTCTGCTAAAGGGCAATTCTAGTTAATGTGTGTTACGCAAACATAAAAAAATAATCTGAAATTATACTTGGCAGTTTCCAGTGTGTGGAGAGAAAACATTGAGAATTGCTATAATAAACTGAATAAATGTTGTTTTTATTAAGCACTTGGATCTCCGCTCTTCTAAAGAGGTTTAACACAAGGAGAGTGATATTTTCTGTAAAAAAGGCTAGTTAAAGGGACACTAGTCACCAGAACCACTACAGCTTAATGTTGTGGTTCTGGGGTCTAGAACCTGTCCCTGCAGACTTTCATAGAAAAGGCAGTGTTTACATTCCTGCCCAGTAACACCTCTCCTCTAGATGCAGTCTCTCAGACGGCCACTAGAGGTGCTTCCTATTTCAGTGTTCTTCTCTGATCTGCATCTCTGTACAGTACCCAAGTTCAGCGTCTTCAATGCATCTTCTATGAGGAGATGCTAATTTTGCATGTGCCATAACCTCCCAATTGTTTTGTATTGGAAAGCATTGGATCGGCTGTTATCAAGATTGATGATCTCATCCATGGAGGCAGAACCAGCCACAACAAGACTGGTGCAGCGATGGAAAAAAGTTACATAAACTACCTTTTAACTGCACTCTGAGGGGACCTAGATCAGCACTATAGAGTGAAGAAAAATGTGTTTTACTTAAATATTAAATCACACGTAAAGGTTAATGTGGCAAACCTAGCCACTTCAGACTATTTTGTTTCACTTTAAGGGTTGCCCTAGAAAGACTGGTTTATATATGCAGTTTGATGTATCTGTTTAAAATGTGAAAGAGGGAATTCGTATGCTAGTGGCACGAAAGCCGCTCGCATTCCTATGGTAGTTTCACGAACAGTGATTTTCAACACTGTTCGTGAAACGAACAAAGTACCGAATGGGAGCCCACACACAGGGGGTCGTGTGGCTCCCATTAACTGATCGCAACATTGTATCTATCTGCTGTTATTTGATTCCTGGGTGGCCGTCGTTCGGCTACCGACCACGAGGTGGCGGCCATCTTGGATTTCCTTTGTGCCCAGAGGTGTTTGGTCGTCAAGTGCCTGGAACTAAAATCGGCTACTTGATGGCACAAACACCGCTGGACTTCCAGGCTGTTCGGGAGCGCCGGTCTTTTGGTACTTTTCCCCCACTTATGTATTCGTGACTTTTATGATGAATGTATGTTAAAGTATATTTCGTGCGGCGTTCGGCTGATTGTTTGGGGGATCTGAGCGGTACCTTCGCGAAGTGTGCGCTCAGACCCCAGTTATCTGCCGAATGGTCATTCGGTACAGTGACATGAATAAAATAAAAGTTATGTGATTTTTATGTAAAAAGCCAGTTCTGCTGTACGGAGGGATAATCCACTTAACAGGATATTCTAGTGGTATATGAGTATCCATATCGTACAGCAGTGCATGGTGGTAGAAATGTTCTATATGTTAAGTTCCCAGTGTAGTCCCCTACTGTACAACCCCTGTGAAGTCAGTAAGGGAACCCCTTGCATGGGGAACCACATAAATACTGGAGCTTGCGAATAAAATAGTCAGTTGACTCCCAGAACTGTGTTTCGTCTGGTTACGGGGGGGATTTGGTATATTGCCTTCATTTCAGCGCTTGGAGAGAATTGCTAGGACACTTTTTTTTTTTTTTTTTAATTAACCCTTGTCTTGAAAAGGGTGTAGGAAGATTCATTTTACAACCTGCTGGCTTATTGTCTGCCTTACAGAGGGATTCTTGTATAATTATTAAAGAGAGTTGAAGGATTAACATGATTAAAGGTGATGCAAAAATAAAAATCTGTGAGAAATGACTGCGATGTCTTTTCACGCTGGTGAAATGTCTTTTGAGGATTACTTGTGTCCTAATGGCCTTCAAGGTGAAAAAGGCCTTGAATTGAGATCCAGGAGGAAAAGGCAGAAATATGTAGCAGTCTTTCACTGACAGGCTCCAGAGGCCACTTGTCAAAACTACATAAAGACTCTGTTTTATTCTGTGACAAGTAATTCCTTCACACGCTGGCCGCTACTCAATAAATAACACTCGCTCATGCTAAATGAATAGGTGGAACATGCACGTTTTGCATTCGTCTTTGACTCTGTCATACAGTACAGGTCTGTGGAGATGTGCCTGCAGACTACCATGTTCATGATTCTAAGCCAGCCCAGAGTACTTAGCAAAACCTTGGTTATGCTAAGAGCCTAGCTGGCCATTGTGAGATGAAATATGAGATGAAAAGATATGTAAAAGCTTGACATTTAGGAGAAAAAATGTCCATGAATAATTCAGAAGATATTGGAAGTCCAATGCAGTTCCTGTGCTCAATGAAGTTCTAACTTTGGTTTTGGAAAATAAGTTATGAGCTGAATCTCAGGTTACCATCAACCGCAACTGATTCACTCAGATATCATTGGGATGTTTTGGAAGAAAATATAAAAATTAAATGTCCTTTATAATTACGTTATGGTAGAGGCCTTCCTGTTTTTAAAAAAAAAAAAGTTTTCTACACCATACTTTATCTTCGTATGCCGTGCATAATACATATTACCAATACGTAGTAAGCACGTTGGATACTTTGTTTTAGTAAGTTAATTTGATACACCTTGTTTGTATCAGTTCATTATGAGACACAATGAAAATGTACTTTGCGCTCTATTGGACTGGTGTTTTCGTGCCCCCTTGTTTTATTTTTTGTTCTTTTATTTTTTATGTTTATGTTGTATTTCTTTTTTCCATTATTGTTAAAAAATTTCAAAATTATTCAATAATTTTTGTAAAAATATTTTTGAAGATAAAAACACAGTTGAATGTCTCTTACCCCCTTTAGTTTCTCTTATCCCTCTTTAGTGTCTCTTGTAACCGCACTTGTGTCTCTTCTGCCACTTGCACCTGCCCTTTTGCACTACCCATGCACTACCCACTTCCCACACCTACTCCCGTGGTTCTGACTTCCTGTTGCAGGACTTCATGGATCCAGCCGAACGGTTGGTCTGCGATAGAGGATCTTCTTCACCGTTTACATAGTCTGACAGGAAATATTGGACCATTAAGTGATGTGCAAAATAAAACTGACAATGACACATGGTGCTTAAACAAGCTTACAATTTAGGAAAATGTGTCCTTTGCAATGTGTACCAATTCTTAGAGATACTTTTTTTTTTTTTTTTGGCCGGGTGTTTTGATGTCAAAGAGTTATACGTATGGCGTCATCGCTCTGACATCTTAGTTTGGGGACCTTGTGGTCACCTGGAGAAATAAAAAGGATTGTTGGAGAGTTTAATATATGACATTATTAGTTTTATACTCAAAGCCCCACTAAACCTGGGCAGCAGCAATTCCCACAGAACTGCTAAAAACATTATGCTTATATTTGCATAGGGAATTGGGATAGTGCGCAGGTGATTTTTTTTTTTTAATTTTTTTTTTCTCTTTTCACTTTAGTAGTTTGCTTCCCAGATTAGTTATCTTTACTTGTAAGTAAGCAAACATTTTTGTTTTTTGAGATCTCCTGAGTGGACGACCTGACTTCAGGATTAGTGATGTCGTAAACCGTTCACGAACTTCCCACGAACGGTTCGCCACGAACCATTCGTGACGAGCTCCGGTCAGCTGACACATCCTGGCCAATCTCGACACATCCCGGCCAAGCTGCCTTCAACATGGATGCTGTCCAGGAGGTGGGAGGGTCTGGGAGGGAGGGTCTGCTGGAGATTGGCCGGGATGTGTCAGCTGACCGGAGCTCGCCACGAACGGTTCGTTGCGAACCGTGGCGAGCCGTTCGCGGGAAGTTCGCGAATGGTTCGCGACATCACTATTCAGGATATTAAATTTTTTGTCTGGCCTCACAAGTAACAAATCCGATTTATATGAAGGATTAAAACCATATTCTTAGGGCTTAATCAAGCGCTATAGGTCCAGGAACACAAACCTGCATTCCTGACCCTATTGTGTTAAAATCACCATCCATCCCCCCCTTGCTCTCTCTTGCCCTCCCTAACTATAGTAACATCTTACTTTTATTCCAGTCTGCTGCTGGCTCTGCCTCTGACATCATTGGAAGTGATTCTCTGAGTCAATTTACAATGCTTTCACATAGAATTGTATGAGACTGTCAAGGAGGCAGATCAGGGGCAGAGCCAGCACAATTCAAACACAGCCCTAGCAAATCAGTATCTCCTCCTAGAGATGAATTGAATCAATGCATCTCTATGAAGAAAGTTTTTAGTGTCTGCATGCAGAGGGTGGAGACACTGAAATGTCAAGTCACACTGTGCAGCATTACCCCAGGAAACCCTTCTAGCAGCCATCGGACGAGTGGCCAGTGGAGTTATCACTAGCCTGTAATGTAAACACTGCATTTTCTCTGAAAACACAGTGTTTATTGCAAAAAGCCTGAAGGGAATGATTTTACTCACCAGAACAAATACAACTAGAAAATCTACAATTTCTGGGGAAATTGTGTGAAGTGTTCTTGCCTCCACCAGTAGTCTACAACTGGAATGGGTAGAGTAACTGTTATCATTTATTTATATAGCACATTTAATTGCAACGTTGTTGCCCAAAGTGCTTCACAGTTACATTAAAACATACATTTATAAAAATGGGCTGAAGTTAGCTAGACATGGCGCATCTTACTCCTTGGCCCCCCTCTGTTGTACTGTGATTTTTTTCCGTTCAATGCCCCTAAGCTGTGACCCACAGACCCGCACCATGGTACAAACAAGAAAAGAACCTGGTCAAACCACACGCCACACCGTGGCGACAAACCCTCCCGCCCCACCTCGCCCACAATCGACCCACAAGACCTGCTATAATCGAGGGCTGGAGGTGTAACATTAGCCCCTGAGGAACACTCTTGAGGCCCTAGTATAAATAACCCCCCAACTTACAGGCAGGATAGCCACCGAGAAAGGTACCCAAATTCACTTTGTTAATAACCGTTTTTAAAGCATTTTCGTTAGACCTGCGAAACTTAAACTTAAAATAGAGAGACACCTGAGCATGAACCTAAGACCCACTAAAAACAAAACTGTGCATGAGTACAATAAGCCAGAAAGTTATCCCACAAATTATGCACTTACTGTTTGACTTGTATATTGTGGCTCTGCGAGCCGAGTGAACCTTGTTGCATGCAAAAATAAAGAATTTAAAAAAAATCAAAGACTTACATTAGCAGGTGTACAAAAGGCCCTGTCAATGACATCACTTGCTGCTCCAGCCTGGCACAGGTCAGAGTATTTTGGCGGTTGTCATCTTCAAATGGTCGTATTTTAAAATCTATAAATCCTACAGCGAAGAAGGCACAGTCACAGTTTAGAAATTGCCCTTCAAATTTGAGCTGGCTGGAGTGGAGTTTCAATAAATGTCAATGGACGGCATGAGTGCAAACAAATGGTCATATTGTGAAAACTATCAGGACTATGGCTTAGCCGTGGACATGTTGTTTAGTGGCAGCAGGGATAGCTGAATGTTTTGATATAAAATTTGTGTAGGTGGGCTTGAAAATGAGGGAGTGGTGGCAGTTTAGAAATCATGTCCTGATTTTTCAGCTTTTGCCAGCTCCCACTCTATTTTTTAACATTTTGCCATTCATTCCTATGGGACCAATTTCGCCCCAAGAACGACGATATTCCGTGAACCATTCAGCGAAACGTTCCACAAAGTAATAGCAATCCGATCGGGAACAATCCGCACGTTTCGGTATATTACTGTCTATGTAGTGTAAAAACTGTGGGAGGAGTTAGGGTGGTAAATTTGGCTATAATAAGAATAAGAATAATATATATGTGAGATAACATTAAGTGGTCTTGCTATGCAAGAACACTTAATAAGCTGTAGTTGTTCTGGTGGCTATAGTGTCCCTTTAACTGGAAATGATGGAGAGCTGAAACGGAAACTGACAATTTTAGGGCAAAAAAGCTGAACTAGAAAAACAGCTGAACTGAAGGTTTTTTTTTCTGTTTGTTTTTTGTTTTTTTGCCTGTTCAAGTTTTTGAAAGTCTTCACAATTCTCAACTTGGTGAATAAGCCCCCTTTTTTGTGAATCCTGTCATGCTTGGTAGTCTCTGGACTCTTGTGTTACCATTCGTCGAATAAGCTCAGTTAACAAAATCTAGTGATCATTTTTTCAGTAGTACAGTTTTCATGCAATTTAATTACTCAAAGCCTGGAACTCATCCAGTATACTTGGCAATCTAGCATTCAAGCTAAAAATGGCAGATTGGAACTGGATATGACCTACTTCTGATTTTTTTCGCTTCCCCTGTATTAAATGTGAACTTCAATTGAAATGAAATCGGACTGACACGAGCATGTTCTGGCAAGATACTTTGCCATCCGTCACACACACAGCTCGCAGCATTAAGTTTTACCTCTGACAGTTTCTCAAAATGGTACAGATTGCATTTAGGGTCATTTAGTTCTATTGAAATCTTTTTAAATATGCAAAAAATTGTTTTAACTGCCTATGGTGTCCATTTTTTATTTTTTAACGGACTCTATATGCGGGAGTTGTCGTCATTGATTTATTAAATTAATTATTTTGAGAATACATTTATCAATCAAAGAAACACCAAAAACATTCAAAAGTTAGAAAATAACAATTTTAGAGCTTTCTAGATCATTAGGTTGTGATGTAAAAAAGACCAGTTGCTGAAGCGGCCATAGTTTTAGAACTCTTAACATATACAGGTAAATCTGTTTAGTCTGTCAATAAATCTCCATTTTATGTTTTTTATGATGAACCCATTCAGTATTTTAAAATTAATAATACTCTATAAGTATGCCCCCTTGTGTGCAGTGTTTGCATTTTATTTTTATATGTTGTGTATTTTGGTTTTGGCCAGGAAAGGTAAAATACAAAAATGTTGTATATTAGAATGGCATTGACCGACATTTTGTTACATTCTGTTCAATTGAAGCAATTATTTGTTCCCGTCTTTTTTAATCCAAAGTGCCATCCAGTGTTGGCTAACAGTAGGGGAGGCGGCAGTGTTAGCTACTCATGGTAAGATTGGGAAGTGTTAATAGAACACTCAAAGCACCGTGACCACTACAGCAGTTATAGAACGGATTGGTTTCCTACCTATGGTCTGCCAAGTGCAAAAATTCTGCTTAAAGGACCACTATAGTGCCAGGAAAACATACTCGTTTTCCTGGCACTATAGTGCCATGAGGGTGCCCCCACCCTCAGTGACCCCCTCCCGCCCGGCTCTGGAAAGGGGAAAAGGGTTGAAACTTACCTTTTTCCAGTGCTGGGCGGGGAACTCTACTCCTCCGATCCTCCTCCTCTCCTCCCCCTCGTCTGAATGCGCACCGCGCGCGCGCGCATTCTGCCGGTCACATCGGAAAGCATTCATAATGCTTTCCTATGGATGCTTGTGTGCTCTCACTGTGATTTTTCACAGTGAGAAGCACGCAAGCGCTTCTAGCGGCTGTCAATGAGACAGCTGCTAGAGGCTTTAGGGGAAGGCTTAACCCATTCATAAACATAGCAGTTTCTCTGAAACTATGTTTATAAAAAAATGGGTTAACCCTAGTTGGACCTGGCACCCAGACCACTTCATTAAGCTGAAGTGGTCTGGGTGCCTAGAGTGGTCCTTTAAGAACCTCTATCACTCAAGTAATGGTGAGGAGAGGTAATGGCTGGACCCCTACTAAGAAGTCAAACTATTCTAAAATTTTCCAGATCACATTCGGAATTCACTTACAAAAATTTGATGTTTGGCGAATAACCTTGCCCATAGCCACGGGTCACAGTCGCAAATATTTTTTATGTGTCAGGACAAGTAAATTGTTGTGATGAACAAGTAGGTTGGGCTACAGTTTCAGTCACTTGGAAAAGTGTTTTATTTATTTATATTTTTAAATGTCCACAACCACAAAAAAGAAGGGATGGGCATCACTCCTAACACCATAAACACGACAGCGCACTGTAGTAGTCATAATGGTTAGTGTTCTTTTCAAGTTAAATGCTCACATAGATATCCCAACCCGTTTCAGCATCACCATGTCCTCACAGAGGTAGGTAGGTGGGTGGGTGCTACTCTTTTGCTTCGCCCACAGTCTAGAGCAAACATGATGAGCTTAAAAAGGATTATGCATTTAAAAAGATTTTCCTTAAGCCATTGTGCGTCTTCCTTGGCCACATCTCTTGTGGCTCATTTTGTGACCCTCTTTTCAGGCTCTTTGTTAATGTAGAATCCACACATTATCAGTTGTCCAACAAGGACTGTGGTTATTGGCTGAGAGTGCTTGAGGCAGGTAAACTGCTTCTTAATAGTTTGATATAAAGCTGGTGAGCAGCCCTTCAAGAGTGTAGGCAACATAACATACACCCCAACATCAGCATCCCATAAAGTAGCATGCCGGTGGGCAGGGCAGTTACTTTGTGGCCTTTGGTGGACTAAGTGTGGCAAAACTAGCTACTTTGTATGAGAGACTGAGCTGGTTAGACTATTCCTACTTCACGAACAGAATATGGACATATTGTTCGTTAGTCGAAACAACTACCGAACGAGAGCTCACCTAGCGGAGTCGTGTGTCTCCAATTAAGGATTTGCAACACTTTCAAACTGCAAGGTTCTAATGGTCGGATCGGTGGCCGCCGTTCTCTGCGGTGTTTGGTCATCGAGTGCGTGGAACTAAAATCGGACACTTGACCTCACAAACACCACTGGACTTCCATCTCGTTCGTGCGTGTATTTCCTTTCGTCTCAGAGAAGTGGCATTCGGCTAAAGGGAACAAACGACCATCAGACACCCCACTATCCAGTTTGTGAACAGTTGCATTTGTTAGTTTGTTTTTGAGAACTCCTGAAAGAAGACTGGTCAAAGCATTCAATCGCATGGAACTGTTTTGAGGCTCCACCTCGTGGCTGACCGGTCTAAAACTTCACTTGAAAGGCTTTCCTGTTCTACCAAACGGATCTGAGCGGTATTTCGACAGATTGGGCGCTCAGATCCCTGCCATTCAGTGAAGTGTCTTTTGTGGAGTTCTGATTGATATTTAAGGAGTTATGATGTTTTAAAATAGTGTAATTTTCTGTACTTGGGAGATAATCTAATTAAATAATTGCTCTTGCTCAGTTATCTTCCAAGTACTGCAAAGGATCATGGGAAATATGCCTTTGTTCCCTGTCTTCTACCAGGTCCACCAGGGATGCATGGGGAATTGCATAAAAGCCAGCTGTGGCTCAATAAAAATCAGTTGACTCCCAAAGCTGTGTTTCATCCAGTTGTTGGGGAATGGGATTGGAATTACTACGTTACACTTTATTTGCATGCTGATCACGTCTACCAGCGGAGATATTGCCTTTAATGTGTCTACTCCGCTACACTAGGCTTGTCCCGTTTCCTTACGTTTGGGTTGTCCCATCCATTTAAAAATATATTTTTTATTTTACAGCCAGAATCTGGTGGTATCCTGCTCCTCTTGCATTATATAATGCCCTTTTTAAGACAGGAATGCCTCTGTTTGTCATGTGGAAGAGTAAGAAAGTAAAAACCTCAAAAGCAACAGATTTGGAAAGTCCAGGAGATATTGTGCATTTTGGGACAGACGTTTTATTTGCAGGTCAGCAGTAAGAGCCCTATTCAGTGAGTTTGTGTGGCCAGTCAGAATTAGTGTTACTTCTAGGAAATTCCAAATGACAATAACAGAACGTGCCGTTGTCCAAGCAAGATGTAACATTGAAGACTTAAATAACGGATGTGCTGGACAGGTGGCATCGTAGGATGGTGGTCCTGACCTCTAGTACAGTCCAATATTAAAATGTGTGTCTTGCAGGATTCTGTACTTGATTTGGATTCACCTGTCACCAAATAGCCAAACCCACTAACCACAAAGCATGTCCACGTTGTTGATTTTAAAGACACTAATGTTTTGTGTGCGCGGTTTCCACGTGGAACCAAGCTTTGTTTGGTTAGACCTCTTGTACCATAAAGTCTCCATTCAGACTGCGAAGTGGAGTGGTTAAACCTGTGGGCTGAGGGTTCTATGCTGACAGCAAGCAACAGCTGGGCGACCATAAACCCTATTTCTAATGTCTCCATGACATCTTAAGATTGAAACATCTGCTGGACTGCTCATGTTACAGCTATAAGACCTTCCAAAAGCAACACTCTCTGATGGGAAATGTAAACGTTCAAGAATTTGTTTTCTTTAAAAGCCGCCACAGCCTTAACGTGGAAAGCAAATAAAATATGTTTTAAAGGAGAACTGTCATTCCCAGGATTTGTAATATTGTCTTATCAAATCCCCTATATTTAACAAATTATATATTTGAGGTGTAAAAAAGTAAATGTACAAATAAACACTCCTTTATTCTACTACTACATTTCTCTTAGCTCTGTCCTTTACACCTGGAAATCCATAAACAGAGAGAAAGCACAACGCGCAATTTAGTTGATAAGGACCTCTCGTGAACCCTAGAAAACAAATATTTGGGACCCCTGTCCATTTATCAATGTACAAGGACAGGGGTCCCAAAACATTTGTTTTCTAGGGTGCACTAGAGGTCCTTATCAACTAAATTGTGCGTTGTGCTTTTTCTCTGTCTTTGCATTCTATTCTGTGTGCTGAGCCACACAACCTTTTTGTATATACATTAGTGTGAGTGAATGTTTGGGGGATTTTTGGCACTACAGTGACCAAACTCCACATCTGTTTTTGATTAATTTGCACGTGGCAGTCAGCATAGAGAATGTATACAGTGAAAAGGAGAAATTAATTAATGTTTTTTCCTTTTTATTTGCAATGTGTTCAATGGCTGTGCTGGATGGATTGTGCTATTGTTTGCGAAATCTTTAGTATACATTTAAAAGAAAGCGGAGTTTCATTGAAAAACTGGTGAATCAAGTTTTGGGTGATTTTTTATATTTTATGTAAAGATGTGATTTCCAGAGAAGAGAAATAGGTTCCCCCTTAAGTTCGCATGGTTTTTGTTTCAATGTACAAAATGTGTAACTTATTAACAAAACTAAAAAAAATATTGTGGGTGTGTGCTCGCGTGTGAATACATAGAACATAGAAAAGTCACTTAAATATACCTAATTGTACGTGTGAGTGATAGACTCACCTTTACCTTATTAAGGAAACACTCCAAGTACCATAAACACTATATCCCACTATAGAGGTTTATGGGGATCTCCCCCCGAATAATTTGACACATAGTTTTACAGCTGTTTGATAACTTAAAGGGACACTACAGCAGTGGAGTACATACCGGGGTCGCAACTGCGACCATGCCAGTCACTCCAGGGGGCCCGGCCGCCCTGCGACCGGGTACCTGACGCCATGTGTTGTGGCCCCAGTCTGCGCAGTATAACCGCCAGGGCCACATGTTTACCAACTGATGTGAACAGAGCATAGGGCCACTCTCCCATCCTCTGATTGCTGGGTTTATGCATTTGGTACATGTGTCACATGATTTCAGTGAGGGCCAAGCAAACCTACCTCTGGCTTCTATATTCACAAATTCCAGAAACATTAGGGGTACATGTGCTTTACCCCTAATCCAAGCTAGGAGAGCCGTATAATTGCCACATATTTTGAATTGTATTGGTACAAATAATTGTTTTGTGTGTAATGATTAGCTCATCACTGTACCTCTTTGCACTCATCTAGGTCTGACTGTTTCAGTTTAAAAATGGTGCCCATTGTGAGAATTTTGTTGTCAGGGTGTGTGTTGTCCTTGAACTTGGATATATTGGTGTGGAGATATTGTGATTCTTATGTTCTGCTAACCTAAACTATGCTTGATATATTCTTAATCCATGATTTATAGATCCGGCATAATTTACACCCCCGTTATCTAATGTAATCTTAGTCTAAACACCATCTCTCAACTAAACCAAACCTGATTCATATTTTTCATCCCATCCCAAGCTAGGTTTGACCTACAAATTACTAAAATGAGGCTTGATCTATCTTCACTCTTAATGAAAACTCCCTTTAGCCAATACGTTATCCTTGATCTAAATTAAAGCAGTTAAATTTCACCCCTGAAATTTCACCTTGACTTGCCCTATATACTTTATACTTTACTTCCGATTAGACTTGAACTTGACATTAACCCTGCTTGGTGCATTTTTTAGCCTGTCTTATATCCCCTTTCAATTGCATCACTGCTTTCCAATAATTTGAGTTCCTTCTCCAAATTGTCCTCTATTATAAAATACAAAGTATTTGATTTGTGCACACCATTGTTCAGTACTGTACAGTGAAGCTTGTTTTTACAGTTTTGAATGATGTAAAAGTGAATCATTCACTGTAATCTGATGGATTTAAACTAAGCACAGTCATAAAATCATGCAATGGGGAATTGAATAGATTTATGTTGTAAAGTAGCCTTTAGTGTGCGTTTGAGTAATTAGCGCTGCCGTTTAAAAGCATTAACACTGAATTAACCAATCAATTAAATCATAAAACATATAATAATAGAATCTTTTTACTGCTGTCATTGATATGATTGTACATTTGTAAGTGCCAAATATAACATTGGTGAATAAGCACAATATTTAAAATCTTATGAATCCTTAATACTTCAGTCAAAATAAATACAATAATTACAAAAAAAGCCATGGCGTCATATGTTGTTGAATTTATTTTTATATTATTTATTTTATACAGGAAAGCACTCCCTATTAGATAATCTCAATAGTATAGATACATTTGTATTATTTGTATCTTTGTATTTTAATTACCAGTATTGGTTTGTCAATTCTGTGTGTATTCTAATCTTACATATGGCAATTAAAATATATTGCATCATTATTATTGTTTCCCGTGTATAATAAATGTGTTAAGGGTGCTGGTTACGTTTCTGTATCAGGATTGTGATGATGGAGGTGTACTTTAATGCACTAGGACTCGCTGTTTGATAGTGTTGAGGGCTAAAAACATTATGGGTGGTCTTCTAACTCTTGTGGAATCCGGTATCGGTGAAGAAGATTGGAGAGATAATATTGAAAAAGGAATAGAGTTGGCATCCCATGGTCCCCCAAGGAACACTCCAAATATAACACCCAATGACGGCACTTGTAGAATCTTCATAAACAATATTTATTAATTGGTGGATATTTGACGTTATTGCATTTTACAATAAAAATCTATATTAAAGAAATGTAGTAATTTTTATTAAATCGAGATATGGAATTAAAAAGGTGGGGGATATTGATTGAGCGGATAATATGAAAAATTTATATGGGAATATGAATTACAGAGAAGGGATTAATTGGGTGGGTGGATTAATATTGGAAATGGATTGGGAAGGGAAAGAGTGAGCAGGGGAAATGGTCTGTATAGTGGGGATACCTTAAATGACAGATGAAAGGAAGGGGAGAATAAAAAGGAGACACTGCACAAATAAAAATAAAAATAAATAAATCTCTGTTTAGTAGATACCCAAAGTGAAAACATGCATTTAAATATGTATTTTTTTTAATTAGTGGTATATCTAAAAACTGCTTGCAGAAGCTGCAGATCTCTTGTCTGCAGCCTTTACAAACCCTCCCTTCTTCCCCAGGCCTGGCTTTCTGACAGATAGGGGTTGAAACAAAGTAAATTTTCAACATTGCTATTGAAATCTGCACAACTCTTCACACAAAGCTCAAGCGTGTGGAGTGTTCCTTTAATTTGAAAATAATTTGGAGACTATCTGGAGAGGAGTAATGTGTGGGGGAACAAATGCCTATATAGCCATAGTTATCAGTGTATCGCTATATCCTGGAAAACTTACTCGTGCAAATTTGGCTTGTGGTCCGTTATCATCGTGACGTCTACGCATTTGCCTGGAATAAGCCAGTCAGTATAGCCAGTCAAAAAATGGAAATCCCCTCTGGTCAAAGTTTTTTTTACTTTCTCCTGGCAGTGACCCGTGATTTCCACTATTGTCCTGAGTGCTGATGGGATCAGGATGTTTTGAGTTGGAGTTTTTTTTTTGTTTTGTTTTTTTGTTTTTTTAACTTTCGGGGATCTCGGTGAAATGCATTGCAATATTGTAGTGCTTTCCGATATGGAAAAAAACTCTGAAATGACAACATCTGCTTCTAGAAGAGGAAGTCTTCTTCAGCTGCGGGACTTAATGTCTTAACTATTTGTGTGCCTAGGAGATACACGTAACATTAAACACGAGAGGACAGGAATATAGACTTTCCACCTCAACGGCTCTCATGTTGCACCTACTGCCTGACACGTGGCCAGTCCCTGGTTAGACCACAGTTCCACCTTAATTTGAGCGTCTGCACTGATATTGCTGTATTCCAGTGATACATTTGTGCCTGATCGCCATGGTATCCAAATAATGTATTCTTTTCTAAGCCCTGCTGTAATTCATGCTCAGATTTTTGTTTTGCCACTTTGTCTTCTTTAGAACTATTAAGGTCCCTGGGAGGCTTAGCGATATATTAATTTCATGTGATCCTGATTAGTTTCATGGGGCTTCATGGGGCTTCTTCTGGAGCACTCTTTAAGCAATGTAAACCCTACAGCCCGCAGCAGGAGTTATGGTGGCAGAGTGCCCTGGCACTATTCCCATTCCATTTTAGTACAATTGGACAACTTACTTGGGTGCAGCTGGGCAGCCGCAGCCCTGTTTTCGTTCTTCTAATAGAAGATAATCTAGTTTGCTCTACAGAGCTAAGTAGAGTCAAGTAGAGCGCTTAGCTGATGCTCTCGGCCAATGAGAATGGCCCAGCATGACCTTTCTCTGCTTTGTAGAAATAATCCAAATTCTCCTGCAGAAGATGGCCAGAAGCAGGGCCTGCATCCACGGACTCCTAAAGCAATCTAGGGAAGGCAAGTCAAACCAAGCTAAACAGCATGACTCCTTACATTGAAGTGCCTTCTACTATAACACTGTAGTGGTTATGGTGTTTATTTTCATAACAGAAATACAACTATGATCGAGTAGTGTCAGGGAAGTGATTCTCTAAACAGTAAATCAAGGTTAACTTAAAGTTGTTTTTTTTAAATGTTCCCTTTTGCTGTTTTTGACTTAATTTTTTGCAAATCTGTTATTTTTCACCCCCCTTTTTGTTGTTGTTGATGTTGCTTGACAGTTTCTCAATTGCCATCTTAGGGGCTTTGAAAATCACTAGCATGATATATCAGTAAATCCATCTGTTTGTGTATGTTTATTGTATATTCATTGGTTTTGTTCATACAGTAACTGTTTTTTAACGCATTTTTATTATTGTTGCAGTACACAGCCCAGTTTTACGTACAGAAATAAATGGCAAACTGATTGGCTTGCGGGAGATAATGGCTACAAGCTAGAGGATAGAGATGGCAGTAAGCCACGAATGAAGCCACTTGCTTGTTAATTTCCAATGTTTAGAGGGAAAACACAGCAGGTGGTGACTTTAGGAAATCAAATGTCTGGAGATAATATCTTTTACACAATGCAATAATAAATAAGGCCGGTAGAGGAGTTTTTTCTTCTTCAATTAAAGGGACATGCATTATTTGACAATTTTTTTTTTTTTTTAAACCAACAAGCAAACATACCAAATATACAAACCAAAATAAAAGTAATAAAAATTACAAAAAAGCCACTGATAAGATTCCTTCTCCTTTCCCTCTGTCAGGTGTTGCAAGATGAAGAGCTCTTCCAACTGCACATGTGTAAATCTGTCAGGCATGCCCAATGCAATTTTCCAGCATTCCTAGGGATAGAAACTGATTGGTTAGATTAGTCTCCCCCTAGAGTGGGTGTGGAAAGCATAAAGAAGAAGCAGGTAAATATAAAAATTACAAAAAATGTAAAGCTAAAGCTTTTGGATGAGGCACTTGTCTCCAAGTGATGCATGTAACCTTAAAGGAGAAGTATGCATATCACAAATGTTGGATGTGGAAGTCCCGTATGGCCGCTTTTACTACATTTTGCTTGACCAAAGCTAGATGTTAAGCTGTTGTAGAACTGAAGCTCCTGGTTTTAAATCTAGTGTCACGGGAGCTGTTGTATAAAAACTACGAGTAGAGCTGCATTAGCAACAAACATGTTTTTTTTTTTTAAAGGACAAAAGGAGCACTCAAGCATCAGCTTTAGGTGTATGGAGGAGACTAGAAGCTTTGTGGGCACTGGACTAACCAAACTATGTGTCAAACAGTTTTCCTGCAGTTTCACTCCTTTACAATGGACACCTGGCATCATAACCGTTACAAGCTGTAATACTTATGATCCTAGAATTGCCCCTTTAAGTAGTAGATTATTGAGCTACGATTTTTAGCTAACTTTCTAGCTCATGATATATTTTGCTGTTTAGAGAATAAACCCTGAGTAATTATTGGATCAGTAAGCCTGTGAGAATGTCTGACACTAACTATTTTGAGGACAATTTGTTTAGATAGTGTTCTAGATTTATGATCTAGCAGCTAAGTGTTCCTGTCCCAAGTTATTTTTATATGACATGAATTTCCTCTGTTTTCCTCTGAAGTACTGTGCACGTTAAGATTACATGGGCAGACAGCATGTATGCACAAATAAGCGGAATATACTAACACATTTTAAATTAAAAATATTACTACAGATATGCAGTGATTAACGATCTGTTTTTTTTTTTTTATATTTATAGAATATATGTATATATTTGCAAGACATAATGTTTATTCAGATACTAAAGAGAGGTGTAAATCTGTACATGGAGCAGATATGGAGCAAACATGAACAATTATTGTCAATATCCGCAAGATCTTGTATCAACTTTATTTGTTGGTTCACACAAGATTAACAAAGTCAACAAGTCAAAGTGCGTAGCACAGCAACTAGTCAATAAGGTTTCAATATCATTTTTGAATGAGTGCATATACGTATATTTCTTTCTATATTACAGACGGGCTGAGGGACGACAAAGGGGCTGAGGGGGACAAAGACACACAAAGAGGGTGAGGGGGGACAGAGACACACACAGAGGGTGAGGGGGGACAGAGAGACACACACACAGAGGATGAGGGGGGACAGAGAGACACACACACAGAGGGTGAGGGGACAAAGAGACACACACAGAGGTGAAGGGGACAGAGAGACACACACACAGAGGGTGAGGGGGACAGAGAGACACACACACAGAGGATGAGGGACAGAGAGACACACACACAGAGGATGAGGGACAAGACACACACACACAGAGGGTGAGGGGGACAAAGAGACACACACAGAGGGTGAGGGGGACAAAGAGACACACACAGAGGGTGAGGGGGGACAGAGAGACACACACACAGAGGATGAGGGGGGACAAGGAGACACACACACAGAGGATGAGGGGGGACAAAAGACACACACACACAGAGGGTGAGGGGGGACAAAGAGACACACACACAGAGGGTGAGGGGGGACAAATAGACAAACAGAGGTACTGGGGGGACAAAGAGACACACAGAGGTACTGGGGGGACAAAGAGACACACACAGAGGGCTTTGGTTGTCAAAGTGACACAAATAGGTGCTGGGGGGTAGAAAGAGACACACAAATGGGCAGGTGAGGGAAGACACACAGAGGGGCTTTGGATGGGGTGCAGGTGAGGGAAGAGACAAAAAAACTGGCAATTTATTTTTTGGGATATGGTATGTCTGCCAGTAGATGGTCTTGCCTAGGGCGCAAAATAGTCTTGCAACGGCCTTGCCCTTATATTCTTCTACATCACTGTGCCAAGTGACTTTATTTGCTCTAATTTTGCGTCATTTAGCATTCAGACATTTCTGCACTTTTATTCTTTTTTTCCCTTTTCTTTTTATTTGCCATAGGCCTATTATATTAACAGTTTGAGGAGGGGAAATATAACCAGGTAATAACCAGGGCCGGATTTCCCATGAAGCCTCCGAGGTCACGGGTCTTCAAATGTAATTCATGCAATGGAAAGACATTATGTAAATGCCTATTAAATGGTTTCATACTGGTACGCCGGTAACAGGCGCCTAGATGACTTCCCTCCTCTTTCCCTACCTGCCTTGTCTCCGTGATTTGTGTGATAGTTGATAGTTGCTTTCTGTAAATTTTAAAATCCACCTCACACCTAAAGTAGTTTGTATAGACTATTTTGTGAAGCTCAACAACTTTTTGCCACACACCACAGCTATATTCCTTGGTTTTACCCATTGTGATCAATGACTAATGGATTGTGTGTTAAATGTGTGTTAAAATGTTTGAAACAGGAAGTCATGGTTGAACAATTTCCTGTTCCTAGTCACCCAGGAGTACTAAAAAATTGTAAAAAATCAATGGGAATATATTTTCTTATATTAATTCATAGGGGTATTTCATAGGGGTGCGAAGAGTTTTGTCACACCTATATTTAACAAAGTTTTTTTATTTTTTTTTTTTAAACCTGTATTGTGTTTGTAATTGTTTGATATTCATGAGAACCGAGTTTTAGAGTGTTCTCATTTTTGTACTTGTGTATTTTTTTTTCTTTTTATAAAAAGCAGGTTAAACAATAAAGACAATTCACAGCTTTCTTTGCTCATATTGACAAAGAGTGTCAATATTAGTGGAGGACAGTGGCGTATCTACCACAGTACTGGAATGGGACACAGGGAGGGGAGAGAGATGGGGGATATTGGGCACAGTAAGGGGAGGGGCGTAGAGAGAGGGAGAAATGGGACACCTGGAGTGGGGGGGAGGAGAGGTAGAAATGGGACACATGGATGGGAGGTTGGGAGGGAGGAGAGTATCGGAAGTATAGAGGGGCTGAGGGGAGAGGGAATGGGACACCTGGTGGGGCTTTGGGGTCGAAGCATTGAGACATATGGGGGGGCCTGGTCGCGGTATTGAGACACGAGGGGGAGGGAGAAATGAGACATCAAGGGGGAGGGGCCCCAGGGATAAGTTGCACCGGGGCCAGGTGGATTCTAGTTACGCCTCTGGTGGAGGACACTGTAGGCACACATTTTATTCACTTTTTATTAAAGTGTACAAAAACCCCAAATTATTTCTGGACAATTTTCAACAAATAACCTCTGCCATTTTCTGGTGTAGGTTAAAAAAATTAAAAATCGGTTTAGTATTTTTAGTGTGTAACGTTCAGTGCCTGACTTCACTATCACTCTAATCGAACATTCTTAATTGTATCTGCTAGTAAAGGGATCAGCAGCTACAGTAACTGGTTCTCTTACAGGCTACTTTACCTTCTGTTGCCAAATATGAACTTAGCGGACATTTATTTGGTTTCTTTCCAAATCTTTCTAAGCCTGTGCCCTTTGAATACAGTAAGAACTGAAGCCTATCAAAAGCAATAAGCCATTCATAACATTTCTAATGAGAAATTAATTTCACTGTGTCTCTACTTTTAAAGCTGCAGGTCCATATAAAGATACAGAGTGGTATTTCATTTTCATACCACCCAACATTTGAAAAGGACAAAAAGAGACACTTTAATTTCAGGGGGACGGGGCTGTTCTAAATGTAATTGAGAACAAAAACAGTGTATCTTATTTACACAGACTGATCTATAAACACATTTATTGTTGTATAAAGACACATTACTGGGAGTATTATTACTGTGGAGCTCTGTTATACACTCAAACACATTACTGGGAGTATTATTACTGTGGAGCTCTGTTATACACTCAAACACATTACTGGGAGTATTATTGCTGTGGAGCTCTGTTATACACTCAGACACATTACTTGGACTATTATTACTGTCGAGCTCTGTTATACACTCAGATACACCAAGAATATTAGAAAAGAGATACATTAGGATAGAAAATGAGAACAGAGGGATTTGGGCCCAAAAGAGGTGCTTATTAAGCTACAACTGTGAGCATTTCTAGACACATCACATTAGAGCAGTGGTTCCCAACCTAGTCCTTAAGTACCCCCTAGCAGTCCAGGATCCAGGAGATTACCCAGCTGTGTCCAAGATGTTTTTAGAAAGAAAGAAAAAACACTTAAGACACAACAGGTCAATCCCTAAATTCTGGACTGATAGGGGGTTCCTTGAGGACTGGGTTGGGAACCCCTGCATGAATCTTCATATTGGCTCAGTATCATAACATCAGCCAGAAGCCTTCAACCAACATGTGAGCTTTCTAAATAGAGGAACCAGCTGGGAAAAAAACCCATAAAACTGAACATATCAGTAATGCGAGAAGTGAATGATCTACCAGTTCTATAAAAAAACTAAGAATATTATTATTGGTATTTATGAAGCAATAACATATGCCCTCATCGCTGTAGAATCTTGGAAAATAGACCGTAAAGTGTAGACAAACAAATACAATGAATAGAGAACCAGTTAGCATTTACAGTCCTTTTATACATATTACTAAGCTAGCTAGCATGTGAGCTTACAATTTAAAGGTTATTGTGGGGACATTAAGACAAGACTGAGCAGGGGAAGTTTGTAGATAGTGGAGACGGGAGCCTTAGAGCACTTGCCCACACTGCTAAGGTGGGATGTGATTTAGGAGATAATTGGGGAAGATGCCAAAAACCTGGAGAGGCGTGTTAAATTATATGATTTCTCTTTAAATGACAATGTCACAATGTATATGCATCTTGGTTTTCCCTAAATAAACGGGAAAAATATATTGAATGTAAAGTACCGTAGTTCTTAAATTAGTGGATAAATGCATATGGCAGGAATGGTGGATTGTGTGTTTACATATCCACTGCCATTAGGTTGTCCTGGTAAATTATTGATCAAACATTGAGTAATGCAATATTTTACAATCAAAGCTATAAATCTGAGTAATGTGCATGACTGTTTTATGGACCAGAGACTGGGAGTGGAGTGATTTCTTAATATTCCCTAATTGCCTGTACTAATGAATGTCTGAAACGTTGTTTGGTTTTGTGATGTGGCACGTTTGTTGTTACAGTCATGACCTAGGTCAGGGGTTCCCAACCCAGTCATCATGTACCCCCTACCAATCCAGGATATGGGGATTACCCTGTTGTCTCTAAAGTGTTCTCCCACCCCCCAAAAAAAAAACACCTTGGACACCACAGGGTAATCAATAAATCCTGGACTGTTAGGGGGAGGGGCGGGGGGGTACTTGAGGACTGGGTTGGGAATCACTGACCTAGGATGTCAAGAACTGCCCTTTCATTTTTTTTTTTTTATTCTTTATTTAACATTTGGCAATGACATAACAATCCATCTGACGCACATATATTACACGCTTTCCCGCTGATTACATTGCTATTGAATACTTCAGCGTACCGGGCCCCGACCCATTCCCCCAGCTCCCGCTCCTCCAACCAATTTCCAGGGCTGTGCACCTTGCTCCGAGTCTTTGGCTTGTATGTGCGTCCACTTGGCTCTTTATCAGTCCCTTCCCATGTCAATGCCAAGTTACACATAAGTCCAACTTAACATTAGTAAAACAGAAAGAATAAAGTTGTCTCCATCCCCCTTACAGAATCATCTCATTGTCACCCCAGGCCTCTGGACCTCCAACTCCATCCCCACCCCTATCGACTCCCTTAGGAAGAACACTAATCTGTGGGCCAAGTCCCATCCTCTGTCCTGTCCACCTCCCTATAGCAGCCCGGCAGATGGAGATAAGGTCTCCGCTGCTCATCTACCACCCAGTCGTCTTGCTTTTGGAGAATATGTCTGTGTATTTGGCTATGTCCCTCCCCAAGGCCCCGACTGGGACACACCAAAACCTTGTACCTACGCCATCTGTATTGGAAGAACTGCCCTTTTAATCAGACTAGATGCATACCTTCTAAGTGGCCCGATGCTGAAGACACAGTCCCTGTTCCTTATCCACAATTCTGTGCTTATAAGGGTTTCACAGGGAAGCAACAACCCTGTAAAATATGTGTCTAAACTTGAGAAAATGTGTTTATAAATGCTGAAAACAGTAAATATGTTCTGTTCTATAAAGACATCACAATTCTGGACATCCTGGAACAAAATATATTATTTCTAGAGCATACAACCTGACATTCACAGAAGAGGAGAGAGCACTCCTTGCTAGGACAGTAAGAGCCCAACGTGACGCATGATAAAGGTTATTACAATACTGTATGTGTATGTGTATCTATCTATCTATCCATAAATTCATGCTTTAAACCTTCTGTTTTTGGTGTAATTCTCATTTAAACCAGCAGCTATTCTCTGACTGGTTACTTCCTGTCTGATGTATTCAGAAATTGTTCTAGAGTTAGAAAACAGACCTGACGGGAGTATCAAGCCAGTGGCAGATTACTACAAACACACTACATAGCACGGAGTGCTGTTTATTTCTATCCATGGTATATAAGCATTCCGCTGTAATGTGTCAGGCTTCCGCTGGCATTGACAGTGTGTTAATAGGAAGATATACTGACCGGGGTTATTTAATATGTGGTCTTTGTGTTTTCATGCGTTGGCCAATGAAAATTGTAAATACTGGTGCCTGTATGTTCTCTGGTTGCTTAGAACGCATGCAGTCATGCGATCCCCATCCTGCAGTGTTTGGTAAATACATGCAGTAATGAGTGTGTTTGTGTCATGACCTTCATGTCGGATTATGATAGCAGGGAAGGTTCTAACATTTACAGATTACTGGGCCCTGTTTACACTCGTTTCAGCTTTCAGCTCATCAGCTAGCCTTAAAGGTACGGTAAATCTGCAAACTTCTTCAGGAAAGATGTCATTACTCCCTACCACGCAAAAAAGTAGGCAAAATACCTGCACAAAATCCTGCCTGGACTTTTTATTAGTCTCAAAACTCTACATTATGGCACTTTAATTCCCCAAATGAATTGGCATAAGAATTGCCTACTAAATTTAATTCTCAACCCTAGAGTCCGTAATTAATACTCCTACACTGCCGGTGGAAGTATAACTACGCAGCAATACTGCCTTTTCTCTGAAATGGCAATGTTTACATTGAAAAGCTTGCAGGTCCAGCCTATAGACACCAGAACCAATACATTGAACTGTAGTTGTTCTGGTGACCATAGTGTCCTCTTAACTGGAAACCCATGCCAAAATAGCCACTGACCCATGGCCCCTACAGTGTATCTGTGTATCCAACCTTGTGGCATTTCATAACCAAGAAAAAAGTTACAATTGTGAATGGTCAAACATTTAAAAATTGTTTTTACTTTTTTCTTTAGAATACATATTTTTAAATGCACATCCAGGAAAGTAGCATATTTCCTTTTTAAAGTGGAACAAAGTTAATAACCTGTGTAAATTTTTTTTCAGGTTTTCAGTAAAGTGAATTCCATCCCAGATTGCATTGCAGAGTTAGGGATAGCATTGTTGTTCCATTAATAGCTTTGTGCAGTACCTAGTAAGTTTTCTAGGTAATGTGTGAATGCACTGTGAAGCATGTGAATGTTGCGAGTGCAGTGTGTGAATTCCGGGTGTTCTGACAGTGTAGAATGTACAATGATAATACATTGTGTAGGACACTGCACATTGCAGGGTATAGATTTTTCCTATTCGTTTTCTCTTCCTTATGATAACATTCAGTATTAGGAGTAGGCATAGAAACTCTCAGGTTTTATTTTCACAACACACAATTAGGCTGCCAAACTTTATAATCTCAAGCTTACCTTCCTCCTATTGTTTCCTCTTCTTTTCCTCTTTTAGAATCTTCTTCTCTTAATTTCTGATCTATTTCTCTGTAAAACATAAGACAAAGTAAGGACTATATTGTGTTTTGTATTTCTACCACACTTTAAGCGCACTATAGTGCCAGGAAAACAAACAAAAATGATGATATTTTGAGTAAAAGTGACTTTTTGTTGCATTTTTTACAAACGAATGGCACTTTTATGGACTATATTATTGTTGTAATATTCTTTACTGTTTTAAAACACTAATATTTGTGTTTAGTGAAGTCTCCCGAGAATAACAGTACCCCCCATGTACAGGTTTTATGGTGTTTTGGAAAGTTAGAGAGTCACATATTAGGCTTGCATTTCATTTTGTTGACATTGAAATTTGCCAGATTGGTTATGTTGCCTTTGAGTGCGTATGGTAGCCCAGGAATGAGAATTACCCTCATGATGGCATACCATTTGCAAAAGTAGACAACCCAAGGTATTGCAAATGGGGTATGTCCAGTCTTTTTTAATAGCCACTTAGTCACATACACTGGCATTCACAAAAACAAATATGAATGCTAACCTTGGCCAGTGTTTGTGACTAAGTGGCTACTAAAAAAGACATACCCCACTTTCAATACCTTGGGTTGTCTGCTTTTTCAAATGGTATGCCATTATGGGGGTAATTCTCATTCCTGGGCTATCACACCATCTCAAAGGTAACATTACTAATCTGGCAAATTTCAATTTGAAAATGTAATGTGCTATATTTGACCCTGTAACTTTCCATAACACCATAAAACCTGTTAATGGGTGGTACTGTTGTACTTGTGAGATATCGCTGATTACAGTAAAACCTAACAGTTTTATGACATTAACAGCTAACATGTCAGACGGAAATACAAATTAAAAAATAAATCTTATTTTCTCACATTTTATTAAATTTTATTCATAATAAATTATGTTCCATATATGAATAGTTAATGATAAATTAAAGCTCTGTTTCTCCTGAACAAAATGATATATAATAAGTGTGGGTGCACTTAATGTGACAGCAGTGAATTACGGTTGAACAGACATAAATCGCAAATTCCAGTTTTTGTTTACGTTTTGTTTTGATCAGAGCGTGCACTATTGACTCCGTCCTGAAGAGGTTAAATCCTTGAGATTATTTGGTTAAAACAATCAATCATTGAGAATTGTCCTCTTCTTATGAGTAATGCTATCACATGAAGTACTGGATGTGACTTATCAATTAGAGTAGGCAGGAGTTCTTGGATTAATGGGTTTATAGAACGATCTGGGCAGGGTGTGAGCATAATTTATTCATGTTGAATTCATGGAATGGAGTATTATTTTTGATACATAAGATTAGTTCGCCCTACCCACCATGCAAACCACAGGCAGTGCGTTTTACAGCTGCTTCTCTCCACCAGTCCATATTGACAATAATATGCACCAATATGAGCACCATAATTTCAGAGGTGTGCCAGATCTGGTTACGCAGGTGGTGTCTTAACGCAGTCGTCTGCTGGATGCTAGGCATAGCTGTCCTAGACCAAAATACGGCCAATAAAACTGCAAATAGTAGGCAACTTTCTAGTTTGTCCACACTGTGGTACGTGCAAGACTAAACCAGGAATTATAACCCTACTCCCTCCTTCAATGAAAATTTAAAAAAACTTTTATTTTTAAACCTGGAGTAGTTAAAGCACCATTTAGATTAACATTCCCATTACACTTTAAAAAAGTGTTAACATTCTCTCTAATGCTACTGATGAGCTCTTAGTCAATTGGTGCTTCAAAATGGCAATCTATGAGAGGCTCTCTCAGTGCTTCTAAATTGCAATTTATGAGAAGCACTCTTCAATGCTTCAAAGCGGCAATCTATGAGAAGCACTCTTCAATGCTTCAAAGCGGCAATCTATTAGAGGCACTCTCCAATGCTTCAAAGCGGCAATCTATGAGAAGCACTCTCCAATGCTTCAAAACGGTAATCTATTAGAGGCACTCTCCAATGCTTCAAAGCGGCAATCTATGAGAGGCACTCTCCAATGCTACAAAATGGCAACCTATGGCGACAATCTATGAGAGGCACTCTCCAATGCTTCAAAATGGCAACCTATGGCGACAATCTATGAGAGGCACTCTTCAATGCTTCAAAATGGCAATCTAAGGCGGCAATCTATAGTGACACTCACTATAACAATGCTTCAAAGCAGCAATCTATGTGAAGCACATACCAATGCTGTACTCTATGAGAAGCACATATCAATGCTGTACTCTATGAGAAGCACATACCAATGCTGTACTCTATGAGAAGCACATACCAATGCTGTAATCTATGAGAAGCACATACGAATGCTGTACTCTATGAGAAGCAGTCACCAATGCTGTAAAGCGGCGATGTGTCTGACAGCCAGCAGGGTACAACCCAGATGCTTTCTTTAAGGTTTGATTTCTTTGAAATTGGCACTAATATATAGTGAGAAATAGGGAATATTAAAGGGCATCCTTTTAATGAATGCGAAGATGTAAATTTTAAAATATGGTGCAAGTAAAATCATTCTTAATACCAGGGAGGCTACTGGCAAAGCTGGCACTGCCAAGAGACCAAGAGTTAGACAGGCCGAAGTAGACAGACAGACAGAGACAAAAGCGGTAGAAATACAGATGGATGGAGTGACTCATTCTCAGCTCTTCTCTATGCTAGTTTATGGCATTGTAGTATCACAGCATTCTAATCTATAGCTGATTTTTTAAATGTTTTTTTTCCCCCTTGAACGTTTAGTTACAACCACTTTGAGGAAGTCATTGTGGCTTATTGCACAAGTTGCATCAGAATTATCAATATTTTGAAACAAAAATGATTGTCAAAAGCCCAAGGTTTATGAACTGTCCCCTTAATCTTCTCTGTAAAACAATGTATTAAAATGTTAATAACTGCCAAAGTTACTAACGCCATCAAATCGGTCTAAATTTCTGTTTCTGGTTTCCATAATTAATACCGTTGCACTCCTTCAGAAATAATCCACTCAATTCTGTTTTTCTGATCAAATATGTGAGATCGTATTAAATATCTTTTTAAAAAATATCTCAACATTCCTTGTAACAATGTAATATTTTTATACTATAAGGAGGAAGTGGTTTATATTTCCTGCTATTATTACGCTGCTAAACTATTTGGGCGCTTGGAGTGTGATTTATCATCACTAAAGCATGATATCTTTGGAACATGTAATCCCATTAACACATTAGGGATAAAAGAATAGTTTTGCGAGGTCAGGTCCCGACTATGTATAGAAATGGATATGCTACCGTGTACACAAGCAGGCAAGCTACAAATGTATATTTTCATTACATGTATGTGTGGTATTCTGACATCTTATTTATGGTCAATGTGCAAGATGTAGCCCCTGTTAAAGTTAAGTTTGTGTTATTTATTTATTTATTTTTAAATTATGCCAACATAAAGTCAGAACAATAAAACAGAGGAAGAATTTAAGCAGTTATAGTAAATGACTCAAAGTATAGCATAATGTAATGCAATCTATATATAAATAAAAAAACAAAAACAAAAAAAAAAACAAAAAAAAAAACTTTGAGTGTACTGTGCACACTGCATATGTAAGTTTGTATTCCTCTTCTCCTCCATTCCTTGGATAACACCCAAAGCTGAAAGATTACAAAAGTGTCAAATTATCACATTTTAGAAGTGTACTGTTTTGGTGTACAATTTCTCAAACATAACATTAGAAATGTAGCAATTGACATCATTACTTTGTGAGTGCCCATGCGCAGTTAGTCTCACGAGTCAGTGGTGGAGTACGGAATTTCTCCGGTATGCATAATAATCCTGGCCTACTGCACTAGCTCCTCCTACTGCGTCAACTCATGGAGAGAGGTGTGGGAGTTTCAGGTGACCATGCCACAATAATGCTAAAATGGGGCATGGAATGGTGGGCATGAAGGCAACATTCTGCTGTTTGTGCGTAATGTAGAATATATAAAGATGGTAACTGAGCTGAAAATGCCAAGTGAAGACCAACGTGAGGGTACAGAAACAAACCTCAACAAGAATGGCTAAAATCATATGTACAATCCAACATGGTACGAGGAACATTTTTTGAGGGGATGGGGGGGGGGGTGGGGGCAGGGTGGAAGAGGGTTTATTTTTTTTATGTTTGTATATACCCCAGTCTATCTGAGAATGCTACAAATTCCTTTGTATTATATGGCTAATTTCAAATGAATGTTTCCTGACAAACCTGAATATATCCTGTTTGTACAGTTATGAATTAAATGGATAAAGTTATTTTACTTCATATACTCAGCAGTACATTCCAGTGCCAATGCTCTTTATACTATAAAAACATCAATATGGCTTCCAGAAATGGATGTGTTTAAATCATTTGCACACTCTGTATTGTGGGATGTTATGTGCCTCGTTTATGGCAGGTGCTGTGTGCTCGGCCAGTCACAGCAATGTGATGGCAGGTGCTGTGTGCTCGGCCAGTCACAGCAATGCGATGGCATGTATGAGTGGCGGCCACTAGAGGTTGTATCAGGTAGAAGTATAAACGCTGCTTTTGCTCAGAAAGAACAGTGAACTGCAGGGACATTTAGCTTTAGTGGAACCAGTGTCTATAGCAGGCATAGGCAACCTTCGGTACTCCAGATGTTTTGGACTACACCCTCCATGATGCTTTGACAGCATTATGGGTGTAAGAGCATTATGGGGGATGTAGTCCACAACGTCTGGTATGCTGAAGGTTGCCCATCCCTGGTCTATAGTGTACCGTTTTATGGAAAAATGCTAACATTGGTTTTAGATTTTTATGGAAGATTTGTGACCGTAAACGTGTTGTACTTTACTTGCAGTGATACAAGTATCTGCAGTTAAAGGGACAGACACTCTAACAAGAAAAATGTAATTTTTATTGATGAGGCTAATTGTGAAGACTTTTGATTTTCAATGTAGAAGCGTCTCTAAATAAAATAAATAATAAATGTGGAGTAAAAACACCATGTCACAGCTCAGAGAAACTTACAGCCATCTGTGTGCGGTCCTGTGAATTATGTTCTAATATCGGACGACCAAGTAGTCTTCACCAACAGAACTTTGCAGAAACGTGTCAGATTCTCATTTGCTGCTGCCAGAACACTGAGCAGGACTTTGCGTTGGACAGTGGAGATGTGGCCATTGACACTCTGGCCAGAGGTGGGGCATCAGATAATTATTCCAGCATTGAAGGTTCAATCATTGTGTTCTGCAAGTGGTGTGTGTGTTTTAGTGGATGTTCTTCATCTGATTTCAAAAGTTTCAAATGTCAGCCCTCGCGATGCCCTGAGATCCCCACTTCTGGACTTAAGATATAGGAAAAAAAGACCCTTAAGTTTATCGCCACTTTAAACATACCTCTGATTTAGAAAAAAGTATCTGTGAGCTGTCTCACATAGCAACTATCCTCACATGGCCTTCAGTGAAAATAAATATTTACCCTGCGCTCTGGTTCTCTGAGATTGTTGGACATCATTACGAAAACACAAATATACGAAGAGAAGAATAGAAGATAGTTAATATAACTTTTTTTTTTCCCATATCCAAGTATTGTAGAGAATAGACAAGGAGATTGCTAAATTGTAAGCCAAAGTAGCGTAGCTGGAAATAGAATTACATTGTAGATTTATTTTTATTAATTCTTTTTTTTTTTTTTTTTTTCTATCTAGTTTGAGGTGTAGAATATATTTCTTTAATTTCCTTTTCAAACATTGGGAGGTATGAAATCAGGAAGGGGGACTCAGGTTACACTGGTGACACCAACAATGGACAGGCCCACCCGGGAATTGGCATCAAAAAAGCCCGTCTGAGAGACTACCAGTCTTCAGGACCAGAGAGCACAGCTGAAGTGCTTGCCCTGTGCTGCCCATTGACCGTTCTCTGGTGTCTCCAGATTCAGGACACCAGGATACTAAATAGGGACGACAGGACGACATCCCAAAACCAGTATTTTTCCACTAAAAGCAGGACAATTGGAAGCCCTGGAACTTGGGTTTTATTGCCCATATATCGGGGAGTTCAGCCTCTCTTCCTCTTGGAAGCTTCACCTGCGAGTAGTCTGACCCCCTGAACACATCTTAGTGACAAATCCGGTATGTGAAACTGTGATCACACCCTGTAATCACACCCTAACTGGATTACTCCATCTGGATGACTTAAAGGGCACAGTTTACATATAGCTCTTTCTGGGCACATTATGCCCTCTCTGGCAGCTCCTGCTGGTGGTCTTGATTAAGTTCTGCCTTATTGTAGTTTTCTGCTGAGGTTTTTTTTTTTTTTAAAGTCACGCACATGATCATAAGTGGCTGCAACTTTTAAAATGATTGATTTATTGCTGGTTTTAAAATCATTTTCTCAATTAAAGGAACACGTATTTTTTTTTTTTTTTGCTCTTCTTTCTGTTTCGTTTTACATCCAAATATGAATCTGCTTGCTTTTACTTTCTTTTTCAATGTTATCAAAGAAAGTTATTTTTATTTTTTTATGTGATGGTTCCCCTTTAAGATGCATTTAAACATAAATAGCAGCATCGTGTGATCTAATAAACAGATGACATCACAACTGCATGCTGCATCTTGTGTTAGACTGATTTCATTTTTCATAAAATCCCCTTTTTTTTTTTTATCTCTAATTGCCTGTCTCCACCCCTAAGGCAGTGAGTCAACCAGTCTGGCTAAGAGCCCAGTTCACATGTAAACAGACCCAGCAGAAGAAACTTGCAGCCAAACGCTGTAAGACACAATGCAATTCTTTCCGCCCGTACAGATCCATCTGCGAAGAAACAATGGAAACCACAGTGGGTATGTCTTAATGTCCCCCCTGAGCGTAATGGACATTCTTCTAATAACACAGTAGACCTGGTATTTTTTTTGACTAAATTCAAATATTTCTTTTCTGGGAGTTGGGAAATTCCAGAGTCTTTGAAAGATCTCAGTCACTAAGGAATTCTTAAAAGTGAAAGTATTTTTAGAATTGAATTCTCAATGGGGCGATGAATCAGATTCTTCTTTAATGATTACAGTATTTTATGGTCCCCTTCTTTATTAAGAGGAGCATACAGTATGATGTATCTGTGAGAGTTTGTATCGTAGCAAGAGGAAGTGCATCCAGTGACAAAGTATGTAATGTTTAGTATTTCTTTGAATTTGGTTATATTTAAATAGACGTTTTATTTGTTTAAAATTGTATACATATACAGAGCATGTTTCGTAACAACTGCATTCCTGTACTTAATACATGTGGGCGGGCACTGTGGATTTACATTGCTGATAGGATAAGTTAGATGTTGCGTTTAACTGTTGTATATAATCTGTAAGAACTAATTTGGATGCCATTCTTGTTTGTTGTGCTTTATAAAGTAATAACACTGGTTAAAAATATCTGTCTGTCTCTGCCTGTCACTTTGTCTGTCTCTGCCTGTCACTTTGTCTGTCTCTGCCGGTCACTGTCTGTCTCTGCCTGTCACTTTGTCTGTCTCTGCCGGTCACTGTCTGTCTCTGCCTGTCACTTTGTCTGTCTCTGCCTGTCACTTTGTCTGTCTCTGCCTGTCACTTTGTCTGTCTCTGCCGGTCACTGTCTGTCTCTGCCTGTCACTTTGTCGCTTTCTATCAGTGACAGACTGACAACAATCAGGGACTTGTGGATTCACAGCTTGGCAGCAATGTTTGGCCACAAGTGACCTGTGTTTTTTGTTTGTCCTTCTGTCTAGCTGTGTGTGTGTGTGTGTGTGTAGGAAAATAATGTAGAACATTGGCACTGTGATTGGTTGTCTGTACCCTATGACAGGGGTAAGCATCCCTCGGCACTCGAGATGTTGTGGACTGCATGTCCCCTGATACTTTGCTAGCATCATGGTTGTAATAGCATTATGGGAGATGTAACCTGCATCATCAGGAGTGCAGACTGCAACCTATCCCTGTCATGGTTATGGTTATGAGTAGCGTTTTGGTCTTCACAGGCATTATCTCCTCAGCATTGTTTTGTTGTGTATTCTTGCTTGAAATCTATACAAAGGGATTCTGATGGCAGCGTAGAAATAGTTGTGTTTTTGAAGGAACACTCCAAACACTAAAATGACTAGGTTGCCCTCCCATAGTTTTTAGAATAGTTTGGTGATTACTGGGTGCCATCCTTTTCCAATGTGAGTCAGAAGATATTGTATGAAGCTTCTGTTGGCTCTCCTGAGCTTGGCATTGCCGTGCAGAGCCAGCTCATTGGCTGAGAGCTTCAGCTGATGATCTCAGCCAATGAGCCAAGTGCTTCACCCAGCAGGCTGGCTCAGAGCAGAGAACTTCCAGCTGTCAGTGGAGAAAGGTGACTAGTGCTCTGCAAACCCCAAGTAAGTTCAAACTATTTTCTGTAGTGGTTATGGTGCTTTTAGTGTTTCTTTGAGAAATAATTTTCTCAAGTGTGGGTATTGTTTTACCAGGTACAGACACATGTGATTGGTGCAGCCTATTTGAGATCTGTGAGAGGGGAGTTTGTTGCGGACACTTAAAGAGTTACTGTAGATTATTATATAACCCTGCTTTCACAATATGTTTTTTATACTTTATAATGCCTCATTGGGCGTTATTATTTTTTATGTTCACTATGTCCAACCTGCTTTTTCATGATAAAACATCTTACATAAGTTAAAACTTACCTTAAATGCAGCTCTGGACGAGGTTCTCCTTGGTCATTTCCACACCCTCTCTGTCGTCACACCGCGTCACTGAGGTCCAATGAAATGTATCTTGTGTGCTTTGATCTGGGATGAAGTGGGGTGGGCAAGGGTTATGCTGCAAATATACATATATTACAAAGGCAGATTGTAGAAAATGCAGGGAGGTGGGAGGGAGTGCACCAAAGGAGAGAGGGAACATTGAAGCTGTCTCTTGCAGGGTAGAATCTGATGACGACTGTTGCCAATGCACAGACGTAACAGAGTTTCTGACTTCATAAATGACCTGTGCTGGTGGTGCAACAAACCCCTGGTGTAGATTATTGCTGAAATTCTGCTCATGCAGATTCCTTCCTCCATGACCATTTCTAATAGCAGAAGTGGTCGTTGTGGTGTAATAACCCTTTAATTGTGAAAACGCAGCAGCTTCGCTCTGGGAGCTTTATATATATTTTTTTCGTTTTGGCAAATTAATTTTAAATGTGTTCTCTATGTAATAATTAAAAGGAATTCATATCTAGTCATAGAATATCCTTTTAAAATAGAATTAACATACATTAAACACCGTACGATAACAGCGTATTTTGATATTAATTCTTCCAGCCGGGGTTAAAATAATGCAATAAAATTTCTATCTCTATAGTAACATGGTTATGGAATTTTAAGATCACAGGTGTCTAAAAGGAGAACAGACGTAAAAGTGATGGAGGGACAGCTCCCAACACGTACAATTGGTTTCTGTATCTTTAAAGACAATTATCAAATGTGACATCTTATTGTTGTTGGGAACTTGCTGTGACATGTTCATCTAATGAAAGTGATAGTCGGCAAGGATCTGTGGGCACACAATCGCTTATTAGTTACAGTTTCACTGTCAGACAGTCATCTGCATATAATTGGACCTTGGCAATAAAAGCTTAAATGAGCAAAAATATATAACACATGGGAAACACAAATATAAAAGATGGATTTTCATGTAAGTCACAAAAGAGCTTTTTACATTTTTTTATTAAAGGGACACTCCATGACCCAAATTAAAAATAAGTAAAAAATCAGTTTAGTAGATATTCCCCAAATTCAAACTTGGATGCATACTTTCATTGTGGGTTGATATAAAACCTGCAGTTCTCTTGTCTGCAGCCTTTGCAAGCTCTCCTCATCTAACCCCGCCCAGACTTTGTGACTGTCCAATCACAGACTTCCCAATGCAGCTCAATGAGAAGTCTTTGCAAGGCAGGCTGTAAGCAACTTCCTGTCTCTTGTGTTTAGCTCCATTGAGCTAACCAAATCAGGAAGTAACAGGACCTGTCTGATTGACAGCCAGGGGGTGTAACAAGGTTAATTTATAAAAGAGGACACACTCTTAACATATAAAGCTTTTCAGCAAGCTAAAGTGCTTTAGGGGTCTGGAGTAATCCTTTAAAGTCACAGTCCAATTATGTATTTGTGATGCTTTTGCAAGAAGGTGCGTTAGGCTCTGGGTTTATAGATTCAAAGTAGACATAACTAGCATTCAGCAGATACATGTTTAAAAAGTGCCTGATTATGGGATGTATTGGTCAACCCTTTACTCTAACACAAAAGGAAAAGTAAAAATGATCTTAAAGCCCAGACCCCAATTAAAAGAGGGGACACCTTAACAGGAAGGTGACCAGATCAGTGATTACTCTTAAAGGAACACTATCGGCATCCAGACCACTTAATCTTCCCCCTTTAGCTGTAAACCTTGCTGTTGCAGGAACATTGGGGGCAGAATATTACCGGAGACTGGGCAGCTAAAGCCTTACAAATACAGGTTTGTATTGCTAATGCTATAGTGTTTTTTTGGTATAGGTTCTGTCTTATATTCTCTAAATAACATTTTATAAATAACAAAAAATTATCATTTTATCTGGTTTTCACATTTCATCCAGTAGTTTCAGTCAGTTTATATGATATTGTTTCCAAAATGTTGTTTATTATTATTGTCGTTATTATTATACAATAGTCACACAACTCTAGCTGTATATGCTCCACAGAAGCAATGTCATTGTCGAAACCTTTTTCTTACTGTGACTTTTTATTTTATTTATTTATTTTCACTTCAGCTACTTTTTTTTTCTCTCTTTTTTTTTCACTTTTCTTTTACAGCCCACCCATGAGCCCAGACTTCCAGCATTACAGCTTCAGAATGCCTAACATTGGTTTTCAAAACCTTCCTCTCAACATCTACATCGTGGTGTTCGGCACTGCAATTTTTGTCTTCATCCTCAGTTTACTCTTTTGCTGCTACTTGATCAGGTATTGTATAACTTCATAAATTAGCATGCCAGTGAAACAGGAAAGCAATTGGGGAAAGGTAGCTCAGTGATGGCTGGTGGTGCATGATTGGACTCGCGTTGTACCCTAAAAAGTGCTGGTTATGTTTGTTTGCTTGTTTGTCTGATCTGTTAAATCAATATTTGCAGGAAACCAAAGAATGTATGGTGTATCATCTCATACTATTCTGACTGGAAACTTTGACTCAACAATTCTTTGTTAGGTTTCTATTTTCAGACAAATTCCTACCTCCCGTGACCTTCAAATCCATGTGTTAGGCCTTTTAAAATGAATCCTGTAGTGGACAGTTGTCACAAAATCCAGTACTATACCTGATGCTTCCAACAAAATATAAACTATCTGCATGTAGACGATCTGATGCTGATTACCCACCACCATCATTCCATAAGTTTAAAAAGGTCTGATGTCGCATTCTAGTAGAGTTTATTTGTAACGGAATTATCTCCTGTGCATTTGTTAATAACAGCATTGGTTAACTGCTACATTGTTGAAAATTTCTAAAGAGTATCAGACACCCAGATGGTGCAAATCTGGTGGATTTCCCCAATTTCTGCTATGTTTATTGAAGTTCTGAAGATACTGGTTGTCTGGGTGCCTCTAGCGTTTCTTTCACATCAGATTCTTAGGAACATATAAATCCTCACTTGTCCATTTTGGGGGGGGAAATAGAATTCTAAAATATTAAACTGTAGCCAATGTTCCGTTATTTGAGTACTCCCAAATTAGTGTTTCAGTTTCTATGGAAACCACTACCTCACGGAGGCTGGCAAATTTCCTTTTCAGTTGAGAAAATAATTGCATTTTTAGACACGGTCCTGCCAGCTTGTAATTTAACCAAGGAACACACAGCCATCCTCAATGGAAAACAAACAGACCAGCAGCGTCCAAACAGTGCGGTTTATTACAGAATTCACTTGTATTAAATTCATGGAGGGGATGTCTGCACTATATGCAGTTTAATTGGGGATAAATAGGCCTAAATCAAATGTGACCAAAAACATTTTACCACACAAAGTGTTTAAAAAAAAAAAATGCATATGAGTATTAATTAATTTCAAAGAAAACCATAATGTCCAGGTTGTATAGCCCAGTTGTGTGGTTTACGATGCAGAGTACATGACTTCGGTGGTGCATGCTGACCAGACTTTTCTCATAACTAGAGCATATTAAAGAAGTCGCAAAAACAAAGCAAAACATTTTTCTTACCCCGTGGGAAAAATGACCAATTATTCCAATGCCATAAAAATGTAACCGATCACTTATTTATTTTTTGTTTTTGTTAGTGGAATATTTGTTAATGATCAAAATTATTCATCAAGTTGTTAATTCTACAGAATAATAAAAAACATTTTTTTAATTTTAAGCTAAAAAATCCCAAACTGAAAACCTTGTTGATGTTTTCAATTAATCTGAAATTTAAAATTCAGTTTAAATTCTTGACAGTTAACATTTTACGGGATAACCCTATCTGTGTGTATATCTGATCTTTTTTTTCTAATTGGAAAGATGCAACATTTTATATTTTATGACTTAAATGATCAAAATATTTATTCTCAATCTATGCTTGTCCCCTGAGCTCAGAAAATGTACCCACTGTCCAGTCTCCAAAAGGTTAATGCAGCGCATGTTAAGCAGTGTGTGCTAACATGATAACTAAAGTTGTTTTGAAGTGAATAATTATACAGATAGACAGGATGTTATGATTAGCTTATCATCATTACAAAGTGCGTATACATGGATAACTGAGATACAGTCACTCCATCTCCTCCTAACTGAGAGGGTTCAATGGGTTCATGTACTAACTAAGGGAAGATAAGATAGCCAGCTTGATGAGTAATTGACTGCTGGAGATGAAAGATAGACATTAAATCAGTACATTGTGGCATCCCTTTACCGGATTATAGTCATTGAGTGTAAAGAACGGGAAGTGGAGTTATGAAATGGTATTATGACTTGTGATGCGTCATCAATTGTTTACGTAAAGACTGGAATAGCCTTTCTTGGCCTTGTTGTCCAAAGTGAAAGTCGTAAAGTCATTGGTCCTTCCCACCAGTCGAAGGTTGATTTAAGGCAGATCCTGGTGACCACTGGCTTTGTAGCTTGTAGGGTTCACTGGAATTATAGACCGAGCCTAACTTTCAAACCTTTCTCTTAACGATACCTTACTTTGCAGATGTGATTGAGCAGTTCAAAAGCATTGCAGTGCTTTTTCCTTTCTTTATACAGGGTTCCAAAATAAATATATGTACTATCTATCTATCTTAGATTGGATTAGCTGTATTAGTCCAGTAGACAAGATGCCAAAATACCAGAGTATTGCAGTATGCAATAATACCTTTTTTTATTGGACAAACATAATATTTAATCGACAAGCTTTCGCGGGTTTTCCTCTCTTCCTCAGGTCTGGGATCAGTACTGCTTCTCTTACCTGGGAAAGAGAGGAAACCTCTCAAAAGTTTGTGTTTGAAATATTATGTTAGTCCAATAAAAATGTATCATTGCATACTGCAATACTCTGGTATTTTGGCATATATATATATATCTCCAATTTCTGTAGAAATGCCTGGTATTTGAAAGCGGGTAGTAAGCATAATTAATGTAGAAAATTGTCCAGCACCTCAGGGTCTTTAAAATGATACTTGGCTTTTATTATCCAAACAAAAACTTGAAATAAAACCAGGAGTCTCGGACACTTTTCTACATTTTCTTTTCTTCTTGATTATTTATATATATATAATATTTTAAAATGGGACCGTCACATTGCAATAAACAGTTGAATATAACCTGAATCATTCATTCTAAAAAGACAGCAGGTAGGCAAACACTTCCACATGCAAATATAACTATACAAACATTTATTTAAGGTGAGTTAACAATATCTGCCAATATTAGCTGTGAAAGTGAAAGCTTTCAAACTCAGTTTCAATATTAGTTGGTTAGCTGTTTGCTTGGCTGATTCTACCAGTAGATACATTTGGGAGAGAGTTAATAACTCTGACTCCTTTGACTGCAAGCTTGTTTGAACAGGGCCCTCGGCACCTTCTGTTCCTGCACCTCCACCTTGTCTTGTTGCAACTGCTTGTTTGTTAGTCCACCCATGGTACAGTGCTGCAGACTTTTTTGGGGCGCTTTATAAATAATAATAATAGTCTATTGCATAAAGTAAAACATTGCTTTTATCAAGGTATGTTGTTTTTTGTAGATTTTTTATCTTTAGTCCCCTCCCGACGTCACATACTATTTAGGAAGCTAAATAAAATCCTCTAAAATAATTATTAATCATTAGATGATTATCTTTACTTCAAAGGACTAAAAAATGACTAATTCTATATTGTGATCTTACTAAATTGAGCTTTTTTTTTTTTTTTTTAAAGCGAGCCTGTCTTTTTGTTTTTAAGTGATTTAATATAGTTACCACTCATATAGTATCTAACACCATGTAAGAACAGGTGTCCTTAATAAAAAGATCCTTTGTTTTTCAAGCTTTTCAAAAAAGAAGCTTATTCACCGTAACATACCTCCCATGTGTTCCTATTTATGCGGTACGTCCCTATTTTGGACCCAAATCCATCTGTCCCAATTTTCCGTCCTAATATCCCTCTTTTTTCTAGGAGCTCCATATTGTTGGTGTATTGCAGAGCCCACAGCAATAATATTCCCAGTTACGTGTCTGTAAATTACAATAAATATGTTTAGAAATCAAAGAAAGTTACTTGCGCACTCTCCCGAGTATGCACATTTAAATAACTAGAGATTTTTAAGTATCCTTCCTATTTTTCTAAACACTTACACACCTATTAACTCTTAATAGGGACACATGGAATGGTTAGCAGCACTGTAACATGCCTGTGTAATACCAAAGCAAACACAAACACACAAAATGAAGTCCTGCACTCCAACTCCCACTACTTCTGGGCGGCAGCAATGACTATAGTGCATGTCAGCCCCAATGCATGCACTAAAAATCAAAGAAAAGAGTTACTTGTGCACTATCCCAAATCCCTATGCACATTTAAATAACAAATGCAAATAAGAATATTGTTTTTGTTCTAGATTACATTTTAGTTGTATAAACGGTTATTAGTAAGTCACCTAAAATTCTCAGAACAGCCTCTTGCCACACCTCTAAAATTAAAATGTCCCCCTTTTGTCTATTTGAAATTTTGGGAGGTATGCTGTAAAGGAGACTTTGTAAAGTTAAACATGTTTTGCATATTTATTGAAGGGGAACAATCACCTCCACGGATTTTTATTATTGTATTTCCTTATTCCTATATTTAACAAATCTGTACTTGTGAGGTGTTAAAAATACAATTAGAAGTAGTAATCTACTCTCCTTTTCCTGCAATTGGGCGTCTCCATCTTGGCTTCCTGTCAATCATTGTTAAAAGCTCTTTCGTTTTCAGCTGGCCGTCAATCCCAACTGTTTAATAGAAACACAAATGTAGAACAATTGTGATTCCTGGTGCCTTGTTCCTGCCTGACCATCTGCATATTTTACGATATCCATATAATCTAGGGATATATATGACATAGCGAAATGCGTGGGTGACCATCTTTTGATTTGTCTATATGGGTGTTCTTACAGTAATGGATAATAGTTTTTGGTTATCTTTAGAGATGTTGTTTGGGTGCATTTAGATATTATAATATCAGTAGTGTTCTCTATGGTTTCTTTTGGTATTAGTTCGGGGCATGTTTCAGAGTTCACACTTTTTCTTCTCTATATGATTATACAGGTTACGGCACCAGGCACGAAAAGAACTTTATGCTTACAAACAGGTGAGTCTCTGAGATTCTGTGATGTGTAATGAATGTTCCGATGTCATTGGAGGGCAGCACAGTTTAGGATATTTGCACTTTTTAGAAGCTAATTCTCAACTTACCGGCTGCTTAAAAAGAACAACTCAAATCAAAGTGAATTTTTAAAACAGGCATCCCATACTTTGCCCTCGAGGTGTTGCTGAACATCATCTCCCATTAGTCTCTGCACATATATTGTATTTAATGAAATCTGGGATTTGTAAAGCCATTAAAACCTGGGGAGAGTTTGAGATTCCTGCTTTAAAGTGACACTTAATAAACTGACTGCAAAAGCATAATGTGGTGTTTATACTGTTAGGTGGTTCTAAATTAAATTCCACTTTTATTTTGCTATCTTTATGTCAAAATCATGTGTCTTAATAATTAGCTAGTTTCACTTCCTCATTAGCTGTCCGAATGTATTGTCTGCTTAAGCCGTGTGATAGAATGGTATAAGCACTGTTTTGTAGTTGTATTGAGTAGTGTCAAATTATCCCAAGCTTTTCGGAGTGTCTGAATCACTGTTCATCGAATTGACACTGTCATTTAATTGGTGCTGCAAAGATTAATGCGAATTAGACTATGCCGTAAAATCCGCAGCTATTCAACATAGTTCAACACTTGAATAAATGATAAGAATTTAACTGTGTTTGTTATAATATCTGAGCTGTAAGATTAGGCTTTGAGTATCTGGAATTATTTTTTATTTTGTCAAACTACTTGAAAACAGAATCCCGACAATTAGCTGTAATTATGGTGCCTGGAATGTCCCGAAAAGATCCACTAAACTGTGGTTTTATCATTGTTTACACACTCCTGATATGACCCCAATTTAATAAACAACATGATTAAATACCATAATTAATAACCCATGCCCCCCAAAACAAAACCCCTGGACTTGGTATCAAATTTGCCTATCTGCATTAATGGCCTCTAGTGTGTTTATTCATCAGTTTTTATATTAAAGCAATTTTCCTGACCTTCACCTCTGTATCCTGTTAGCCTCCAACTTCCTAATTCCTTTCAGCAGCTTTTGATCTATCACATAGTAATCAGAATTGATTGGAAACTAAGTATTGTGTACACTGCTCAACATGTTAATACTTTCACAAAACACGAGTTAAAATGTTACTCCCAAGAACCCTGATCACTTCTTCAGTGATTTGAAGTTGTTATGGTGCCTGGAGTGTGTATGTGCAGCAAGAGTACCGGGCTGGCTAATGTCAATTCTGTATATACTCGAACACACAGAATTATAATAATTGGCTACTAGCAGTCAGCTGATGCTCTTAGCCAATGAATGGATAATGGCATCAGCTTTCTGCAACTCTGCTGAAGCCAGATGTACTCGTCGGCCATAGAGAACTGAGGTGGCCCGACAAGGACCCAGGTAGGGGGATGAACTGTTGCAAATTGGTTTGTCTCATTTCTAGGAAACAGGGCCAAGGTATTGCTAGCAATACACTACAGTAGCCAGTCATGGTTGAAGTAGCTCTCTGTCATTAGCCTAAATTGAGCTTTAGCATTCTTAAAAAAGGGGGGTAGAAATTCCAAGTGGAAACCCTGTTCAGGAGGTTTAATCAAGTTAAACTCCTTCCAACATTGTTGGTGAACAGTTTCTATGACTTGAGCAAACTGAGTGAAGAAGAGGAGAAAGAATGGTGAAGTCAATTCATTAGGGTTATTCAGTAAACTAGAACTTGTCTAGAATTCAACGTGAATTGAGGCCCAAACTGGCAAACTAAAAACATAGCTGGGGGGATGTAGCCCAACTACGAGACAGAGCGGACACCATTTCACACAGCTCTGGGAAAAATCCAATAAAATACCCTAAATATCGTGGGTCCTCATATGCGCAAACCCAAATATCGATAGATATTCATCACCGGGCACCCTACTGCAACGCCATATACCGTTTTTTCAGACTACAAAGACAAAACGGCAAAAGCGCAGATCTGGGGGCGAATACCCGACCCCGAACCTTGGCTGGAGCGGACTCCTGGATGGCCTTACACTGCCTGGAGAACCAGCATTGGGCCTGACACCATTGCAGCTATGGGACGGCGATCCCAACGACCACCTCCGGGAACAAAGGTCATCGGTGAACTGTTGCAGAGGCAGACCCTGCCCAAAATGGCAGAGCCGTAAGAGCAAGGCCACACACAGATATCCCCTCGTGGTCTGAACCGCTATAAGCCACGCAAATTCCCACAGATATCCCTGATAGCAAAGCCCCTTCCACCAAGGAAGATATCCAAAACCTGCTGGTGGATATTAAAAAATTGCTGGCCGCAGATGTGACGATCCTAAAAGCTGAGTTTCAGGGGGTCAATGACAGAGTCTAGGCCTCCGAGGGGTGCATTGCAGGGCTCAGACAAGAAGTCTCTTCCCTCAAAACATCACTACACACCGTGCAGGCTCAACAACAGGCCCTCTCCTTACACTATGCAGCTCTTGATGATCGGTCCAGGTGAAAAAAAATTAAAATCAGTGGAACATCTGCTGACATCACACAGGGTGAGCGCCATCACTATGTGAGGCGCCTGGTGGCTTCCATATTACCACTAAGCCAAGCCAAGCCAAGCCAAAAAGTTGTTTGCAGTGTTTCATTGGGTTACCTGAGTGATGGGCATTACATAGTTACATAACTAAAAAGAGATGTGTCCATCAAGTTCAGCCTTTCTCACATCTGTTTTTTTTTTGTTTATCCAAAAGGAGGCAAAAAAAACCAAAAAACTTTGAAGTGCTTCCAATATCTTGCAAAAAACTAGGAAGAAAATCCTTCTTAACACCAGAATCAGGGCTATCTTTAATAATGATTGGACCCTGGACAAGCATTTGCTTGGGCCCCCCCGGATCACACCCTCCTCCTCAATCCAGTGGCGGAACTAATGTAGAGCATGTCCTGGTGCAAGAAATCTTTTGGGCACCATTTAGCATAAGAGGAGAAAAGAAAGATCCCCATCTCACGTGCAACTCCCACGTTGCTATGCCAGCTGGGGATCTAGCAATTAATGCAGGGTTGTATTTGTGAGCAGTGTTTGTGCATTTGAATGTAAGCATTTTTTTTTATATAGAGTATGTATGTGCATGTAGAGGTGTACTTCTATGTACTGTTACCATTGGAATGCATTGGTGTACTTGCGTGTAATGTTTGCGATTTAAATGCAGAGGTGTGTGTTTGTATGTTGTGTTTGATTTTAAATACAGGTGTGCTTTTGTGTGTAGAGTTGGGTGTTTGTATATAATTTTATCATTTTAATACAGCGGTGTATTTGTATGTAACGTTTATAATTGCATGCTGGGATGTGTTTGAATGTAGTGTTGTCTTTTAAATGTATATGTACATTTGTGTGTAGTATTGATGTTTGAGCATAGGGGTGTGTTTGCATGCTATCTTTGATTGCTGGGATGTATGCACATACATACTAACACATATATACATATACACATTAACATGCAAATTCACACACTCAAAAACACGGACACATACTCAACCTTGACACATACACACTTGCATATAAACACACACTAGGACACACACTCTAATACAGATATACACACACTTTGATATGCACACTGATGCACACACACAGACATACACACACTGGCACATCCACACACATACACAGATATGTGCAAACATACACAGAGGTACACATGCAGGGGTGTATTTGTGTACAGTACTAGCGTTTGAATGTAGGAGTGTATTTGTATGCAGTGTTGGCATTGGGATGCTGGGATGTATGCCTTGCCACACATGCACAGATGCACACTTTACACACACTGAAAAATACAGACAAACACACACTCAGAAACACACATGCAGGTACACAGACACGCATGTACACATACACAGGTGCACATAAACACTGACACACACACAGTCAGAGACACACACTGAAACAGCCAGATACACACACTGACACAAACACATCCAGATATACACACACACACACACACACTACCAGATATACACACACACACACTACCAGATACACACACATATAAATATCAATTTACATATTTTAATCTCTGCCCTCTAGCAGCACCTGGACAGCAACTCCCAGCAACCTTGGCCAATAAAATGTCTCAGTTCTGTTCTTACCCTGGCAGAGAATTTGGCAAAAGTGACATCTGGAAATAGTGTGCAGCCTTTGACAACATTTTCTGCAATAATATAAGTTAAAAAAAATTCAGAAAAATATAATTTTTTATTTATATTTAATAATACTGTAACTTTCTAGGATTTTTGACATGTAGTTATCCCCAATATATAACAGATGTATGTTTGTAATGTCTGATTAATAAAAGTTAAAATTAGAATTAAAATTAAAAAAAAGTTCACATATTTTAGCCACCCTCACCTTTTGAGTACAGAAGGGTGGCTTCCCTGGGGCCAGTGGGAGCTTGCTGGCTAAGCTGATGGGAGTCTGCGGCACCTCACTTCCTCCCAGCATGCCGTGGGGGAACAAACAGAATAATAGAACAGTGTGTTTGGGAGGCTGCATGATTAGTATGTAGGGGACTGTGTAAGGGTGCTAGCTGTGTGTATGTAAGGGCCCGGTCCAGAGCAATATGAAAGGGTCGAGGGCTCCTGATTTCCCAGTATCCTGGTGGGCTAACAGGTGTTCTATCAGCAGGGGGCCATTTGTGCATCCTCCTCAGTGTGGTGTGTGCCTCCTCCAGTGTGTGCAGCAGGAGTAACTGAGCCCTGGGGAGCTGCCCCGTTTGCCCCACGTTAAAGACTGCCCTGATCAAAATGGCAGGCAGATATCTCCTTGGATCAAGAAGCTGTTAACCCACATATAATAAGTATTTATCCAACCATCTGAATTTCACACCCTGATTGTTCTTACTTTAAAAGACACTTGCCTTTGCTGTAGACTAAATCTCATTTCTTACAGTCTAAATGTGTGACCTCGTAAAGACAAAAGGGAAATGGGGGCACACCCGGAACATGCATTTTGCATAAATGGTGCTGCCATAGTTACCAAAATGTATACCTAATACAGATTAAGAAACAGTACACACAAAAAATGTGTGACCTATGTGTAGTCCTATTTATGAATAGATTTTCCAGACAATGGTTTGTATCGGCCCCGAATATACATGCTACCATATGCCCTCTGAGGTGCCGTTTATCTGTGACTCCATATGCAAAAATCGTAACCAATTTTAAATCAAAAAGTCTTGTAGTTTGTAGAATATAGAACTTTTTACTGCCTATTTGGCAATGGTTATACCCTTTTGTTAAAATGAATTAAAATTTGCAATTGATAAATGTAATTTCTCTTTTTCCTCCCCCCCCCAGGTCATATTAAAAGAAAAAGTAAAAGAACTTAACCTGTACGAGGTCAGTATTAAAAGCTTTCTTGAGCTCCACTTCCAGAGCAGGCGGTTATATTATGAACAAGAATTATCTGCTTCCCAGCTGCTCTTTGGAGCTACCATCTGGGTTCTATTGTTCTTAGTGTCACAAAGAACAATTTACTTGAATTATTATTTTGCATAAGATTCTTTTATATACTGTATCTTAAAAAAAATTCTAGTTAACTGATTTATCGCCAGTTAGCATCCTGATTTACTATATTCCAACTTTTAAAAAAAAAATGTTTTTGGAGAGAGGGGGTAGGAGGATGGAAGCAAAGTAACACAAAAGGTGAAACTAACAAACTTGCTTATCTTTGCTATAAAGTAAAAAAGTAACGGGTTATGGCCAGAGTGCTTGTGCCATTGGTGTTAACTAAGTGGCATCAAAGTTCCATATGTTCAGGAAAAAAGCCCTTTAACACTACATATTCCAAATTTTTTATCTCATTTAAAAAATATATATTTATATATTTTTTTTTTTGTTTCTTGAGGTCTGGTGCACCTTAAATTTAGATATCTAGTGCATACGGTACATTACAGTGAATGAATTTCCTCCACTTGGTATACAATTTGCATTATCCGTTGCACAGCATGTGCGAAAACGTAGAAATGTTCCGTAGTTTGATAATCAATTTTATACCTTTTGTTCAGTTGTTCGACCCGGAGTAGCTTGTGCATTAGGCTTGGAATGTTAGCAGGACCGCTATTTCACACAGCACTTTCTCGTTCTTTTTACCCGTGCTCGCAGTTTGTTGTCTGTATTCAAGGTACTACAGCGTCTGTGAGAAAATCAATGGACTGCTATGGAGAGCCTTTTAAAAAAAAAAAAAAAAATTATATATATATATATATATATATCGTTCTTAATGTCACAAAGAACAATTAACTTGAATTATTATTTTGCATAAGTTTCTTTTATATACTGTATCTTAAAAAAAAATTCTAGTTAACCGATTTATCGCCAGTTACCATCCTGATTTACTATATTCCAACCTTTTTGGAATACACACATACGGAATGCACACATATGTTAAAGATGGATGCTTTAAACACGTACAGTTTTAGAACAAAGAAATGCTTGGTACACAACTAGTTCTGACATGGGACACTTTTCTATCTCCTAGATGTGTGCAGTTTGTTTAGAGGAATTTAAACCAAAGGACGAATTGGGGATTTGTCCGTGCAAACATGCCTTTCATAGAAAGTAAGTGTTTCCTTTTTAATTTTTGTCTAACATCAAAAGTTAATCTATACCAAAGTAAATGTGTAACAGAGACAGACTTATGTCTATACAGAAGTACAAAAATGTTTGAGCCAGGACATTAAATGCTGCTCTGCTGCACTAAAAAAGTGAAAACAACTGTTGCGTTTTTACAACACAGTGATTGTTTAAATCTTTCATACTTTAAAGAAATATTATTGGGTCAGGAACACAAACATGTATTCATGTCACTATAGTGTTAAAAACCACCATCTATCCCCCCTGGCCTTCCCTTGCCCACCTAACTAAAGTAAAATCTTACTTTTGTTCAAGTCTGCAGCTGCTGGCTCTGCCCCGATCTGCCTGCTTGGCTGACATCATCAGAAGTGTTGTTCTGAGCAAATCACAATGTTTTCCATAGGATTGGCAAAGGCTGTCAATGAGGCAGATCAGGGACAGAGCCAACACAAACCAAACACAGTCCAATCAGCATCTTCTCATAGAGCTTTATTGAACCAATGCATTGCTATAAGGACAGTTTAGAGTGGAGACACTAAATGGCAGTCACACTGTGCAGCACTGCCACAGGAAGCAGCTCTAGTAGCCATCTGAGGAGTGGCCAGTGGAGGTATCCCTAGGCTGTAATGTAAACACTGCAGTTTCTCTGAAAAAACTGTGTTTACTGCAAAAAGCATGAATGTAATGATTCTACTCACCTGAACAAATACAATTAGCTGTAGTTTTTCTGGTGACTATAGTGTCCCTTTAATGCTTGTTTCTAATATAATGTATCCACTAGAATTTTAACCTTTTTAATATCATAAGGGCCAGTTCTCTAAATTGTTCCTCAGACTAATTTCTTGCTTCAATTGTATCATTTAATAATGTCTCCTTTGTTTATACTTAACCCCCACCGTGTCTAACAGATCTGAAACGAGTACAGTGTTTTTTTATTATTATTTTCTATTGCTAAAATACTATGCCAAAATAACCGTAGTCTTAACATTTGATGTTGAAACATGGATAATATGTAGGATGGTACAGCTATCAGACTCAAGCTTGGAATACGTAATAGCTAGACGTGTGCATTTTTTTTCAGAAAAACTGAACAATCAACAAAAATGTCTTTATTTGTTTACTCCAAAAACGAATAATGACTGAAATATTAACAAAAGTCTGAACGAACGAATAGGCCGTTTGCTTATTCCTTAAACAACTGCTGCTCTGAGTGAATGAATATCCCCCATTAATTTCATCCAGATTTATGACTGTTTGATATTCGTTAAATTTTTTAAATCTAATTTCCAAGAATTGAATTTTAGATGAACTGAAAATCGAAAATTTTTGAAGTGAAAACTAATCCGAAACAGTTTTTTTTGCCCATGAACATCTCTAGTAATGAAAAAGGAAAATAGCTCAAGGCAAGCAGGGTTCAATTCAGATACTGAGAGATACTTGGGATAAGACAACCAGAAAGCTACCAGACTGAGCCACCGAGGAATGAGATGGGGCAAGTCTTGTAGTCTGCTAGGAAGAGAGAACAAGTGTTAAGATAGTATAAAAAAAGCCGTCAATCCTAGCTCTATAATTTCAACAAACAAAAAATAGTAAAATCAGGAACGGGGCAGATTCAAGAATTTCATTGAAATCACCTTAAATGCTCCCTTCAAATTAAAGGTTAACATAGCCAAACTGGAAAATTCTTTCAGTTCTTAAATTTGAAATTCACCTTTAGTGAATAACCCTGTAAATGGGAAGCTTAACAGGGATGATGTGTACAGAAATATACAAATAAACATATAATCATAAATCGTGCTTTCCAAATCATATTCAACATGTTAAGTATAAGTTGTAAAGAATGTTGGAGTTTGTACTGTCCTCTCCTTTGTACTCTCCTTCTTAATCTATTTTACTGTCTCTAAATTCAACCCTGTCCTCCCGTTCCAGGTGCCTCATTAAATGGTTGGAGGTGAGAAAAGTTTGCCCGCTTTGCAACATGCCCGTCCTCCAGCTAGCTCAACTGCACAGCAACCAGGAGCATCGACCTCCACAAGGACCTCTGCCTGGGGCAGAAAACATTGTATAGCTTAAAGCCAACCTGCCCTGGGTCACCCATGCAAGGAGCCACAGAGTTCATGCTCACGACCCGCTTCCTCAATACATCCCGTATAATTAAACTTAGCCTGTCGAAGCCACAATGTCCTTGGGCATGGATTTGTGAACTCAACAGCAACCAAAGCACTTTTGGTGCCATCGATAGCAGGAGACACAGAACACAAAGGGAGATCGCAACAGTGTTTGGCCTTGGAAGAGCACTTTAGAAGATTTCACTGAAACTTGCAATTGTTTATTATAACTATTATTATTATTATTATTATTATTGTTATTATTATAACTATATGTATAATTACTATATTACTGGAAGCTTCACTGTGCCAGGAGAAAAATAATTGCTAGTGTCTCCTAAAAGGAGAGGGTAAGGAGGGTTTTAAAAATCAAACAAAAAAAAACAAAAACAAAAACCTAGAAAATTGGAGTAATGAATGAGTGTATCTGCACACTGCTCAATGCGCTTACTTTAAATGTGCACATCTGGTTGTTTTACATTAGAAAGAACATCTGCACATCTTGTCCGCAATGTGCACATCTGGAAACTGGAAGCATAAATGGATTTTATATATCATCAGTATAAAAAGAACCCTGACAAAACAAAACACAACATAGGGCTGATTTTAGACCAAAATGCCAAACATTCAAGAAGTATTATGGGATGTCAGTATGTGAGTCTTGTGATGTTATATCGCCCAATTGTCCTTCTCCAGGATAGTCTTCAGTAGAGAACGGTTTCTAGTAGTGTGGTAGGGTTTATTAGACAGAGCTGTGTGGTCGCTCACAGCTGGACATTGTAAAGACTATTCCTGCCAAATAATACCGTCCTGTCCTGTTTGCACTGCAGATCTGGCCCGTTGAAGTGAATGTACTTTTAATATTTTCTTTAGCATTTTTTCAACGTCAATATCTGCTGCTTTTAGTGTTTGGGATTTTAGTTTGTTTATTTATTTTTAAACATCAGTAATCATGGTTAAGATGTTTCATCCTGTAGGTCATAACGCACCTGAAGAGCGTGTTTACAGAATAATATTTAAAGATTTACTGGTCTATTTAACCAAGCTGAAGTCCCCCCTCCCCTATTGGCTAATCTATTGTTTAAATTGTGAGCAACTTGCCAAAACCTCTACAATTCATTGTTTAGCAAATAATATTCTTATCAATATGATCAATGTGGGCAGGAGACTTTAAAGCCTCTGTGTGCCAGAGGGTGAGAAAGGAAGTAGATAACGATGTCTTGCTCACTTTTATAGCACTTAGAACTTTAAAGAGGCACGGTAACTTGGATTGATCGGTGGGTTCCAGCTCTCTGCTAGCAATATGCAATACATCATGGGAAGCAGGTAGTCTAAGTCGGATCAACAGGTCCGCCATGTTTTTCTAGACCTATATCATGTCTTTGTGCTGATGGGTAGTGTATGGAGCTTAAATATTCCTATTTCAAATGACTGTTTGCATTTAACATGTCATTTCTCAATACTGCAGGTCAACATTTTTATGTATTGCACAACAGCACGAAGAAGTGATATTTGTCTAGGGAAGGTATTTAAAGCTTGTCTTGATTTCAAGCCAAGGGCAATTATTTTATTAAGATGCACTGAAGCTTAGTACTGTTTACTCAATTTAGTCCAAGGAAAAAGTGCTTAAAACATGCAATCTTCCCCCATTATTGTTTTCAAAATAAACAACCACAAACACATATAACCATGCATATTGGCTAATTATATTACGGATTGGCACAGACTCTACCAAGATGAGAGACTTTTATCACAAAGCCAAACAAGCATGGGAATGTAACTGCTAGTAACACTGTGAGAAAAGAAAACTCAAATAAAAGGGGTGTTTGTCTCACATTGGGTAATAGTTGCCAAACCCAAAATATTGAGAAACATTGACTCACTGCTGCCACCTAGTTGTAGACACCTTGTAGCCAAGTACAACTAAAAAGTCAAATTTAATTCTAGAGATCATAGAGCACTTAATGTTTTCTTGAACAGGAGATTTGTATTCATTTAGATTCATTCGTTTTTTAACTTCGACCTTCCTCTAATGTACAGATGCCAAGTAATTGTCTTACATATTGTTCCCCTGTGTTGTTAAATTGACCTTTTCAGTGCGATGAAGTGTTTATAGGGGCAGTTATATGTCCTGTTTATTTTTTGTTTGTTTTTTTTGTGATAAAAGCAGCGATCTTCATGCAGTGGTCACTAGTATAGTTTGTTCCAGCCTAGTAAATATTAGTTTTCTTTTGTAATATACCACAGTGAAAGCAACCCAGCTATGGTGATTGTATGATTCTTAGCCAGCTTAGAGGGCCACCACAGCTGTAATTCAAAATGCTTTATCATCACTGGTCTACTTTCTTCTTTGGGAAGGTACATGCCTTGTCCTGTATCTGATCATCTGTAATAGTCCCAGATTAGGATGTTGGTCTCCAACCTTTGTCCATACATCTACTCCAGCTTTGACAAAAATATTGCCGTAAGTGACGCCGCCTTAAGGCTGACAAGGCATTATGGGTGATGTGGTACAACTATGTATGTACTCTGAATGTACTTTTTGTCAATCTCTCATCTACACCATCATTATAACTTTTGTGTTGTGTTAATTGAGGGAAATGGAACGAAGGCCAGAGTGGTATCCTGGTAAACATACCATGTCACATAGTTTATCCATTTTGAATTTGTTTTAAAAATGTGTAATCGAGTGGAAAAAAAAAACGGTTCCACAGCTTCTATAGCAACTATGTTAAATAACTGTATGCTTTATACTGAAACTATACTATTCATTCATATATACCCAGTTTGGGGTCTGAAAACGTCTGCTAGTATGTGACTAGTTTAAATTCTGTATCGTTGAGTGGACGAGTAGTGATCACAGTATTCTTACTGAGCTATGAAATTTAGAATGACATGTTTTATTATTTACTAAAGAATAATTTGACATCATAAAACTATTTTTATTAGTATTTCTACAGTGTGTTTTATCACTTGTTTACAGAATTGCTTTGAAAGCATTAGAAATGTTGAGAGTTTATTGGCGTTTCTCCACTTGATTTCTTTTATTTAGTGGGCAGCAAAACTGGCCACTTCAGCCAAGTGCAGGTCCTACTGAATCATGTCAGACATTTTGGATAACAGTAGTGATGATTTAAAAAAAAATAAAAAAATCTCTGCAGATTGCTGCACCTTAAATATACTAATTAGATTGTAACATTAGCATTTTATATAATCGTATGTGTATTTGATGCTGCCTTTCAATAGTGTCCTGGGGCAGGCAAACATAGAACATGGTTTAAAAAAATATAACTTGCTGTAACCCTTGTCTTGCCAAGCCTCCTCAGTTCATATGGTGTCACTGTTAGTTTACTTTGTAGCTAGACAACTGAAGGTGCTGTTATCTCTTGTCAACCGTTAAACAATTTAGAATGTTGATCTTGGTCTTCAGAAGTGAAATATGGATTCTCTTTGACAAGTAAAATGTGAGTCAACACCTGCAAGCATGTATTCCAGCTTAAAGGGACAAGCCAAGGTGCGGAATATCTCTTATTTTTTTTAATTTCATTGTGAATCTGATGCATCGAAATTTGCATCTTAAAAAAAAAAAGTAATATTTATTACTAAAAATAGTCCAATATAAATCAGTTTTAAGACCGATCTCCTACACGGTGTTGCCAGGGGTTCCCTAGCACCATTCCACAGTAACATGTCTTAGTAAAGTTTGCCACCTTAGTAGGATCCTGCTGAGTACCTGCAGTGGCATCCCTGGCATCTGCTCTGTAGAGCAAAGCAGGGTCATGCAGTACCTCGATTGTTGACTGAGAGCATCAGCTAATTGCTCACAGCCAAAGAATGTGGTACTGCATCAGCCACGCATTTACGCGACAGAGATTTCTGTCTGCCTGCAGGAGAAGACTGATTTGCCAAAGATGTGGCCTTGGGTGCCCAGAGGAGCCAGGTAAGTTGTCAGATCATATTTAAATCTTTTGAGGAGGTAACTAAAAATGATAATGTCCTTGATGACCGATTGTTACATTTAAGAAGTGGTCAGAGTTATGTTTGGTTTGGAAGGAAGCCGAGTTTAGAATCTGGATGATATCAAAGGTACAGTACTGATTGCTGGAGCAGAGTTTGTAACTCCTTAAAACTGTATATATTTCTAGGTCAAATTAAGGTCTGAGAGTGTTAATGTTTTTGTTTGGCTGTTTTAATTAGTTTTCACGCCAATATAGAAACACAGTATTCTGTCCATGGTGTCCTTTAGGCTGGACATTTATACTCCATGACGCCTTGCTCTATAACATTTCCTTATTAAAGTTGTACTCTTGTTTCAATATCTGTGACCTAATACTATGTAACTTTAGCAATTGTTTATGGATTATGTAGAACTTGATGAATTTGACCCTAAGGCTTTGTTTTGGACAATGTAGAATGGTTTTGGCTAAGTCTGCTCCCAAACACATCTCCACACAATTGTGATCATCTTGTGACATTCTGACTCATATTTATAGAAGTTTCAAGGTCAGAAATATTTTAGGTCTGTAAATCAATGAAGGCAGATATATAGATTAAAAGTATTATGCATGTAAAAATATTTAATTAAATTTTTTTGGCCATGAGCAAAGTCATGTGGCTTGCAAATATTCCTCATATACAATATGCAATTGTTGGTACATTTTGGGTAGGCTGTAAACTGAAATATTTAGTGATATGATCCATGCTTTTCCCAAAACAAGGTCTAGATAAAATCTTCGGTCTTTAGTGACCAAATTACATATTTTATCATTTTGCATGCTCTAATGACATCTTGGAGACCTGACGGCTCAATATTGTTGTTGAAGTCATCTAGGAAATTTAGCAAAAAATACAAGGATGTGATAATGAGTGAAATTTCTAAGAAGCGTCTTTGAAGTAGCCCATTATTTTTCTCCCATGAAATGAATACTTTCGAGATTAATTGACCTTTATTCTAATACAA